ATTCCTCCAGCTTTAAGATTGAGCTATCATTATCTTCCTTCGCATTTAAAGCGATGCTTTGCATATTGTTCAATATTTCCCAAAGATTACAAATTTGAAAAGGAACGATTGATCCATTTATGGATAGCCATAGATCTTGTGCAGCAACCCAAAAATAACATATTATTGGAAGATGTAGGTAATTGCTACTTTCGTGAACTATTGTCGAGGTCTTTCTTTCAGAGATTAAGTCACGACTCCGATTCTAATTTTGTAATGCATGACCTAATCAATGATCTAGCTCAGCAGATATCTAGAGAGTTTTGTTTTAGGTTGGAAGATGGCAAACCCCTTGATCATATCTGTGAGAAAGTTCGCCATTTCTCATACGCTAAGGACAATTGTGATGGATTTAGGAAATTTAAGGCTATTAATGAGGTCAAGTATTTACGGACCTTCATATCATTTAATAGAAAAGGTAATATCTTAGGCAATAAGGTGCTACGTGATATATTGCCAAGTCTGAGATGCTTAAGGGTTCTATCTTTGTCCCTGTATTGTATTTCTGAATTGCCTCAATCGATCGAAAATTTGATATTTTTACGCTATTTGGATCTCTCTTTTACGAATATTGTACAATTGCCTGATGCGATAACAACATTGTGCAATTTACAAACATTAGATTTGTCAAATTGTTGGAATCTCACTAAGTTGCCTTTGAATATGGGAAAACTAATAAACTTGCGCCATCTTTATATCGAAGGAACTAGATTGACTAAAATGTCGACGCAAATAAGCAAACTGAAAGATCTTCAGCATTTAGCATATTTTGCAGTTGGCAAGAATAGTGGCTCAAGGATTAGTGGGTTGAAGGAACTCCATCAACTTCGGGGGCAATTCCGTATTTTAGGGCTGAAAAATGTGACATGTGGTCCGGATGCATCAGAGGCGAATCTAAAGGGAAAGGAGCACCTTGAAGTGTTAGAGCTTAAGTGGGATGGCGATACTGACGATTCACAAAAAGAATGTGATGTACTTGACAAGTTACAGCCTCATCATGGAGTGAAGGATCTTGGCATCATTGGCTATGGGGGTACAAAATTTCCAGATTGGTTAAATAGAGCTTATTCATTTCATAATATGGTGTCCTTAAAACTAATAAGGTGTGGAAATTGCTGTTCTTTGTTGTCGATTGGTAAGCTACCCTCTCTGAAGCATCTAAGAATTGAAGGGATGAATGCAATAACTAAGGTGAGTCACGAGTTCTATGGGGATGCTGCTTCTTTTTCTTTGGTCAAACCATTTCAATCTCTAGAGAGATTAAGTTTTGAGAAAATGGAAGAGTGGGAGGAATGGCATGCATTAGGGGCTGGAGAGTTCTCTCACCTTTTAGAATTCTCTTTGGTGGATTGTCCTAAGTTGATCGGTGAATTACCCATTCGCGTCCCTTCTTTAAGGAAAATAGAAATTTCTGGATGTCAAAGGCTTGTGCCAAATCAAGTGAGGCAGCTGCTGCTGCACGTACCTTATCTTGAGAAATTGACGATTTCAGATATGTCGGACTCGGTGGAATTGCAGCCGGGGTTGTGCAAATTAATAAAACTTGAAAGGTTGACTATAGAGAAATGGCCGAGCCTTATGTCATTTCTCGATTTGGGGTTGCCGAACAATTGTCTTCAAGAGTTGGACATCTCTGAATGTTCATCTCTTCTTCAGTTGCCTTTAACCATTGGTTGCCTACCTACTACATTGAAAACACTTTCCATCTCCTCTTGTAGTAGTTTAGAGTTTCACCTGATGGAGCATAATCACCATAAATGTTCCATTGATAATCTGAGCATATTCAACTGTGACCTTCTGAAGACTTTTTCATTGAGTTTCTTTCCAAAGCTTACCTGGCTCAGGATCAGAAAGTGTGTTAATTTTGAAACGCTTTCAATCCCAAAGAGCGAAGAGCTTCAAAATCTTCAATCTCTTCATATAAGAGATTGCCCTAAAATTGTATCTTTTCCCCATGGAGATGGAGGATCATTGGCTGCTCCCAATCTGACCGTGTTTTGGGTTCGGAATTGTAAGAATCTGAAGTCGCTTCCACAACGAATGCGCACCCTCCTCCCATCTCTTCATACTCTGTGTATCGAAAACTGTCCAGAAGTTGAATCATTTCCAGACGGAGGTTTGCCATCAAACTTAACTAATTTTGTGATTCGCAATTGCGAGAAACTGATGAAGGCCCGGAGGGGATGGAGTTTGCAAACACTCCCATCTTTTCAATATTTCACCGTAGAAGGTGAATATAAAGAAGGGTTGGAGTCATTTCCAGAGGAGTGGCTATTGCCCACCACTCTTACTTCTCTTACAATTGGTAATCTTCCAAATCTGATATCTCTGAACCACAAGGGCCTTCAACACCTCACCTCTCTTAAAGATCTGTACATCCACAGATGCCCTAAGCTCCAGTCCTTGCCAAAAGAGGGGTTGCCCAATTCCCTCACTGTACTTTCTATACACGGATGCCCGTTGCTGAAATCACGTTGTCAAAGGCAGAAAGGGGAAGATTGGCCCAAAATTTCTCAAATCCCCCGCATACGGTTCGATTTAAAGGAAGACGTCATAAACTTAGAGTGACAAACACTCATCCATGCTCGCATTGGATGGATTCCTCTGGTTTCTATTCATACAGGAAGAGCCATCCGTAATTCCTTCCACTCGGGTACTACACGTTCTTTCTTTCTTTCTTCAACTTAGGTCTCTATTAATATTTCCACGCAATGTCAAATACCAGTGCTGTTTTTTATTTTAATTTTTTTTTTTCCCTTTCTCGCAGCTCCATCAAAGATTGACGATCAAATCACATTAATTTATGTCCCAACTTGCCCAGATGAAATTTTCAATTTTCAATCAGGTATGTGCTTCCAGTTTTGCCAGATATGATCTTAATTGATGTTAATTGCGGTTATTAGTTTTTGATGTTTGGTTTTGGGCTGCTCCATGTTTGGGCCTTCTTGTAGGCTTCAGTTGCCAATTTCCTTGGGTTGTATTGGGCCAAATGGCCCACCTTTTGTCATTACTTTTACTTATATATCATTTGCTTTAAATTCCAAAAAAAAAATCATGATGATTTCAACAAGTTTGTTATCGGCCACACCATCTACATTATATCAGGTTTCATTTAATGGACACAACCTTAGGTCTCTATTTGATTCTCAGAAACAATGATGGCTGGCAAAGGAAAAGGAAAAGGAAAGAAGAAAGCAGAAGTCGAATAAAAACAATCCACAGGTAGAAGTTTTGTATTTCTTTTACTGGTTTCCCCACATATCCTTATTGCTCTGTATGCTAAATTGTTTTCTTATAAGATATAGAAGTCCTTTTTTTTTTTTTCACGCACACAAAATAAATTGGCTCTAATGGATAAGAATTCGACCCTCCTGCCTCGGGAAGTATCATAATTCCTTGAGGGAGGGTGTGTGAGTACCAACTAGGATAAAAAAAAAAAAAAAAAAACACTCAGTTAACTTCTTCTTTCCATTTTGATTTCAAGTTTTCAGTGGATCTTCCAAAGAATTGCCAGCCTCCGATTTTCTTGTAACTTGCACTATTTCCAGGCAAATATTGATATTGGGTAAGTCACATTCTCAATACAATCATTGATCACAAACATCAATATCAAGATTTTTGAAATTCTCTCAATTTCTCTTGCATGAGCCACTCAGGCTGTAGGCACATGTTAAAATTCTAGCTTGCATTCGTTATTCAAGATTTATTTGTTTTGATACAATTCGTGACACACGTGTTATCTTCTGCCAGCACAATGTTTTCGACAATAGACTTCCGGAGCTATGGGACAGATATCAGTTCTGTTTTGGTTTATGAAGCAAGCAAATCACTCAATGTTCTACTAGTTACAGTATACATTTTATGTCCTGAACTAGTGAACCCATTCAGTACAATGATCAGGTATGCAAACATGTAGTAACAGTTTTTTGGAACATATGCAGAATTCTATTTGAATCATTTTTTGGTGAATATTCCACTACATATTGCCCAACTAGCCTATATTGGTTTCAGAATGCTAAAAGCTCAGCTTGATTACCACGAGGACACGGGTTTGAGACTTTGAGGCTAACTACTTTGCACAAAAATGTGCCCAAAGGTTATGCTTGTGCTATTGTTGTCAATATTACTTATTGAGCTATGTATTGTGGGTTCCATTAACTTGATGTTTTATCAATGGCAGCTTGCAAGCTGAAAGGAACTAGGGCTTGATTCATGTGCCATTTGAGCTCCATGAACCTAAGCAGGATCTGAACTCCGAAGTTGCCCATTTAATTCTCTGATGAGGTAGGGAATTTGTATTTTTATTTTTATTTTTTGCTTCCCCTTGGGCATGAGGGAGGAAATTTTTCTAGCATCTTTTCAAAACACATGCATACTATAGTAGAATCATTTTCTTGTGAATATGCTTATACTTGGAGTTGCAGAGACAATACCACAATAGATTTGCTAAGATATGCTTCGTTACTGGACATGTATGCTTTATTGTTTTAAACTCTAGATTAAATTCATTCCTTGCATGTTATGGATTTAGATTTCTAATTTAAATATCTATTGCTTACTCGTAGCAATCATGAGCTGCTTATAGTTTGGGGGCTTCCTCCTCTGTCCTCATAATCAATCGGTTTTGTGCTGTTAGGATTACAATTATTTTTCTGCATTTTGGAAAAAATACTGGGTATGTTTTTATCTTTTAGTTTTCTGAATATAAGATGTGCTTTAAAGGTTGGCTATGGGGATTTATTGCAGATTACGACGTCCCACTAATGGTGCTTGTGTGGAAATCTGTATCTTACATACCGGTAAACAACTTCCCAGAGGGACACCAAGGTGGCTTTTCAGTCCAAATCCATGGTCTCATGGTGCAGATTACATCAGTTTAAAAAATGATTCTTTTTTTCCCGCCCTTTGAGCTCTATTGCTTCCTAATTTTTCTTGAAACTTGTGGTTGAGTACTTGAACAGGAAATGTTGAATGTTCCTCCTCTGTATATTATTAAAGGATTTAATCCTGCAGCTATGATTGCTGTACTTTACCACTTTGATAACAGCGTCGCATCTCAACTTGCACAACAAAAGGAGTTCTATCTGAAAAAACCAGTTCATATCATTATGATCTTCTTTTGGGATTCTTGGTGAGCTGTTATCCTAAAACTTCAATATTTCTTTAATCTTTGCATTTCAATTGAAAGTCACACCAATTATTGAACCAGAGGTTTTTGTATTTGATTCTAAGAAAATTTAGTTTTTCAACCAGGTCATACGATACAGTCTCATTGGCTTCCTCCTTCCAATGGAGTTATTCCACAATCTACAATGCATGCACACAAAAACCTTAGCCTGCCTAAAACATCAGGTAATATCTGATTATTCAAGTTAGTGAAAGTTACATCTCATGTGTTGTGTTATTGAAAGAGTCCTCTTTTCTGTAGATTGTAAATTAAAAAATTTTGAACTATAGGATTTTTTTTCTTCTAGTGTTGTCTCTTTACCTTTCCTATCCCATGAGCAAACACCCAAATTTCGATAGGAAGATGTCTGGCCCTCTTATTGATATATATGCCTGCCCTCTCCATAAAAGTAGTAATTGTCTCGGTATTTTTAGCACTGTTATTTTTTAAATTTCCGAGTTATGACGTTGATACATGCTTTTTTTTTGTACAGGACATATAGATGTGAGTCGATTCTGGTGTTGGAAAACTAATGCCGTAGCACGAAAAGACGGCCTCCTCTATGGGTTGCAGTAAGGCAATGGGGAGAGATTATCCCTTCATTATTGTGCGCATTTCTTGAATGAGCGTACCATATTGTTCTCTCATCTCATTTCTACCTCAGCAACGGCAATTTCATTCAGAGTTTACATATAGTTTACAAGTTTATTTCAAGTTTTATCATCAAACTGAACGGTATATTATTTTAACCATAGCCAAGGGAGACTATTATTGTATTCAGAATTGGCTGGTTTGTCAAGTTTGGAGATGGTCGTACCAGAGAACTAGGATCGAAAAACTGTTTTCTTTATCTATTTTCATCTTTGGAGGGTTGGAGAGAGCATAGTAAGATTTGTAATCTTCGTAAGAGACTAGCTTTTCTTTTCATGTTTTCTTTTATCACTAAATTACACTGGTACACGAATTTGTGAGTTAATACTGAACTTTTGTGATCAACTCATAAAATTTTCAGGTGGGATCTTTGTAGTGCATTTCTAAGGTGTCGTATTTCCCAAAGGTTCTGGACAGTTTGGTTGCTGAGCAAAACAAAAGCTACAACCTTGAAACTGTCCAGATGAGATTTGCCAATGTGCTCCTGAGTTGTGTAAGCCACATCCTGCAAGTTTTAATCTTACAAACTGCATCCACCAAAGAAAACCCTAAAATCTACTTGTTTGGGGAGAAAAAATAACTCAGAATGATGAAAATGGCAGTCCAAAGCCTGAGCTTTACAAATACAGCTCCGGGTCAATTGAGTCTATTCACCAAATTCATTCTGCGGGATATCCATCAAAAAGTCTCCTAGTCAAAACCCAACTTCAGCATATCCATTCAATGGATATTTATGACCTTGATTCAATGTCTGGATATCAATTTTACAATTTGTCCACAACAATTATTTAATACATCTGTCAAGAGAAAAACGGGAAAAAAATGTCTCGAGTTGCACCTTAGTTCCTTCTACCCCCATTCCGCCTAGAGGCAACCACCGTCCACCCATCCTCCACTTGAGCCGCTTCATTAGGTCTCGGGTCATCAACCATCACATCTGTGCAATTCGAATTCAACTGAAGTTCCGGACCATCGACTGCCATTTCTGTTAAATCATCATTGTCCAAGCTCTGATCATCATCACTATCATCATCATCATCACTGACAGCCTGACACATGGTAGGGAAGCAAAAGCAAAAGAAACAAACATAAAATAACAGATATAGTCCCTGAGATGTGGTAGGGAAGCAAAAAAAATAGAAACAATACACAATCATAAAACTATTTTGAGATCTAGCATACAAATGTTGGTTTCTTGCATCTAAGGAACACTTGGTGAGCAAATATTTTCAACCAGAAAAGTTTTTATCATCACAAAAAACTGTCATGATGCTATTTCAAGAATGGGTTTGAAATGCACCTAGATCATAAGAGTAATTGAGACAAAATATCCTCATCACGGAGATATCGATTGTATTTGCAAGGGTGTTGGACCACCTTGTTGTCCAGTTCAGGATGTGGGCACTGGGGCCTGAAGGAGGTGCAAAACCAGAATAGGACCCCAAGCATTCCTTCATTCTCTCGACATGCCGTGAGGAACCCTCTCCCACTGTCGACGCCAAAATAATGTGGTGAAGAGGGTGGTGTTGATTAAAGGTTTTCGCAACAAAATTGAGAATCAAAGAGAAATGGTTGGCATTCAGCTACAGTCTTCACTCTAGCCATTTCTCTTTGATTCTCGATTTTGTTGTGAATAACTCCAATTAACACAACCCTCTACACCACAGAGACCATTTCCTACTTCAAAGAAGGGAGCAGGAAACATGCTAAGATGGCAGCCTTCGCATGCCAAAGAGGGTGAACAGCACGTCCAAAATGGACCAGTAAAAGATTATAAATAATGGATTGATAAGAGACTAAAAGTCAGTCTCCTCAATAGCATCATCCACTCAGCACTAATCCAGGAACAATTCCCTTCACAGCCCCGACTATCAATAATCAAAATTGCCTCCAAGGCCATTGCATAAATGAAAAGGAGATACTGCCATGTCGCACCATGGTTCGCCCTTGCAACCACTACACATGGCATCTCTCCAGCCACATCAAATGATCTAAACATGGGCACATCTCTTGCGCACACATGGTGTATCACCATTCTAGCACACTACCTCAGTGCCATACAAGTCCCCCTGAGGTTAAAACAAGTGGTGCCTGAATCGCAAACCTCAACCTTGGGAGGCATGAGTGGGGTTTTCCTGCACTTTGAGTTTACATCCAACTAAGTTTATCAACATGACTGTGTGTTCTAACATCGTCCCTAGTTCAAGAATTCCCCTGTTGATCTCAGCCTTGATCTACATAGCCTTGCTCTACAACACCTAAACCCACTAAACCGCCAACTAACACACGCAACCTGTCACACCTATGCCCATTTGGGTGATGAAGATCAAGAAGCTCCTCAAGCCAGCCATGATGTGAGCTCTAAGTTGCACAGTAGTCCTTCATGAAATTATAGGGATTCGGTAACTTGGCCACCGACTAAGGGTTCACCAAAGTGTAACTCTGGTTTACGTTTACATCTTGATCAGACTTGGACAAAGATAGCACATGCGTTCCGAAATTATATTCGCCATGTGTTGCACTCGGCATTTCTCCACCTTGCCTATGTATATTCTCCCACCCTCACTGGTTTCTGCACCTCCCAAGTGCTTGATATATCTGCAGCTATTACCCAGTATCCTTCCTTCTCTCTCTCAAGCTGCCTCGAATTTCACCTCGTTCAATCTCCTGAGACCTTCATTTTTATGTGTAAACTCTTCACCTTCAAAAACCAACTCAGACACCTAACTGTGCCTTAACTTGCAAAACACCCCTGCCTAGAAAAACCTAGTGCATTATCACCGCACGAAACTCTATAAAATGGCATTACATCATCACCTCAACTTTGCCAACGGTTTCAGCCTTCCAACATGAATCATCCTCCTCAAGCACATACACTCATGCACCGTATATTATCTCAGAGAAGCATTATCGACCGTGTGACAAAACTATTCATAAATTTTTATGATCATAAATGCTGTAATATCTGAACTCCACCGGGCATGTACCAAAAGCTTATTGGTCTTAGCAATGTTCCTATACCCCTCTTAAATCTTAAGAGGATTGTCAAAAGAAAAAATTACAAACTCCCAATTCATCATCAATACCGTGATTTATATGTTACGAAGCAACAACAGATTTGACAAATACTACAATCGCTTTGAACAAACTTTAGAATTTTAACTGGCTGAACACTAGTACTAGAAAAATTGTCTGCACAGCCACCAAATGATGTTCAACTATTCAAATAAGTTTTCTTCTATGTATATTTTATATACAGAGTTTCTATCATGTCATAAACTTAGTCTCCAGTTAACAGCACAAATACAAACTGCTCAGAAAAAATGCCAAAATATTCTTACCCATCGCAGAAAATGATGAATTACTCGTAAAACATGTGATTTTTTTCCAGCTAAAAAGGACAACAATTACCTGTCTGATGGGAGGAACCGCACCCCTAGGAGGAATGGTTTCCTTCAGGCTATCAATCGACTTATAGTTACCATCAAGACAATCTTCATGCATAACCATTAATTTTTCTGCAACCTGCTTAGAGCCAATAAAAACAATAATAAAGAAAAGGAAAGAAAGAAAACGGATATTACAAGAACGACAAATTAGTAGAGATTATAAAAGACACACATGTAGACTTGCTAAGCAAAAAAATTTGTCACGAACAGTACAATAGAGCATGTATAGATGAAACAACAGCAATAACAAGAAAAAGAGACCCAAGCAAAGATGAAGGTGGATTGGGCTGTAGAGACTTCGAGGCATTCAGTGTGGCAATATTTGCTAAACAAGATTGGAGAATGGAATGTGAGGCCACGGGTTTCTTGGTAAGGGTATCTAAAGGTAAATACTTCCCCAACTCATCCTTTTTTAACTCGAGTGAAAAGAGGAGCATCTTGGGCATGGAGGAACATAAGCACAATCAGATAAGTGTTAAAGAAAGGAATCAGATGGAGAGTGACTAATGGGAGTTGATTAACATTTGGAAGATGCTTGGCTTCCAGAATCTCTGGATTTTAAAGTCTTTACCCCGTCAGAAAATTGTTCTATTCACAAAGCTTGTGATTTTGGTGGACGGACATTCGGAAGAACGTATCATTATTAAATCAGTTCTTTACTCACGAAGTTGTTCGATAGATAACTAAGATACCTTTGAGTGAGTTTTCTGCCACAGACAAGTAGATCTGGGCTTTCACAGAATCACAAGTGATGGTTCCTTTCTTGTTAAATCAGCTTACAAACTTGCTTTACAACTCAAGCGGACTGGGAATTCTAATGACATTTAATGCGCAGAATCAAGGTGGAATGGAGCTAACAAGAATGTGGAAGCACCTCTGGAAAATAAGACAAAAGGAAAACTTCTGCATTTTTATGCAGCTGTTGCAAGGTAAATTACCAGTTTATTCTCATCTAAAAAGCAGAGGTGTAGTGAATGATGATATCTGCAGTAAAAGTGGTCTTGGTCCTGAGAATATTAGGCATCTATTGCTGCTTTGTCCAGTGGCAATTAAACTTTCAAGATTGTGACCTTTAAAGTTAAGGGTTAAGGACTCTTCTATCATCTCTTAATTTTATGGTATTCAATGAAATTGATCTTGTTTGCTTTGGGGAATATTGCTGGAAAGATTCAGACCAAAGAAATTAACCCCCACCGACAAACAGGAGGCCTCTAGCATACATGGAAAAATACATTCGAGGTGCACCTTGATAGGGCCACTTTCCCCTGTTTCAAGGCCGATTGTGAATAGTTCTTTTTTTTTTTTTAACATGGACAACACAAGACTTGAAAAGAAAAGAGAAAAAGATTTAAGCAGTCTCTAATTGTTGTTTTGCACTCCCTTAAATGTTACTCCTCATTGCCACGCTATTGCCTTGCAATTTCTTTAATCTAACTAAAATAACAAATCAAATAACAAACCCATTTCCAAATTATAATGAAAAAAATGCACTCTTTTGGACAAATGATGTTGGCACATGAAATATGAGCCAAGAAGAGACAAACTACATAGATATTTGATGCATTGTTTCAACGGGTGGGGAAGCAGAAAAAAATCACGAGGAAAAAAATTAAAACGAAAACAGGTATGGTCAACAATGAGCATTGGAGCTTAATCCCACATGGTGCCCCTCTTAATTTGAATTACATTTTAAAGAACGTAGTTTAACAAGCAGGCACACTGATACAAGAATTTGTCCATAAGTTTAGCCCTTTGGTAAAATCTTGGCACCATAAATCCAAATGAAAAAAGAGGGACGTCAATTCAAGGTGCTGAAGGGGGTGGCTTTTTTTACAGAACATGCAACCGGCTCCACAATCAAGAAGTGGTTGCCCAATGGCCCCAAGAGGGAGATGCACAAAATATGAAGAGAGCAAAAAAAGAGAGAGATGCAATGGATGGAAAAACTAAGTTTACAACTACCATAATAATAGAAGGACATTACCAGAAAAACGAAACAAAAGAACCCAACAAAATGTTTTTACATAGATAACTGATTTGTCTTCTCTAATTTGGCTTCAAATTTGGGTAACTAAAGTTGAAGGGAAGGGTAGTAAGAGTAAGAAAAACTGAATATCCAGTAAAGTGAGGCTAACTTAATGAATTTGCTCACATTTCATGACTGAAGTGTAGGAATAGTAGTTACTTTTTTGAGTGTATTTCCGGTGAGGTCTTTTGGGATTTGGGAAGCAGAAGATACTTATGTGAATATAAAGTGATTAAGAACAACATCAAAGGAATAGCCACAAAAATGACCTAACAATAAAAAAGAGCTAACATTTTGGACATCTTGATTAAATAATCCCGCATAATTGAGATAATAGAAAGATCTTGATAGAATTAGAACATCCAAGTAAAAAAGTAAGGCTTATTCTGTATTGTACCGTCCTCGATATGGAGTTAGGTGACACATAGAAATGATATGGAAAATCAACATGGAAGCTTCAGAGGCAGCCATTTTTCATGGTACAAAAGAAGCTGAGTAGTCTAGGACATTACTACTTCCAAAAGGTTTGCCATCTTATGAGAGAGAAGAAAGCAATGTGCCATGTTGCAAATAAGACAGATATGATGTTTGGAGGAAACTGCACGATATATATGCCAGATTTAATTGATTCTAGAAGAATTGAATTTAAAATTGGTGAAATAAGAACAGGAGAAGCATAAACATTGATTTTGTATTAAAATGATTAGTGTGAAAAATGAAAGTGGAAATCACTTTGAAGTGTGAACTGAATGTTACACAGTTCATACAATGCAACTAGCTAAAAAATAAATAAATAAATAAAGGAGTCAAAGTTAATGACCCCATAAAAATGAACAAGCATCAAATGTCTAAATCCTTGACACAAAAAATAGCAAAAAACACCAAGCCCAAAGCACACAGGGATTTGATACACAATTTGATAATCTGAAATGCATTCATACAAGTTCATGGATAAATGACAACTGAAGTTTACAAGCAAGGGAAAAAATGCACACCTCCTCAATACTGCCATCTTCAATCTGAGTATTGATGGAAAGCATAAACTCATCCAGCATTTCTTCTAAATCATCAATAAATAGAGGCTCTGAGAGAGTACGAAAAATTAACAATCCAACAGGGAAGCAATTTAAAATTAACGTTAAGCAACAAATCCAGAGAAGAAGACGCTAATTTAATCCTAAAAACAAATAAAGTACCAATTCATATCACAAAGTAACCAAATACTATATAAAAATTATGTTACAACGACTTTTTTCTACAAGTTCATGAATATCAAACTCCAAAATGAATTCTCAGTCTCAATTGACAGAAGATACGAAAACAGCAAACCAACACATGGATTTGTGCTTTCTTCTTTCCAGAACAAAATTAAAAATTCACAGTTCAACATGGGAAACACCCAAAAGTTTATACATTTGCTATAATTTCCGAGAAAATAGAGTATAAATTTCATTGTAATCAAGCCCAAAGCTAATTGAATAAAAAGAAGAAGGAAAAAAATAATAATAAACCCATAAAATATTAGTTGGGAAAAGGAAAAAAAAAATCAGCATGAAACGTGTGTGTGTGTGTGTGTGTGTGTGTGTGTGTGTGTGTATTGTACCTTTTGATTGGGTGAGCCAAGAGAAGATATCGGCGGCGAGTTGTTGGGATTGTTGGCGAGAGTCACGTCCGCCCCACTCGTTCTCGACGGCCATCTGAAGCGCGGTCCATCGAGACAGAACTAAACCGATGCCTTCTTGGAGCTGTCCCACACCCTCTGCTGAGAGCTCTGTTACTCCGCCAGAAACCATTTGAAAGAATGTCTCTGCAAAGCCCTAACCCTAACCTTAACTTTTGTATATAAATTGAGATGGTGGAGTGTCGGCGATCACCGGCAACTTCTGTATACACTCCCTCCCTGTCTTGCAATTGTATTTCCATCAAGGCATCAACAAAATAAGATGAAAAAGGGTAAAACTACAGTGACCTCCCTTTATGTTTGTCATAATTACACAAATGTCTTTTATAGTTTCAAAAATTATTCTGATCACTCTTAAAAAGTAAATATATATATATTTTTTGGGTAAGTAAAAAAAAAAAAATTTAAATCCATTAATGCAAGGGAGGTCACAGTAGTTTTACCCTTTTTCATCTTATTCACCATGTGTATATACATATTTGGAAATGTGCTATAATGCCCCAGAAATTTCTCTCCCTTTTATACTATACTTATATATATTTTCTTAAAATATATATTTTAAAATTGTTTCATTATATTCTATAATTGTTTCACCAAATTAGCACAATACCTTCACATGGTATAAAAGTAAGAAAGTTTGTCCCTGAAGTTTCAAAAGTGAACAATTTGCTCCCTTTCATTTGACCTGGAGCCACCATTTTTTTTTTTTTTTTTTTTCTTCATATTGTGATGCACACTATTGATACTTTTTTATTTATCCCGGAAATACCATTCAATATGGCGGTTATACCCCATCTTTCTAGAAAAAAGGCTTTTGCATTCCTTTGTTCCAATTAAACCTATTTTTTTGTTCTCTCATTTCCATTTGCATCTGCTCCGTCTGCTCTCCCTCCAAGGTTAGTTCATTTAAGAATATATATATATATATAAGTGAAATAAATACACGTGAACATATATATATATATATATATATATGTTTATTTCACTTCTGTCTTTTCTAGCTACCAGAAGAGTTTTGGAAACTAAATTGAGGATAAGTAGTTAAAGCCTCTCTTACATATGATTTGAAATTTGGGATTATAAATCCCTATTTAGCCTCACAGCCTTTCTCATTCCTCATCTTAAAATAACTTTTAAGGATTTCATTTGCTCGAAACTTCATGAAGTTGCTAGTTAGTTTTGTGTTCTGAATGATTTTTCGTATTTTCATTCTCTATTAAATCAAGCTATGAATACAAATGAGGAAACGTTACAAATAAATAAAAATACAGATGAGGAAAAAGTTAATGAACATGTATTCTTCAATTCTATAGAAGTAGGAAACCCATTCGGCTCGAGTTCACATAACCAGATAGAGGCTCATACGAGGAGTTACAACACTTGAGTCAATTTAGGGCTATTTAATACCTCAATTTATTATAGAAGTCATATAAGATATTTTGACTTTTATTTATTTATTATAGGGTAGTGTGGTAAATAATTGTAGGTAAAATGCAAAGGTAAATTGCTCACTTTCGAAATTATAGTGAACTTGCTCACTTTTATATTCCATATGATATTATACTCACTTGGTGAAACTTCAAGGAGATTTTTTACACTTTTACCTAAATTGTTTCATTATGTTGTATACATGTCGTTTTTTTAATTTACCTCATCCCTTGAACCTAGATTAAACCCCAAATAATGATTAGTTCTAAAACTTCCTACTAATTCAATGTTATTATGCGAGAAATCTTATCACCTATTAAAGTGTTAAGCCAAGTTGACAGTCCATTATTGACGGTGATAACAATGTTATGAAGGTTACTTTTTATGTTTTAAAACTATATTAATGTTCGTATAGTATATGATAAACATCCCAAAAAGTTAGTGTAATTAGTTTAAAATAAAAATATTTTTGTTGGAGAGAACGAAGTCTATTTAAACAAAACTATTAGTTTTAGAGAATATAAAAAGGAGTCTGACAATTGAGCAAATCCAAAAAAATAATTGTGATTAAAAATTGTTGTTCATTCGATAAATTTAAAAGAATTATTGTCAGTGAATGTTATGCACAATGATCATTTCGAATTTGTCCTCTTTAGAAAGGAAATAAAGTTTACAATATAAATATTAGGTCAAAAGGCATGTCTCATTTAAAAAAAAAATTAGAAAAAAAGTTTCAATTTATAAATAGAAGCCAATTTTTATACTAAAATATAATTATATTTTGAAAAGAAATTTAAATTGTAGTTGATTGACTAGAGAAATAAAAATTGAGATGGTTAGGAACACAGAACATTAAAAAACGCAAAAATAAAACTTTAAATTCTACTCATTTATACAAATTCAAATAAAAGGAGAGTAATTATATAATAAAGAAGAGAAATCTGGATATTATTAGATAAATCCTTTCTCACATGAGGCCTTGGTTTGGTTTCTATATGGCCCAATGATGAGGTTTTTGAGTAGACCCAACCGATTTAAAGCCCAGCTCAAAAAGTCCAGATCCGTCACACAAACGCTCCGAAAACAGAAATAGCCGTTACAGCCAGCTACAGCGATCGAACGGCTCTCGTCGATTTCCAGTTCAAAATAACTTGAAATCGAATGAAAACGCTTTTTTTGACCGTTTAGGGATACATCACTCTGCACTCTCTCTCTTTCTCTCTCTATCTCTCTCTTCCATTTTACATTAGCTTTGAAGTTCTCCCATATTCTTCAACTTTCTCTCTCTCTCTCTCTCTCTAGATTTTACATTATAGCTCTGAAGATCTTGACTGATTTCCGAGGCAAAGAAAGAGTGGTCATGGAGGGTATACAATCTCTTTTCACTTATTATTTGAAATATATATGTGTATATATATACGTGTATAATATGTATGTATATTCCATAAATACATCAAATTTCTGTTTGTATATATGTATATGGTGTAGAATCTCATTGCGCGTTGTTTTCTTTCAGATCAAACCCTAGAAACCCTTTCACACAATAGCGAACAAATTATCTCCGGTCACAACACCGATCCATCTTTAACTTGTGAAACAGGTTCTTTCGCTCTCTAATTTACTTTTTATTTGTTTATGTTTTTGTATACTGAATTGATTATTCATATGAAGTTTCTTGATTTTACTCTTCAGATCAAACCCTAGAAACTGCAACATGTGGCACAGGTTCGTGCTTTCTTTGATTTCAATTCTTTTAGGTTAAAGAAATTTTTGATTTGAGATTTCTCTTTCCGGCCCTAAAAATTTAAGTTCCGTTATTTCTTTTATATTGGGCTGTTTGATTTCCAAGAATATTGTGTAAAATGAATAGAGTGTAAAGCAATATTTTTTTTCTTATTTTGGTTTCTATAGTTCACTAGTTTCAAATCAGGCTAAATTGAGTGAGACGTTTGTCTTCTTCTAATCCAAAAAAATTTCAATATGGTTTTCAAAGCAAAAATGTTCTTTTCTTGTCCAACAAATGTTCAGCAGCATTAGAATTTTATTGTTTCTCTTGCTTTTTGCGTTGTGTATATTGATTTGGGGATATGGGTATTGCTTCAGAACCAGTAGAAGTGAATAGTGATTTGATGGATGAGAGTAATGTTTCAAATGGAACCCAAGAAACGTGTTCAGATGGAGAGCAGACGCTACCAATTCTGCAGAAAGTCAAAGACTTGAGCAAAAGAGTTCAGGTTTTTTTTTCTTCTTCAAGTTACACTTTAATAATTTTATAACAAAATAATTTGTTCTCACTTTGCTCATAATTGTCTCTAAAACTTCAAATTTTTTTTTTTTTTTTTGTTTTTCAGTTTTTAAAGAAGGAGCACGCATCTCTATGCATTGAAGTGAAAGACTTAACTGCTGATTCTTTTCCTGGATTTGAAATTTTAAATGCTCTTCAGGGTCTAAGTATGTTTCCTTTGCAAATAACTGACTTGTATTTCCCTTCTTTGTCTGTGGGGCTAAATCAGTGTGTTGCTTGCTCTGTTGGGTGTTATTATTAGGTGCTGAACATGAGCTTTTGAAAAAGAAATACGATGAAGAGTGTAAACTTTTGAAGAAGAAGTACCTTGAAGAGTCATTTGAACGTAAACGGCTATACAATGAAGTGATTGAGCTTAAAGGCAACATCAGGGTCTTCTGCAGATGTAGACCATTAAACCAAGGTGAAATCGCAAATGGGACCACCTCCATTGTTGATTTTGACTCATCTCAAGAAAATGAGTTACAGGTCATTGGCTCTGATTCTTCCAGAAAGCACTTCAAGTTTGATCATGTATTTAGGCCCGAGGACAACCAAGGTTAACTCAAGACCCACATTTGATTTTCTTTTCGTCTACGAAGAATTTATCCAATGGAACTTCTTCTGTTTACGTTTTTTATCCTCTCTTAAATTTGCAGAGACTGTTTTTGCACAAACTTCTCCTGTTGTGACCTCGGTGTTGGATGGATACAATGTCTGTATATTTGCTTATGGGCAAACTGGAACTGGGAAAACATTTACAATGGAAGGAACATACGAAAATAGGGGAGTTAACTACCGTACTTTGGAGGCATTGTTCGGGATTTCCATTGAAAGGAGCAGTATAACGAAGTATGAACTTTTTGTAAGCATGTTGGAGGTTTACAATGAGAAGATAAGGGACCTCCTGGCAGAGAACTCCAACCAACCAGCTAAAAAGTAAGCTATTTTCAGTTTCGGCTTTCTTGACTCAGCTTTGCCATTTCATGCCCTCTATTTAGATTAGAAAACAATGCAAAGCTAGTAAAATAAATGGATAATACAATCTTGGCTTTGGAGGATTCAATGATTTGTTGCATCATTCAGTATCTAAAATTCAGATATATATAAAATTTAAGGCCATGACTTCCAGCAACAATGTAAGTGGCCCAACAGGTGTGTGAGTTCCAACTAAGAAAAAAAAAAAAGGTGCCGCGTTGACTTACAATTTAGGGAAAACTTATTATGATACACAACATTTTTTTATTTTCGCTCTGAAAAAGGCTCATAATCGTTTGTGGTGAGTGATAAGGAATTAAGTCCCATTTGGTTTATTATAACAGTTTTCTACTCTTGGGGTACAAGGTTCCATTTGCTTGAGTCAACTTTATATTTGGACTGGTAAATGTAAACTTACACTGACTAATCTATTGCTACTCTTAAAATGACTCACTATTGGCTTGCTACTATTGTTATCACAGATTTAACATGCACACTAGAGATAAACAAGTACATTTCATGTTTAGCTCCCGCCCTTCCTCTGAAACAACAAAATGAGATAGGCTTTTATGGATGATTCAGAATATTCTTAAAATGCTATTTAACGCTTAAAATATTTTACAAATAGAAATGTATTTAAGTACTGATTTATCTTTAGCTATACTTGTATCAATCAAGTCACTCTTTTGATGGAGACCATGTATTTATTTATTTATTATTTTTTTTTTTTGTGGTCGAAGGTTGGACATAAAGCAATCAGCAGAAGGAACCCAGGAAGTTCCAGGACTTGTTGAAGCTCGTGTTTATGGTACAGATGAAGTGTGGGAACTGCTCAAGACCGGAAGTCAGGCCAGATCTGTTGGATCTACCAATGCTAATGAGCTTAGCAGCCGTTCTCACTGGTAATTGTAACTTTATATATTTTAGACAATGAGTGATGATCTGTCATGAACATATTTTTTGTTATTAGAAGATATGATCATATGATGCAACCAAAGTGTATCTTCAATTTGTGATAATGACCTGAAAGTCCTTTTCACTGTAGCTTGTTGAGAGTAACTGTAAAAGGAGAAAACTTAGTAAATGGGCAGAGGACAAAGAGCCACCTTTGGCTGGTGGACTTGGCTGGAAGTGAGCGTGTGGGTAAAATTGAAGTTGAAGGTGAAAGGCTGAAGGAGTCTCAGTTTATAAATAAATCCCTGTCAGCACTTGGGGATGTAATCTCTGCTCTTGCATCCAAGACAACCCACGTTCCGTACAGGTATCTCTCTCTCTCTCTCTCTCTCTGCGTGCGCACGCTTTTATCTTTTGCTGATCTACCTTCTATGTAATATCTTCTTATCGTCTCTCTGTTCTTTTTTCCAAACCAGGAACTCAAAACTCACTCATATGCTACAGAGCTCTTTAGGTGAGCTTCTTTCTAGTAGTTATTTTTGTTAAAATGGATATTCTATGGTTTGCGTCATCTTCAAATCTTGAAGTGCCACTTAATGATGCCACCACCATGATAGAAGACATATAGCAGTCATCATGATGAATGATTATTAGCTACAGCCTACGGGAAATGCCGCTTCATAGATCCAAAATTTAATGTTTTATTTTTTCAACAAATATACAGTTTTTTCTGCATACTGTTTTTAACAAGCAATACTTGTTGAAATTTGAATTGCAGGAGGAGATTGCAAGACGCTGATGTTTGTCCAGATAAGCCCTAGTGCATCAGACTTGGGAGAAACCCTTTGTTCACTAAATTTTGCAAGCCGTGTACGAGGGATTGAGCATGGTGCCGCACGCAAACAGGCAGACCTCACAGAGCTGTTTAAGTACAGACAACTGGTATGCAGCAGCAATATCAATATTTCCTGGAATTTCTTTGTGGTTGATAACTGCTGCAATTCATAATTTTTATACATTAACAGGCAGAAAAGGCAAAGCATGATGAGAAGGAAACAAAGAAATTGCAGGATAGTTTGCAGTCCTTGCAATTAAGACTCGGTGCCAGAGAACATATCTGCAGAAATCTTCAAGAGAAGGTATTGGTCATATTCACTTGACTTAAGAAGCATGTAATATTTGAAGTTGTTCTACATGGAGTTTCCAATTAGTTTCTACTTAGACAAACGTCTTCTTGACTGAAAATTTCAACAGGTTCGGGATCTTGAGCTCCAATTAGCAGAGGAGAGGAAAACCAGACTAAAACAGGAGAGTAGAGCTTTAGGTACTGCTGCTTCTGCTCATTCTCCGGCCATGGCATCCCTAAAACAATCTCAGAAGACTGTGACAACAGATAGAAGGCCGCCATTGGGTCCTTCAAGACTGAGGCTTCCATTGCGGAGAATCACCAACTTTATGCCCCCGCCAACTCCTCTCCCCCCACCCCACAAACCCAGGACTTCTTCCATTCTCCCAGTTTCAACAGATGACAAAGAAAACATATCAAAAACAATGATGGCAGCAAGCAAGACTAGAACACTTTTGAAACCAAGGCGGGGTTCTATTGCTGTCAGACCACCTCCTCCAACAACAAATCAGGTTCTTCAGCCTAAAAGGCGGGCCTCCATTGCAACCCTACGCTGCGAGCCAAACATGATGACTCCACTCAACAGTTCAAATGCCCGATTGAAGAAAGACCGTGTGATGGGTCGGCAATCATTTGTTTGGGACCCACAAAGGGTGTGGCGTACATCGAGGAGGCACTCCCCATTGCCGGAGCTCAAGGAAGCAGGTGCAGCAGCAGTGGAGGCAACTCCATCTGGGCCGAGAAGCAGCAAGTTTATGGGAAGTCCACCAACGGGGCAGGCAGGTTCTTGGAAGCCTAAGCATCCAACAGTTGTTGCACTACAACGGAAGCAGTTAGTGTGGAGTCCTCTGAAGCTGAGAGGCATGAGAAGTAACAGGAATTCATTGCTGCCTTCTTGATTCCTGACACAGACATGGATCAAGATCTCACACAATCTGTTTCATCCACCACCCTAAAATGTCAAAACCTACTTCTTCTTCTTAGGATATATTGCTGTGTATGCTTCTTGCTTACTATACCAACCATTTGCTACTGAGTTTTTCTTTCTTAGCCTTCATTTTACAGTGTATGATTTTGATTGGCTATTTTAGTAATAAGCATCTCTCTCTCTCTCTCTCTCTCTCTCATGGCTATTGTTTAATTTGTTTCTTGTGTAGTTGTATACTTTTATTGGCATGGCCCTTGATCTTTTTAATGTAGGATTTCTTTGCTTTGCAATGGTAAAGGAGAAGTACTTTTTATCCTGCACTATGATGGAATCCAATAGCCAAAATAATCATTTTGAACTCATTTAATCGTTAAAATTATCGGCTAGATTATTAAATTTGAGTAGCATTGTCCTACATTTTTCTTTTTCTCTGTATCCTTTATTTAAGTTCAATTTTAATAATATTTGCAATAAAGTGCCCTTGTTAGAGGCAACAGCAACAGTATGTCTTTAGGAAATAGGAATAGTTTCACCATGCAATGAGGTCAATTGAAATCCAATACATCAAACTTGTAGATGTAAAACATGATCAAACAGATAAGGTTATAATTGAGGATGTAATATGTGCAATTGCACAAAACAATGAGCCCTCAAAAAATACTTTTTATGTTGAAAAGATAATTTTTAGTCTGTATTGTCATTTTGGGTGGTAAAACCTAATGGTTAAAAAAAAAAAAAAAAAAAAAAAAAGAAGAAGAAGAAAATTGGTTTGGTTTGTAACTAAATATGATTTTGAATTCAACTTGAATATGTCCAATATTATTAATAGTGGCACAACGAAAGACTCATTATTCAAATTTAATTTGTTGTATAATCTTAACACAAATTAAAAAAAAAAAAAATTACACTAGACTCGTTGATTTTATACTTAGACGTGTACAATCTACCTCATTTTTGTAGGGGTTGTCTCCTTTGTGAAAAACATATAATCGTGTCTATTGGATGCATTCATAAAAGTTGTATTTGTGATTGAATTGGTTTGAAAAGATGGTGATATTTAGTTTGTCACTAAAAATAGTTAAAGTCAAATGACCAATCAATTGAAGGTCAAAAAATGTGCAACACTTGATCACTCCCAAAGAAGCAACCTTTTTTCCTTTCTTCTTTACTTTTTCAAAAAAATACCCTCACCTTTTTCCCTCTCTCTCTCTCTATTTTCTCACTCCAATTCCAGTGTGAATGTAACTCTTATCAGAACACCTTAACTTCTCTCACTTCACAACTACACTTTCTCGTCTATAAACCCTAAATTCTCACCCATTTCACGCACACAAATCAAAATGCAAGACATATTCGGATCAGTGCGCCGATCCTTGGTCTTCCGAGTACCCGAAGGCGATGACCATGGCACAGTCGAAACCCTAGTCGACAAGATCAATTCTTGCATCAGAAAATCCAGAGTCTTCTCTAAACCTTCATTGCCGCCGGCCAACAGAGAGAATGCGCCTCAAATCCGGTGGCGAAAAGGTGAATTGATTGGTTGCGGTGCATTTGGCCGTGTCTACATGGGCATGAATCTCGATTCCGGAGAACTTCTCGCCGTCAAACAGGTTGATTTTGGTGGAGTTTCAATTGTGTTTTTTTTTTGTTGTTGCTAATTGTGGGTTTGGAGTTAAATTTTGAGTTGCTTCATGCTCAATTTCCTTTTTCTTTTCTTTTTAGGTTTTGATTGCGACGAACAGTGCTTCGAAGGAGAAAGCACAGGTTAAATTCTAATTCAGAGTGTTAATTATTTAGTATTTTTGTGTTTTTTTCTGCAAAATTGATTCATTATGGTATGGTTTGTTTGATTCGTCTTAACCTTTTATGATAATTCACTGTTTAGTTGCTAGAGATTTTATTATTATTATTTTTTTTTGGGGGGGGAGGATGAATGCAGGCGTTTTATTAGGTTCAGTTCAGTGGGAATGTCTGTGATGAGTAAAATTAATATAATTTTCTTCTATATTTTTGCATTTTCTCTTCAATCAATTGGAGAATTATAGGGTTTACAACTGTTTATTTTTACTTCATTGGATCAAATGAAGATTTAGATCTTTTATGTCTATGTTTTTTTATGGGGGCATTGTATTGAATCAGTTTGCATGATTTGGTACTGGCTCTAAACAGGCCCACATAAAGGAGCTTGAGGAAGAAGTGAAACTCCTTAAAAATCTTTCCCATCCGAACATTGTTGTAAGTGAAATCATTCATTATTTCCAGTGATATACAGTATCTGTAGCTTTCCCAACTGTGTCTATTGTGTTGTTTCCTCAGAGATATTTGGGCACGGTTAGGGAAGAGGAGTCCTTGAATATTCTGTTGGAGTTTGTTCCAGGAGGATCAATCTCATCACTATTAGGAAAATTTGGATCTTTTCCTGAGGCTGTAAGTACAAGTTAATAGCCAAAAGGTGTACTTTTGGAGCTTTCAATGCTAATGTTATTTAAAATATGAACTTATTATTCAGGTCATTAGAACATACACAAAACAATTATTACTGGGATTAGAATATCTTCACAAGAATGGAATTATGCACAGGGATATTAAGGTACTCCTTTTGCTCCTCTGAGTCCTCTCTCCCCTTTGCTTTTTTTTTTTATTTCTTTTAAATTAATTGTATGAACAAGTAATACATATTTTCATGCATATCTAGGGGGCAAACATCCTTGTTGATAACAAAGGATGTATAAAACTTGCAGATTTTGGTGCATCCAAACAGGTCGTTGAGCTGGTACATACACCATCTTCTCTTTGACTTTTTGTTTATTTGTCTGTATGTTTAGCTTTTAAGATTGCTTATCCTTTGAGTAACCTTACTAATCAAGAGGTGTTACAATAGGCTACTGTTTCAGGTGCCAAGTCTATGAAGGGTACACCATATTGGATGGCTCCTGAAGTCATTCTTCAAACTGGCCATAGCTTGTAAGGATAAACAGACTTGTTTTCAGCATTAATGTGATCAAATGCATGTGATATCCTGTGGTGCTTGACTGACAATGTCCTAACCGAGTTACACACCCTTTAAGTAGTTCATAGTTACTAAAAAGCAACATACCCTAGCAATCTGCACTTTGAGATGCATGTTTAGAAACCAGGAACACTAGATTTAGCTATGCGATAAATTTCTTATTTTTTGACAGAAAAATAATCGGGAAGGATCATAACAAAGCAAGAGATCAACATAAGTAGGTATACATAATCAATGTTTCTACATGTTTCATTCCAATAAAATGATTTTTGTGTGACTAGACAGACAACTTGTTCACTTCAATACTAATAATGGTCACCATACATTCTTCTTTTCATTTTTGCATTGTTTAATTACTAAAATGAGAAGGCTGACAAGTTTGAGGATGCAAGTTCGAGTTTCAGAGTAGCCACTTGGGCAAAATAGTGACAAATGTTAGCTTTATATCATCTCCTTACAGCTCTCTCTTGAGAGCACGTTATTAATTTCAATTTCTTGAATTCATTTCCTTTTTAATTTGGTTTTCAAATGAAGTTCTTGGTTTTGCCATAGAAAATTCAAGATATCACAAACTCAGAATAATATCTAAGGGAATCTTGTTATATAGTGGTGTAACAATTATGCTCTCCTGTAACTTTTGTTTGGTATGCTCTTTAGCTTAGCTTTTGCATTCTTGATCGTCCTCCATAGATAGTGAATATCTCTGCTTTTGCAATATTATAATTCACTTACCTTTTGATGAACTTAAATTTCTTGATTATCTATTGAAACAATCTTCTAGCTCTGCTGATATATGGAGTGTTGGATGTACTGTAATTGAGATGGCCACCGGCAAGCCTCCTTGGAGCCAGCAGTACCAAGAGGTAAACACATGCTACGAGTTCTGTTTTAGTCAGTGTTTTCTTTCATTCTGCGTACTGGGGTTTTTATTTAATTTGGACCTAATACAGTCAACTTTAGAAGCTTTTCCCCCTTACATGACATTGTCAACAAATTCTTATTAGGTTGCTGCTCTCTTCCATATTGGAACTACGAAGTCTCATCCGCCAATCCCTGAACATCTCTCCGTGGAGGCAAAGGATTTTCTGCTGAAATGTTTACAGAAGTATCTATATTTACAACTCACTTATTTTTAGTATATTTGATACTAATCCCTTGGATGTGATAAAGAGCATCCCCACTATAAGTAACTTTTTAATTTTGTTATTTTTGTGTTTTAATTTTGATCATTAGAAAAGACTGTCACAGGCTGAGGCTCTCTTGTTCATAATATGACCTTTTTGTTACTTGATTTATACTTCTCTAATTTATTACATTTTGTAATTGCAGGGAGCCAGAGGTGAGGCGACCAGCAAATGAATTGCTAAAGGTGATTCTGATTTGATTAACAAACTGCAGTGTTTTTCAAAGTTATACCATAATCATGAGATGTATCTTTTGTGGTGCGTGGTTTGATTTTTTTTCAATTTACTAATCACATGCAGCATCCTTTTGTTTCTGGGAAATCCATGGAGTCTCCTGTTTTTCAGACTACATCAATCGTAAGTATGGTTGAAATGGGCTTTGTTTTATGTTGTCATGAATACTTTCTGTCAAAAAAAATCAGCACAAGTTAATTTCTACCATCAGGAGAACTTTAAAAGCCCTTCATCAACATATGGAGTGAACCTGGAAAGCTCGTAAGTATCCTATTTGCTGACTTTTTAACTTAGGAGTCTGTTCAGTGCCTAGCTGCCATTAATTTAAAGGGTTGGGATGTGTAGCATTAAATTTTCGCTAATCACTTAACCAGACCTGGGTCGGTGGATATGTGCAACGTGGGAAATCTTAGCTGCTCAGGTGCAAATTCTATGAAATTGTCAGACGATAGACATGTTTGGGGAACAAACTACGCAGATGATGACATGTGTCAGATTGATGACAAGGATGATTTTATGGCGGGTGGAGAAGTAAATATTAGCTCTGTTTTGATGCCTGATGACTTTAATAAGGTATTCAACTGCTCTCATGTCCTAGAATATTATAGGCGTCAAGCATATCGGGTTTTCAGGGACTAATACTTGCATGTATTTCATTTTTCATTTAAACTAGAGTTTCAACCCCATGTGTGAGCCTGCTGATGATTGGAGGTGCAACAATGATGGGAGTGCAGAACCAGGAACAAGAGGCATTAGTACTGACACTGATCAACCAGTTCATAGGTCTGCTGGTAGCCCTGAAATATCTGGTGTGGGGGGGAAAGATTTCTCATTTCACTGTGGGCGATCACTATCTGAGGAGGATGATGAACTTACTGAGTCTAGAATTAGAGCCTTTCTGGATGAGAAGGTATTTTCTTTTGTGTTTAAATAGAGTAGATAAATTGCCATCATAAAGCCTTGGCTTCCAGTTTTGGGTTTCACTGGAATGTTAGGGCATTTAACTCTTTCCTTGTCACTACGTCAGGCTCTAGAACTTAAGAAACTACAAACACCTTTGTATGAAGAGTTCTACAACAGCAGTTTGAATGCAGCTAGCTCCCCGAATTTCGCTGAGACCATGCACGATGACAGTTCTCCGAAATATTTGAAATTACCTCCTAAAAGCAGATCACCCAGTCATGGTCCAACTGGTACCCCATCTCCAACAGTTGATGCTGCTAGTACTGCAAGCCCTGGAAGTGGTAGCAGGCACGTACTAAATGTTGGTAGCACAAGTAATCAAAGTTTACAGGACAGTCCATCACATCAGCATAAAAAAGAGCTTGCAGTTGATGTTCAGCCAGAGCCTGGTAGCCCAAGGTTAGTCCACAAGCGAGTTATTTCTCTAGATGACCATCTATTAGTCGTTGAGTGATCTGAAATAGATACTCTACCTTCCACAGTGTGAGCTTTTCTGAAAGACAACGAAAATGGAAAGAGGAGCTTGATCAAGAGCTTGAGAGAAAGCGAGGTAGGTATTCTTACTCTTGTAAATTTTGATTGCCAACAAGACTGTTTGCTGGACTGGGGTGAATCTTTTTTAAAATGTTTATCACCGATCTTTTAAGTTTTGAGTACTTGAAATTTTATATTTAAGTTGCCAAATCTCTTAAATTAGTCAAACAGCGTTAGACTTGGGATGAATTTCCATATTGGTGGTCCTCAGTATCACCTGATTTGTTCTCTTAGAACTGTGGAATACTGGTTGTGAGACAAAAACATTATGAGCCGCGTTTAGAAATGTCGTAGTGCACTGTGCACGAGTAATTAGAGTCTACAGTTCTATGATTGTCTATGAGAAGTTGGGAACTGATTTCCCTTTTTTCTGTTTTAAATACAAGAATATCATGAAACTGTCCTGAGACTGAGAGTGTAAAAGCTAATTGTTGGGTCTGTTCTAATGAGTTGACATTGGTTGAGGACATCTTGCAGACTTAGTTATATTTATATATCTTTTATTGTAAGTTGATTGTACCGCTTAATGAACCTTTTGCATTTGAGGTTCAATGGTGCACAGTTATGTTTTGCTAAAACAAAAATGGACCCAAGGATTTGGATTTTCTATGTTTTAGAAGGAAAAAAATAAAAAATAAAAAATAAAAATAAAAAAAATTGCTGTTTAGTTCCTTTGTATATATTTATTAATTAATTCAAAATTTTAATGTTATACACTTATCCAAAAGTTATTCATTTGTGGATGTGTTTGTGTGTGTGCATATATTGAATTTTTTAGAAGAAATAAGAACATGGACCTTGTGTAGCACGGACACCAATATGACACAGGAATGTCAAACAACAAATATGGAATGTCAAACAACAAATTCTAAAAGATAGAATATGGAAATTTATAAGCATATAAAATCACGTAAATAGGAAAAATATATGTGGACAAAATGGTGTAACATAAGCAAATTCTAAGCAAGGAGTTACTTTATATTGATCCTGATTGCTGGTGTGATTGTTTACATAAATCCTCTAGAAACCATTTGAGCAAAGGATGAACTCTTGGTCTCACATACAGATTTTTTTTTTTCTTCCACTTGTCTCCGCATTTCATCTCCATGTGTGGGTGGTATTTTGCAAGATATAAAATTTGAAAATGAGTATCTGTCTTATCCATAGAGACACATTTCGTAGAATATACCATAATTATGATTTGGAGCTATTTATGGATGGCCATGTCATCATCTCCTACTGACTCAAAATTTGGCAAGTATTACAAGCATAGGAAAAGTATGTGATAATAAGGTTGCTTTTATAAACTTGGGTCGGACAAAAAGAGATTGAAGAGTGGAAGACCAAGACCAAAGGGGAGGTGAGGGGTTCGAGCCCCATAGTGGGCAATTTGTGAAATGTGTGCGTGAGAAATTAACTAATCAAAGAAGATTTTTTTTTTTTTTTTTTTTTTTTTTTTTTTTCTGGAAGGCTAAGATGTTATATGGGAAGTAATTTGATTGTCCTTTGTACATATTTGTATATTTGTATTTATGTGTGGGTATATATGTATATGCGTAGGCAAATGTAAACTCGTAATTTTGGTGCCTCCTCTCCTCCCACTCGCTCTCATTTAACAAAATAATGACTGATTAACTTTTTTTTTTTTTGTTAAATACTGTCAAACGAACCTTTTTTTATTTTTTTTGCCTACAGTTGTACTTTTTTCTATTATCAAAGGAGACCATTTTGTCATGTTCCAACATTTGTCTGTTTCGTCATGCAGGAGTTTCCAATAATTGTCATCGAAGTGTTGATTTCTTTCTTCTTTTTTTCAAATTATGCACATGTCAAAGGCATGTCTATGAGGTGCTGATGTTGACACGTCCAACTTGCACATTGATCCTTGCAAGTTCCATCAGAAGTCCTGTACCTTTAGCATCTAAGCTGGTCTCATGCTTATCTTCAAGGTCATCCTTTTGTTAATTGATAGTACTTCCATTAGGGCTGCCACATTTTTTCTTATCACTTGATAACTTCCTTGGTCCTCCAAAGATCATCAACCATGCGTCTTCAACCCTATCCCCTTTGTGGCTTAAGCATGCACCTAACTCACTAGTATACAGATGAAGAATATAATGCTATATGTTAATGGGCTAAAAGAAATTTTATCCAAACATGGACAAGGCTACTGCTTGACTCCACCTTGGTTCATGTCAGGATGCTTTGTCAATCTGTTTCTTCCTTATATTTGTGTTTGCACTAATTTGATGAGTAGTGGGCTCATTTGGCCTTGGTTCACATTAGAATGCTCCAATGTCAATCTATTATTATTATTATTTTTTTTTTATTTATTTTTTTTTTTCTAATCGCCCTTAGTTTTAAAGCTAGTGCTTGAGCTTGCAAGTTGCAACTTTAGCTTGTCATAGAACTCAAAGTTCACATCTCACTCTCAGCAGTGTTACCGGGTATTTTCCATTTGTTAAACCATTGCTTCTCACAGAGAATGGACAAACAAATATCAGGATCTGTAGTTTGTACAATTTTCTCAGATTTAAATTTGCTTCTATGATTCTAAAATGATGTGTCATAGTGTTTGTTCTTTGTATCCTTTTGATGCTTTGTGATGGAAAAGGATTGTTCTGAATATTCAACCACCATTAACCCTGTCAATGGAGCAACATACCTTGTCGCTGAGTACTTGGGCTTCATATTGTCAAACCTCTGATGCTTTTTCAGTTTTTTGAAGGCCACATACTCTTCTTTCAAGTTGCTTTAAGCTAATTCTTTACTTTAAGCTCTCACTTTTTAGTTTTCATATCATGACACACATTTACAGCTCTACCTCCTCTGTGTGTGTGTGTGCGCAATCACACACGCATTGTTACAATGTTACACTATTCCTATTTTATTGTAGTATGCAAGGAGTTTTGTTTTTTATATTATCATAAATTGTGCGTGTCCTGTCACCCAAAATGAACGGTTTTCCGTGTCTTTCAATCACATGATTGTAAAACCATGGTTGCAGAGATGATGCGCCAAGCGGGTGTAGGAGGGAAGACTTCGTCACCAAAAGATCGAGCTTTGAATCGACAAAGAGAGAGATCAAGGTTCGCATCTCCAGGAAAATAATTATATGTATTATGCATATCCTGTCTGCCTTTTTGGAAAAGATTGTGCATTCCAATCAGAAATCTATCAAATGCTGCTGCAGTCTTGGTGAAAATGTTATGACATAGGGCGTGGCCAGCGTACAAGCTTTGCATGAAAATAACTGCTACGAAATCTGTCACGCATCCGGTTCATTTTATCATATGATTTGTCCATGTATATTCTTTTAAAGGCCAAGTCAGTATATGTTACATTGTATCAAAGAACCATTGTTAAAAGTATATGCCTCTGAAATTTTTTCTTTTTGAGGTTGCGGAGGGGTGGAGGAGGGCATTTATGTTTTCCAGTTGGTGTGTTCTATATACTACAATTTTGTAATTCTTAATGTAGAATAATCAGGATTGATATGGCACATGACAGCCTCAGAAATCCTGTCCCACTTTCTTTTTCAGCAACTTATTCACTTCATTGTTTTTGTGCTTGAATTCTGTTGATTTCTTTAATGCTTAAGAATTTCACAAGAGTATTTTTGCGCTTGATTGCAGAATTTCATAATTCTTCATGAATCCTGTCCCACCTTCTTTTCTTCACTTCCATTGCTAGTTGGCTATGAGCCTATAGTGTAATGGGTGGGAGTTTGTTCATTTGCCTAAAAGCTCAAGTTGTTGGGTAATATACCCACTTCAATCCCTATCCAAATCTGATGTGGGACAAGTCTCACTTGCAACATTCTTTCTCACCCGAACCCGCTCAACGCTCTCGTTGCGGCCGGGCCACCTTGCATACCTGGACGCCTTCCGGGTCGGGCACTAGGTGTGATGCCGGATTAAGGACTAAGTCTGGCTCTGATACCAATTATAACGGGTGGGCGATTACCTAAAAGCTCAAGTTGTTGGGTAGTGCTACATATCCATCCATTTATACACACTTCGAACCCTATCCAAATCCCATGTGGGACAAATCTCACTTGCAACACCTAGAAAGCAAGAGTATTCTATTGTGGGTGCCCTGGCGATGTCGGGTGGACATGTAGGGGTGAAGCCATACAAATGGTTTTTTTTTTATTTTTTTTTATAAACATATATAAATGGAATTTTTTATATAATGCCCCCTAGAATTATTATTTTCTAAGACTATCTCTAAATTTTCTAGTTTTTTTCTCTTTTACTTCTTAAATTCATTAAAAAAAAAGTTAAACTTTCCATGTTAAATTAAAGTCCCTTTTTTTTTTTTTTTTTTAAGTCGTCGTTTTTCTTTTCATTTTTTCCCCTTCTACTTCTTCAAATAATTCTTCTTCTACAAATCACTCCCTTAACGAATCCTATCCTTCGTTGAATACCCATGAACATGAATATGAATTGACGAATAAAAAATGCTATGAAATCTTGAAAGAAAAACGGAAAGATCCCTCGAGTCTAGTCATGCCATTTAAAAAATGCTATGAAATCATGAAAAACGGACACAGCTGGATACACAGGGTTCATAATACGGTGCGTCAATTTATGAATTTTATTTTTTTTTAAACCATGGAGCTCAACTCAAATACTAAAATCTAATAGGGTAAAAATAAAAATTAGACTAAAAAAGTCTTACAACAATAAGTGTATTCACATCCATTGCCTCAAGCTTTGTTCTAACTTCATATATTAAAATGTAAGCCAAATCAATCGGGGAGAGAAAGCAAGAAGTTGAAACATCTTTTAGAATGTGAAATCTGTCATTGAGAAATTGAAAACAGCCATTTTTTTTTGTATGTCTATGCTTCCTAGCTAGTTGGTTGGTTTATTTATTATGGATTGATACAAGTCTGATTAATATTGATCAAAGGCTGTCAAACTACCTAATCCAACCTTCCTCCTTTATCTGGGTTTGGAATATTCGGGCATGTAACTCATTTTATAAAAGGGATCGCCCTATTCTCTTAAAAATCGATTATGTAGTGAGTCAGCCATTGTTCATAATGTTATTATTATTGTCTCCTAACCACGTCTCATAGCCGCAGGCATTGTTCTAAAACATCCACATCCGGAAAAGCTTTGGGTGGACCCCTAAACGCCCACCGAAGTGAGAGGAACGGTGCTGAAGCAGCTGGTGGTCAGAGAAAGCGTGAAGCAGCATTAACGTTCCTCTGACCATCAGCTACTTTAACGTACCTTTATTTTCTAAACGTTTTAGAACAATACCTGCAGCTATGAGACAAGGTCAAGTTACACTAATAAGATAATAAATAATAGCTATATTACCATCACCACATTATCCATTTTTATAGAGAATATGATCGATGTCTCGTTTATGTGTAATATGACGGAATGAGCCCAAATAATAACTATCTAGTAGGTCTGTTTATGTGCACATGTTTACCATTGTAGAGTAAACTTGTGATCAGAAGAGGTCCTAAAATGGAAGGCACCAACTATAGATATTGATCTAGTGGATGCCAAAAGCAGTGCTGTGAAGTATCAGTGAGTCACCTCTTGATTGACCTGAACAATTACTCTTACCATTCAAATAGAAAACCAAAATGTATTGAAATACTTATTGCACAGTATTGCATTCCATTGTATCAATGGCACTTCTTTTCCACTTACAAATCCCATCCACCAAAAAACTGCCCACCATTAACTAAGCGAATAAAACCCTACAAGGAAGGCGAGCTAAATCTAGGAAAATTCCAAGGAGCAATTGTACTTAAAAAAATGCAAATTCTTTACAAAATGGCCTGCCTTGAGAAACATAACAAGGAATATATGAAATCAGGATTCGCAACGTGTCGAATTTTACTTGCTGAGGTGATTGTGAAACAAAGAGCTGCAAAAACCTTCACCCTTTAACTGGAGGTGTTCTTTCTAGCAGCATAGACACGGTAAGCTGCCAGTCCAACAACAGCTACTGCAGCTCCAACTGTATTAGTGAAAGACATAAGTAGTAAATACGAAGTGTTGGTAGCACAGAACATAAAGGGAGTATGAATGGAAAAAACAGAAGATGATGATGATGACGACAATGCCAACTACCACTAAACAATAGACAAGAAGATTAAATATGTCTTCACAGCAAAATAGCAATTCTTTAAGAAACAAAAAACAGAATAATTCTTCTAGAAGCCAATAAAAATAAAAAAGGCTAACAAAAAAACTTAACGCTTTGTTTAGGTTTGCCGGAAAGGGACTTGTTTGGAAGCCACAATAATAGACTTCGATCGAGCAACATTTTAATAAAAAATGAAAACAAAATATAGACAATCATTATATTTAAAATTAACAAACTAAAAATGATCAAATACAAAACTAAGAACGACACTTTGTCCAGCACACGTCTTAGACATGCACATAAGTTGAAAATGGAACTCCTAATTTCTGACACATGCCTTACACTTCTTGAATGTGCTAATATGTTAGCAATAAAAAGCCTTGCATATGCTGGATAAGACTTTCTTTTAGCATTGAGAAAAAATAAATAAATAAAGGTACCATAGTAAAATCAAATAAGAGTCTACATAAAATTAATTGAAGTTTGACCAAATTAAAAGAATTTATATAGAATAAGGTTACATTAAGGAGTGGACATGGAAACAGGAGAGAAGTTGTCCTATTATGTGCATGCATATAAATAAACAAATTCACATACATACACAAGCACAGGCACATAGATATATGTCATGTCCTTCTAAAATAATTAATTATCTATCCCACAGGATTGATTATAATTTTATTATTCTACAAGTTACAAATCTAATTTTACATTCATAAAATATTTATGCGTTGTGTATAATATAAATTTTTTAAAAAAAATCTACATATAATATTTTGTGTTTGTATCCTAATTTTTCAAGATTTACCATATCAATTAGTCCATGTCGTGTCAATCTCCATACATCAGCGTCTTAGATGCAACACACACATGCACACAACAACAACAAAACTGAATATCTAGACGAGTTATCTACAGAACAAATATTAAAATAAGGACTTATTTGTATATGTAGCTGCAGTACCATCTCCTCGAACAAATTTGAATTTCAAGTAGACGCTTGGAGGCCTTAGAATAAATAATTCAAGTAGAGTGAATATTTTAAGCTTACCCTTCAATAAATAGGTTGTGAAAACAAAATAACAAATAAATACCCATTCTCCTGATTACCAAAGATGGTGAAATAGACCATACTCTAATGAAATTTTGAAGAACAAGAATTATGCATCAAACAAAAAATCAGACCAACTAACAATGAAAGTGAACAGATTTTTGAAATGTGCAGCATATCTTTAAGATTCATGGTACTAATCAAACAAAAAATCAGGAGTCCAGTGTGGACATCCACCAATTTCAAAGATTAAATACCTGATACAAACATGAGAGAACGGTTAATAAGCCGGTGGTAGTGCTTGCGGCTTCTCCCAGCTTCAGTTTCAGGAATACTCAAATGAGGGTGCTCTGCAGCAGTTACTATCCTACGGAATACATTATTAAAATCTCCCAACTTCGTGCTGATAGGTATAGGGGCCTCTATTCCCATATCTTGACTAACCTATAAAAGCAAAATAAGTAGCAGATGTTATTATAGAGACATGAACCATAAATAGATTCACCAAACTAACAGTCAAATTAAAAATAATAGCATCGTTAGCAACACATTGAATTTGTCCGCAGGGTCCTGTAACAGTTGCCGTGTAGCCACCGCAACAACATGCACCACTAGTTGGTCACAGAATTAAGTTGACTTGTCTGATCAATAGTTGCATTGTGGCAAAAATGTTCATTTCAAACTTCTCAATTTGTATATTTTGGATGAGCAGATTTTATAAAATAAATTCTGCCTACAATGGAGAAAATGTTGACAAACTTGAAAATATGCATCAAGCATTTGTTTCTTTATTATTCAATCACACTTCAAAATGCAGCTGCATTATGATAAATCCTAAAAGTTTGGGGAGACTTAAAAGTTTGGTGTCCTACAGAGTGCTTTTTCATCTTGTACAAGGGATGGCCAAGGATAGCTCATCTCAAAATTCAGTTTCTGGTAATAGCTTAGCCCATGAGTTTAACTATTACTGGAAATATGTTTGGAGAATTAAAACTTGAGGAAAATTCATTTTTCCCCCTGGCAAAACTGTCATGAAAAATTGTCAGTGTTAAAGAAGTTAATGATGCAGTGTGTCAATTTTGGGGATTTGAGGAAGAGACTGTTCTACAGGCTTTGTGTCATTGTCCTTCAGCTAAAATTGTGTGGAAAATGAGTCCTTTTAGGTTGGTGTTTGATAAACCCAGGTTCTATCATGGAAACAACAGTGGATTCAATTTATTAATACGTGGTCTGCTGTGGAGCAAGCTGACGATAATCGAATCTTGCCTATTTCTTGTGTTGGTCTATCTGGAAGACCAGAAATGGGAATTTTCAGAAAGATAAGGATCCTCAATTTGTATTGAATATGGCTTTGTCACATTTTTCTGATTTTCCTGAAGTTGTGAAAACTCTCTCTCTTGATGTTGTGCAAATTTAGAATTCTGTTGCTGCCACATCTCAGTGGATTAAACCAGCTGAACTATGTTAAAAAATTAATTTAGATGCTGCTTATAATTGTTTAACAAAGGAATGTCATGGTGATATGGCTTTAGGCGAAGTTCTGAGAGTTGATTCAGTGTTTTTAAACTTTGGTGCTAAGAGAAGTGTTGAAGATGCTTAAATTACGGGAATACAACAATGTGATTATTGACGGAAAAAAAAAAGTAAAAAAAAAAAAGGTGACTGTCAACCTGCACTGTGGTTGAGGCTTGTGTTTCTGGAATGGGGGTGCCTATTGAAAACGTCAAGCTAATGCTAACTCGGGGTGTGCGCTCAACTGGGTAACACGGCAACATTGTAGCTCATTGTATAGGCAAAATTGCTTTGGCTGATAGGAAGGGGAATGAGGGATTGAGATATTTGGCTAGCCTCTTTCTTACGGGCTTTGGCTTCTAATTGTCTTCCTATAACGTTTGTTGTCTTTGGCCAGGATTTAAAAAACAAATAAATAAAACTAATAATCCTAAAATTTGGATAAATCATTGTCCACTTAACCTAGGTTGTAACGGGTGGACGCTTACCCATTTACCCGAAAGCTCAAGCTATTGCGTAATGCTGCATTCCCACCCATTATACACACTTCAACCCCCATCCAAATCTAATGTGGGACAAGTTCCACTTATAACATTCTCCCCTACCTGAACCCACGCAACGCCCTCGTTGTGGTCAGACCACCCTGCCTACCCGGGGACAGACCCGGGCGTTTAGCGTGATACCGGATTAAGGACTGGGTCTGGCTCTGATACCAAATGTAACAGGTGGACGCTTGCCCATCTACCCAAAACCTCAAGTTGTTGGGTAGTGCTGCATACCCACCCATTTATACGCACTTCAACCCCCATCCAAATCCGATGTGGGACCAGTTCCACTTGTAACAGTAAACCTGTAAAACTGCAAAGATGTTGCAACCATCTACTAACAGCAAGAAATCCTGTTTGCCAACTTAGCAAGTGAGTAAATCAGACTTTTCTGGGATGACGTGTAACAATGACCTGCCAGGGTCATTTAATTCATGTATTTGAGTATTATTTATCAAAAAAAAAATTCATGTATTTGAGTATGCAGGAAACAAATATAGCCACGGATCAAAATATGTACCCTTGTTGAATCTTGTATTGCAGTTGGATATGGATCCAGATCGTCTTTAGCCGCAACAATGAGGCAAGGCACCTCATAGCCAGTTGCTTCCCCATGACTAGCAACTTCCACAAGCAATTCAGCTGATCTCTTCCACGAGGACTCATCAGAACTGGAAAGACAAAAGCATCAACACATTTAATTTCAAAGGTGAAAGATATGCAGCTAGCACACACCAGACGCAATGTGCATGCACACAAGCATATATAAATACTTTTAAGCAAGGACTTCCCAGCAGGGAAAATCCAAAAAATTGAACAATGCATTTTACCTTGTGTACAGTTCATAAAAAAATTGGAACAACATACTAACAACATCAAGGTGAAGAAATAATAAAGAGGGGTGTGGAGGACTAAGGGTTTCAATAAAATACAAAACAGGATTCATAACTAGAGATAATACAATGAAGGACTACCAAAATGTTTGGAGCAGAGTTAGTAATATACAGTACCGAAAAAAGGTGTGTGTGTGTGTGTGTGTGTGTGTGTATATTTTTCCCCCCAAAAAAAGAGTTGCAAAAAATCGGCAAAAATAATAATGATAATAAAATATAAGGAAACGTAAAAATACGAATACGGAAAACCAAAAACGCAAAAATACGAATATAGATACGTACATGTGTTATTCGTTGTATGGGTCGAAACCAAAATTAGGAAACGTAAAAATAGGAATACGGAAAACCAAAAACGCAAAAATACGAATATAGATACGTACATGTGTAATACGTTGTATGGTTCAAAACCAAAATTAGGAACCGTAAAAATACGAATACGGAAAACCAAAAATGTAAAAATATGAATACAGATACGTAAATGTGTAATACGTTGTATGGGTCGAATATTTGTTTTCTTGTATGTCATATCTTCATAAATTCTCTCTTTATCCCTTTTGAAAATACGAGTCATCCAACAGTCTTTATAATATCACTACAATTGAACATAAAATTTAAAAGATCTATAACAATCTAGTGTCATTCTCCAAACAACTCATAACCACAACATATATATTGCTATACATCTGTATGTATGCCATTAAGTCATAAGTTCATAAAAATCACAGAGAACTAAGAATTTGATCTAGAATCTCCTTCTCATCTCTTTCTCGAAATTTCTATACCAATGGCCAACTCACACCCATATTACAATGGAATTAGCAAATTAAAAATTAATCGTCGATCGACACAGTCGATACCGTTGTACTTTCAAGCCTTCGCCGTTGATTGCACAGCCAGTCTAAAAAGTGTGAAGATGGTGATTCAAAGCAACAGACGGTAGGTAACGCCTTTAGGATTTTTGAGCAAAATATGAAATTAGAATTGTAAAAGAAAATGGAAAAGGGCTGGGAAATAAGGCAATCTAAAAACAATGAACTGAACGCTCACCTCTTATACGATAGACAAATCAAGTGTTTCATATGGTTTCAAGGGGAAATATGTATGAGGGTTTCTTAAAGACCCTCAATCATTTGATTATACCATTCCACACACACAGAGAGTCTATAATGAGGGGGTCAAAAGAAGTGCATTCGAATAGAAGTAATTCAAGATTCTACAGAGAAGGCAATCCCGGACTACTCGTAGCCAGCTTATTCACAATAGTTGCCAAGATACAATTTAAGATCCTTAATTCTGAGTCAGTGAGGGTGGGCCTTAGTGCAACGGTAAGGTTGTTTCATTATGACCAAGAGGTTACGAGTCATCTTTAATTTTGCGTCCCTTGTTTGCCAATTGGTGGAGTGGTGGTGGAGGTTGTGGAGTGTGAATGGTGGTGGTGGGGGTGAGTTTCATTTGGGTTTAATTTAATGTTGCAAGTGAAGGGTACTTTGGTCCACTAATGCATGATTTTTTTTTTTTAATTTCATGAGCCTATAAGGGTAATAGGGTCTTTTACACTTAGTTCATTGGCATTTTGGTCTCTCTAACCAATTTTTCTGACGAAAATGACTGATTTATGGACGGAAGGGAGGTCTTTGCAAAACAGTCAAACCTCAGGGGACATGCTGCCAAAAAATGTACAAGATTCATCCGATTGTAATTAGGCCAAACCTCAGGGGAGGTCATTGTATTTTACGCTTTAAAAAATTACTTACCAAAAAAAAGTTTTGTTTAAATATGAAAACAAACAATTAAAATAGAAGGACAATTGTGCAATAACATTTTAAAAATTCAAACTTAAGTAATATGAAAGGCCAAATTTTATAATTTCTATAATCCAAAGTTCCTTAGATATGCTCCAAAAAGATATTACTCATTAACCTTAGAAATAAGGGGTATGGTAAAGTCTAGAACTGACAATCCTAAGGTCCCAAATTCAAGTTTGAGAGTAGAAAGTTTGTGCAAAATAAAGGTAAAAATAAGTCTCTCAAGTCTTTCCCCCCAAAAACCCTCCAAGCAAGATACACACTGAGTAATGCACTTTGTTAACTTTAGAAACAAACGGTATCTTCTTCTTATAAGGAGGAGCCCAACAAACATAATGACATTTTAGTTACCTGTCATGAACAAATACTGCTATGTCACAGGCTGCCAAAGACTCCTTCTTAGACAGCAATTTACTAACTCCATGTTCTGGTATCTCCCGCAGTACAAGAGTTTTCTTAGTTCCCTGTCAATGCAAAGTAAATATATAAAACACTTCATCAATGAGCTTAAACAAAGCATACATAACAGACCGACAACTAAATATAAAAACTTGCATGACGGGAAGGGAGACTGAAACTGCATTTTGGTCATAAAAGCAGAAACCGAGAATAGGAATTTTAGAAATGATGAAAACATCTTGTGCTTATTATAGCATATGAGGCGCATATAGCTAGTCCTTATTTATTTACTTTGATGAAACAAGTAATATTTTCCCATCCAATTTAAGCTTAGTTGTTTTCAGCAATTAAACTAATGTACCAGAAGGTTAAAAGACTCGAGGACAGGGACACTTAAAAGGCCAATTAAAAATTCATGGAATTTTGGATTTTAGTGACATCTTTGTAGTGCCATGAGTCTATTTTCATTGCTAGACAGAGGGGCTAATTTTAGTCTTTTTCATATCCTTATCCTTCTCTTTCATTGTCCTTCAATCACTGTTTAAAAAACGAATCAGCTGACGGTTGAACCAGATATCAACAAAACAGGTCTCTGGATTTTGGAACCACCATAAACATTGCAATAAAGGACACTAGTAATTTTATTAAATCTGATAAGGCGGGCAATTAACCATTTCAAAAATTTGGAAAGTCACAATTCAAAAGACACAGAAGGATATTTTAGTAATCATCTTTCTTTCGTTCTTCCCTTTTTCTTCTTCTCTATTACGACAAACGTAGCGAACCAAGAACAAATCACAAAACATGACAGAAAAATCTTCTTCTCTATTACGACAAACGCAGCGAACCAAGAACAAATCAAGAAGCATGACAAAAAAAATACACACGCCACACAAAGAACACAAAGATTTAATGGTTCGGCAAAGCCTACGTCCATAGCGAAGATCCAGGGAAAAAATTCGGTATATGAAAATCTGGAGATTACAAGTCTCAGGCCCCAAATCCTAGCTCTCGCTCACTATTTTTTGCGATTTTTAGTGTATCTCGATATCCCACTCCAAACCCTAAACGCCCTTATATATCGGGCTACAAGAGAGTACTAAACATGGTCCACGACCAAAAAGAACAAATGGGTCAATCCAGGCCGTCAGGCCAAAAAGGTCGCAACGTGACCCGAAACCAAATTCGGGCCACATCACACTCTCCTTTTTTTTTTGGCAAGTTAGTATTACACATTGTTTAGGCATCTAGCCACGTTGGAGGCTTTCAGGTTGCATCCTTGAAAGCTTCCAATGAATTATATTTGGTTTTCTATTTCCCTATTATTAGTTAATTTATGGGTAAATTACACTGACACCCCCTAATGTTTGCCCTTGTTACAATTAGATGCAAATTTTCTAAAAAAGCCACATTGAGACCCCCTGTCAGCTTTCCGTCACTAACGGTGTTAAAAGACACGTAAAATGTCATATTTGCCCCCTCTTTTTTTAATACTTTTATAATAATTTATTTAATGGTGAAATAACCGAAAGCCCAACAATCATTAACCCACTGACTCTCTCTCTCATCCTCTCGTTCTCCTCTTAACCGTCTAATCCTAATCCTCATCAGACCCTAAAAGCTCTATCGCCACCATCCTCTCACCGGCAGAAGCCTCCAATGAATTCATACTCGGCGATGTTGACGGTTGGAGGCAGCCTGCCACAAATGAATCTTCAATGTTCCCTCAGTGGGCTGCCGGGAACAGATTTCTTGTTGGAGATTCACTTCTCTTTTGAGTTCAAGAATGACTCAGTTCCTGTGGTCGACAAATGGGGTTACTATCACTGCAGCACATAATTTCTCCCTAAATTCTGTATTCCTCTCTCCATGGCCACTGTAATCTTTCATGGACATTACGGAAACCCAAAAGATCTTTACCAAATTATTTCAAGCAGGAAGAGAAAGAAGGATGTATACACTCTATTAGGTTAACAAGCCGCAAGGTGCATTACATAAAACTTACCACAGGTTGATCAACTATATTGACTGCATAACGTTCATCAGTGGTTAAAGAATAATCATCAGAGAAAGACCTGCATTTCAAATCAGCAACAATACGTCGTAAGACTTTATTAACATTATGATATACAAAGTAACATAAAATTTAAATTTAATTAAGATGAACAAATTCATCAGATATGGTTTCAGATGAAATGCCTTGCGAGGAACGAATTCAATAATGCAGATTTTCCAGCCTTTTTAGGTCCAAAAACGAAACACTGAAAAACATTTCTCTCTGATTGTTGCTTTTTGCGATCTAAACGTCTTCTCCGAGTAACACGGATGGCAGAGGAAGGATCACCAGCATATCCCAAGTATATTAGATTCTCCACACTACGAATTGGGTCTAGAAGTGTCAAGAGGGCCCACTGCACCAAACATATTTGTAAGAAAACCAAAATTGGTTGCTTGAAAGAACAACATGCACAAAATTAAATCATAAGTTAGATGTATAAATTCATACACTTAAAATTGATCAAACAAGATAACATGTTTAATTTTAATGTCAACAAGTTTTAAAGGACTGCAATGACATTAACTAACAAATCATTAGTTACATGATAACAGCAGCAAGTCAAACAAATTCTTCTTCATTCAAGGGCAACTGGACATACCCAGTTCTGGTCCTGCTACAGCAGGGTCGTGGAGAGGGAGGACTTGAAACAGACCAAACGTTTGGTATTTCACAAAGTGGCTGCTCTGAGACTCGAACTCACACCAATGGCGCTGATGTTTAAGCGCTAAACCACTGAACCAAGCAACAGCCCTCAAAACAATTACTTCATTTAAGTAACTCAATTGAGATGTCCTCAGCCTTTTGTATGCCCAATACAATTTGCTGGGACATCTAGCACCACAACTATAAAAGTCATGGATAGAGAAATGGTATTCTTGTTACATTGCACTAAACAATATGTACTAAAAAGGAAAGTTCTCTTCAGCATCACTCATGATTAATAGTAGTAGTGTACAGTTAGGTAGTAGTAGTAGTACTTTGTACTACTAGTGTAAAGTTCATAAAAACAGTAGTAGTAGTAGTAGTAGTAGTAGAAGAAGTTTGTACTACTAGTACTATTAATCATGAGTGTGATGCTCAAATGAACTTCATTTTTTGAGCATCACACTCATGATTAATAGTAGCAGTAGATGTAGTAGTAGTACAAACTGTACAATATTTGCTGAATATACCAACTTCAGAGTTATCTTGCCCTCATAAAATCTGTCTAAGAAACTAAACTGAGTCATAGAAAATTAGCTAAAGTTAAAAAACCTACACGTATAGTTAAGAATATGTTCTATGTGCACAAGTTCCAAAATAACATAAATGAAAATAACATCTAATTATCCTCTGAATGTAAAAATACAGATTTAAAAATCGAATCCCTGATTATATTCTAGCTGGCAATGAAAAAATATGAGACAAATTGGCACTTTGACACATCTAGATGCAGATAAAATTAATAATAATAACTAATGAATAGTGAAGGAAAAATAACTTCAATGCTATCCAATAACTGCAATTACAACACAAAAGTTGATATAGTGATAGCATGCAATTGGTCATGAACACAGTTCAACTGTAAGGCTCTGTACATTAACTAACCAACTTAGTCACCACACATACATGTAGGGAAATATCATTTCAATTGGAACCCCAGAAATTAAAGAATAAATATGAAAAAAAAAAAAAAAAAAAAGGAATAGGATGTAGATACCTCAGATAAAAACCCATCAAGTAATAGCCATCCCAAGGCAGTTTGCTCAGAAGCTTTCTCGTAAGGAGCTTGACTCCAAGGACTGAATTTCAAAGAAACGCTATTAACAACAAAATCAACATCTAGAGAAAAAAAAAATGATGTGGACTACAAGAGTCCAATTGCCTCGAATATTATATAATATTGAATTAATTCCATGATGGTTTGAAAAGGATACATCTCAAACATGGATCAATTTGGAAGAGTGCAGGATTTACTCATCATTTAACTAGAATAAATAAATAAATTAGAAGTTAATTTGGATGCTAGATTAGGTTTTTATCACTCATTCAAAATGATAGTAAAACACCACCATTTAAGTTCAACCACCTGTATCCAAGTTATCACACATTTAATATATTTCAAATCATGTAATCCGAAAATCTGAATGAACTAAAATCCGAAAATCTGAATGAACTAACGTATACATAAGATATTCCATACACCACATACAAAGCTAATAATAATTGTTATTGAAATACTTAAATGATGAATAGAAAGCAAATTCCTTCAATAGCATGTATTCATCAACATGAGAATAATAGATGCACAAAGAGATTAGCAATCACCAAGCCAAACATCAAGACACCAGCACTTTATCATTGATTTTTCTTTTATTTTCTCTTTGCTTTTTTTTTTTTGTTCCCCCTTTTCTTTTGAGCTCCTATCAGAACAGTGTGTTGAATGAAAACCAGAAAACACCCAATCAAAAAAAGATAAAAAGAATTCCAAAAAAAAAAAAAGAAAAGAAAAGAAAAAGAGAGATGCACATCAAAGCAAAAAAATTAGTAAATGGGTATAAAAGAATGACCTATTCTGTAGATATTCATGAAAACAGCTTTAGCCAAATTCTAGATTCTCCCTTATCCCTTCTGCAAATTCTAGACTTCATAGAAGGTTTTAGAATTATTTAAACTACTATAGGTTAAAAGTGAAACAATAGTGGATTTAGTGTATTTTATAGGTATAATTTGAGTACATGTCTCAAGGATAAGACTGGCACTGGCTATCACCAGTACATCAGTTGGAGTCTTTCAGACTATATCACTTCAGTTTAGACAACCTTAAAGCTTCGATGGGTCACAAATCTCTAGACAGCAACTTACTAACACTGATATATTTCGTTCCTACTATGGTGTTTCTATTTGGGCTGAAATTTGAATTTGCATATAATTGATGCATCTGATGACGACTCTCTGCAAATGAGCATTTATTCAGTCACACAGTTTAATTACACTCGATATAAATTTTTCAACAATAGCTTCACAGAATTCATTACACTCACCAACAAAAAATAAATAAATAAGAAAAAAATATATATAGAAAAATTTATGATATTAGCTGAGCAAAAGAAATTTATAATAAAGAAATCAAAGCTATTCACCACCGATATTGAGAAAAATAAGATACCTTTCTGGTGCAGTAGAAAAAAGATCTTCAAGCTCAGCTGGCCGAAGCATCCCATCCTGGTGAGAATAAGAACCATAAGGTCAATATTTGAGAGTAAGCAACAAAAGATATTTTGCAAAAGGACTAGTACGTACACCATCAATGTCAAACAAGAAAAAGATTCCCTTGAGGAATTCCACAGCTTCATTTGTCAGCTCCACACTCTGCAAATACGACAATTATGCATTAACATTTCGAGGAAAACACTATATGCATCACAAGAAGTCGAAAACAAAGAATACAATCAGAAACAATCACTCAAAAAGTCAAAACTAATTGTGGAGACCTACAAGAAGGGTGGAAATTACTACACAATCATTAAAAATGACTCAAATCTGATTTGGTAAGTGATTTTGGTTTGGCTTTGAATGGGATTGGTCATAGAGACCTTGATGTGATTAACGATAACCAGCACATTACATGGGTTGTTAGGTTCTATGTTACATGGACACTTAAAAAAATGCACGAATTATCCATGTCGGGCAGACAACACTTGTCTAAGCATCTAGTTCGACATAGACCTAACAGGTATATCAAACAATTCAATTTATTATATTATAGATAAAAACTCTCTTAATATGTTCCTTTTATTAATTACATTATTACTTTAAAATGTGTGATACGCCTATAATATAAAGAATGATGGTAAAAAAATAAATAAGAATATTAATCATGTCCCCACGTTCTTGGTTTTGGACATTTACAAATCGGATGCTAAGAAACGTATTTGCACCCGACAGATGTACCAAGGTCCATAAAGCATAAGGTAGGCTATTAAGTCTCAAACCATTTCACAGCACTCGATCAATTTAATATATATTTGTGCGACACGTGTGCTAACAACAACAATTTCCAGGGATGAAGTCACACATTGGGTTCAAGGTGCTGTACCTGGAACAAAAAAAATTTGTTTACCAACCCTCCATTTTAGAACTTACATTTTCTGTAGTTTCATCAAATTATAACTATCATCGTCAATATCATACACCATTGAATCTCATCTTGAATGTGTCTTGACAGTTTAATCATAACTGAGGTAAAAAGATGAGGCTGACCCTTAATGTCAGCCTACAGAGTTGGAAATTATTGTATTCCCAGTCATTTTAACTATATATGTCCCTTTTATCATGTCAATATGTCCCTTGTAACCTTTTTGTGTTTTCAGTTGGGAGGTTGTGGCAGTGATATTTGGATTGCTTTGTTTTACTTATTTTGACAGATCCAGTGATTCTACTGTTTGGATTATATCTGCGAAATTTGAATGTAAATATTATGATAAAGTTCTAGTGGTGGAAACTCACATGCCTTTCCTTGTGAAGCATTTGGTTTACCTTTTTTTGGGGGGGTGTACTTAATCACCATAAAGGTGGAAAGCTTTGCTTGAATGGCAGCTGCAGGAAGAATTTTAACCATTGAGAACTTGTGAAGGGGTATGATTCTCCCAGATGTGTTGCATGTGTTAGATTGTAAGGCAATGGCTCGTCGCCCTCAATATTTGTCAATAAGAGAGGTGAGGGCATATTCTTCTCTCTGTTTGGAATAGTTTGGGTGATTTCAAAATTGGTGCCATAAATACTAGATGATGGCAAGGCAGGATAGTTCATAAGAGAAAGGAAGGAATGTGGAAAGCTGATCTTCTTTGTCTCTTCTGGTTAGGAAAAGGTAACAGAGTTGCCACATGCAAGTTGAGAACGAGATTTTGGGTGTGTTGTAAATCTGAGTTTCTGATTCTTATTATATTTTCTATTTCATAGATAAGTTGCAGGGAGATTTAGTTTGTCGTGGAATGCTTTTACCCTTAATATTTAGGGTTTGGATTTCACACTTGAATATTCTGTATGTGTATCGCACCCTGTGGCACTTTAATGAATTTTAATTAGCAGAACAAAAACACCTGCTACATACAAATGTGCAAATACCCCCCTGATGTTCAATTAAGCCCCCTGCATTTTTTAAATTGTGCAAATAAGGAATTCTGTCAATTAGCGATTAAAATGTCTAAAATACACAAATGGAATCGAGTAAAATATCATAATAAAAATTTCTTGACAAAAATCCCCATTACACAAGCACTGGAGATAGGTAATATAGACCCAAACCGGGTAGAGCAATCTTAACCCATCTTGGCCATACAGTGAAGGCCAAGACCAGCCAGCGCAAATCTCTCAGGCCCAAATACAGTGAGGTCTAGAACTGGCCATATGAGCAGTAAACTCAGTTTGGCCCAAAAGTATTCTCAAGTTCTATTGCAGGCAAATAAATGGTTGGTCTTTTTGTGTTTTCGGATTGCATAGCAAATTGGGTTTTCCTTTTCGTTATGGATATTAACAGAAAGAAAACACCATAAGGCTGGTTAAACTTTCTAGAACATGTTGGAATGCCAAGGAACAACATATATATAAAATAATGAGTGTAGTCAATGTTGAAATGATGTGGGTAATGAATGCATTTACAAGAAGCTAGAGATGACACCAGATGGAAAGAAGATGAAGAAAAACCATCTAAGATAATTTGTCATTTGAAACAAAGTCTAACGAATGCTCAAGTAATGAAGACTGATTTGACTAAAGTTGAAGGTGACACGTGGAAAATAAGGCCAAAAAGAATGTGTCAGACGACCCACATATTATAAGATTTAATGTAACTGAGTATGCAGTACTAGAAGATGTCTATCCCAAATTTTAATTAATTTCCCAATTCTCTTCCAAAAAAAAATGAAATTTTTTCGTTAGGCATAAGAAGCATTACAAGTTTTGAGAAACAGACAGTAATAACAATCAAGATTTACATCATACCTGATCAGAAGATCGTCTAATTGGAGGTGGGAGCTGATCATCGCTGAGTCTAATATCATTATTGTATCCAAATTTCCTTAGGACTGTCCATGTTGTCTCGAGACGTCCCTTTTCTATGAATAGGGCATGAAGAAAGAGGAATCCAGTCAGAGTAAGACCACGGTCATTTACGCCATCCTGCAGTTTTTCTTGCACAACCCTCTTAACACCCACTATTTCAGAAGGTTGTAATGGAGCATTAAAACATTTGACCTGTTTACAATCGTCACTAGATTATTCCAGAACCTCAATCATAATGTACAATGACTTTGTGCAAGTAAAAAATTCTTGCAGAATCACAAAAAGATTATTAAGTCAAAAAGATTGCACAGAAATGAGAAATTTGTTTCGAACAAACTCACTATAACACAAAAATTTACAAGACATGTATACATAATAAGCAAAAAGGAAACCTGAAAATCATTCAGCTCTGCATCACTAAGGGCACCATCTCTGTCGTGGTCACAAAGAATAAATATCCTTTTTAAAGCCCTCACACATCTAGGCTTCAAAGTTTGTTCTTCCTGGTCAAAAAGAGGAGCTGTCGGGTGAAGCACTGCTTTTTGTGCATAGTAGAAAACCTCAGGGATCTGAAATATAGAAATTTCAATAATTTAAACTCTGGAAAAATAAATGTCAATGCCATATGATGAGGAAATTGCTATTTAAAATCCCAAATCAGAAGTCATCGAACAGATTAATCGAATGATTCATGATACTGACCATCAAAAACTTGTCCTTCATAAGCTTAAAAAACAAACTCATAATCCACAGTGTACAGTTAACTATCAGCAATTTTTAAGAACTAAGGTCATAATAGTGCTGGTCTCACCTACTGGGGGTACTACAAGGGGTGAATTAAACACACTAAAAAATTAAAAATGGACTCGAACAAGCAAATTATACATTTATCCTTGTACTACTTATATTTATACTTGGATGATGGAATAAACACACAAAAACACAGAGTTATAGATTTCTACTAGTACTACGTAAAAGTAGTACAGACTGCTATTAGTTGTGGACATAGAAACCAATATCACAGAAAATGCAAAGAGTTGTCATGTCAAAACAGAAACTGGATTTTATTACCATAAAAAGATAACAAAAGGAATAAATATTTACCTGAATTTGCTTTAATGCTGAACACTCTATACAAGTTTCGATCTCCCGAAATTGTTGCATTATTGGAGACATGACCTGCTCCAAGCTCACTGGATGCTGCTCATCCCTCAAATCCAGCTTACAGCCAACCACTATAACCGGCACCTTCACCTGTTCGATATATGAAGGGAAACATTAATATTAAAAAACACTGATATTGAAATTTATATGTGCATGAACATATGATAATGTCCAAGACTGTCTAGTCAACATTTTTGAAGTACTTCTCCAATACTTGAAGGAAGTAATACAATATGAACTCATGATAATCTCAAGACTTCTCTCATAATTTGTAAAAAGTAATCTTAAGTAATTTCATCAGTGTAACCAAACGTTGTTGTGGTATACAAACCTCTAATCTACGAAGTTCTGGAAGCCAGAAAGTACTCAATCGGTCAAGCGTTGCAGGCTGATCACAGGCGTAAGTGAGGACAACAGCATCAGCCCTCTTCAATTCTTCAGCAAGTTTACCTCCGCTCTCCGTACTGAATAAGAGAAACATCACACAAATATAATCCAATTCGAGCTGAGATAAATTTTTGAGAATGTTACACGAAATAATAAAATTACATAGAATAAACAAAATTCAAAACCAATACATTTATATACACATAACATATCCATATATAATTAGACACACTTAAAAGCACTTCATAGTTTCATTCAGCAGCTTTTCCTCTATCCACTATAGAGATTCAGAGTACAAAGCATAAGAATATCAAAATTATACCATACACAGAGAAACATAAATCGTTTATATATGTGTGTGTGCTCATTCTCTTGAATGTGTATAGAGGGTAGGGAGGGTAACCACTGCAACTCACATCTGCAGATCGTCAATAGCTTTCAAATCGTACTTGCCCTATATATATAAAGAGAGAGAGAGAGGAGAGAGATTGAAAACCTGGAAGAGGTATCAATGATTGTGAGAGGCACTCGATCGGGGTAGAGATCATCGGGCAACCTCGTCGGGGGCAACACCGGAGGCATACTGGTCGGAAAAGTATCGGCGGCGGCTGTGACTATCAAGCTCGATTTTCCGGTGCCGCGGTCTCCGGCGACGACGATACGAACGGGTTGGCGACCACCGGAGTTCGCCCTCGCAGCAGAACCACCTCCAGCCATCATAACTGCAAGATATTCAAAACCCTAAATCAATATACATAATACATAGAGATATATACGCGCACACAGAGAGAGAAACGATAGTGACTGACTTGGCAACAAAATCCCTAGGCTTGTTCACTAAGATTGAATAGAATGGATCAAATAAATGTATATGTGTATATGTGTAGATGTATACGTACAAGTTTGTGTATGTAGATGTGTGTGGCTTTGTAGTTAGGGCTTGGATGGGCCACCGAAACCCTAGGATGGGGCGGTGGCGAAGCTTGGGGAAGAAGATATGATGATTTGAGTTGAGGGTATGAGGGTTTTGGACTGCTGTCACAAAACTTCGATGGAGCCGTTTCTGTGACGGGTTTAGTGGGTTGATAAGGATTGTTTGCGAGTAGCAGCACCGTGACCAAACAGGGGTGTAGGGGCCTCTTTGCGCAGTTGGTGCACCGTTTTAGTAAATGGAAACATCATGTCCAAATAAAAAATTCAAAATTGGAACATCTAATTTCAAGGCCAGTCTTTAACACTATTTTTCCAAGTCACTCTCATTAATTAAAAAAAAAAAATCACTCTAATTATTTTTCTTTTTCTTTTTCTTTTTCTTTTTCTTTTTCTTTTTTACCTTGTTAAGTAGTAATAATTATCTAATGAACAATAATGCATCTCAGCCATAAGTATAGATTAAAGTGGTGCATCCCAGTATACATTCCATGATTCCATCTACTATTTCAATTGAAATTTAAAATATTAGACATCGTTAATGGATATTAAAGTAGTGTATTTTAGGACGGAATCAGTGTAGGACCGGGGCACGTGCCTCTGGATTTTTTCTTTCTCTTATTATATATATATATATATATAGATATAATATGTATATATTTTTTTAAAATGTGCAAAAATGTATTCCCTAAAATTTCTCATTCCCTTATAAACTATACATGTTTCCTTAAAAAAAAATTCTTAAATTTCATTATATTCTATATATGTAATTTATTAATTGATCTCATCCCAAAAATATGAATCTCTATATATATCCACCAATGTCTCTTCCTGTATATATATTCCATAAACATTAGGTGTTTGTTTAATTGCTCAATTTAGGACTTACTTTTAAATGTTTCAGCACTTATCCAATTAAGTGAGTGACAAAGACATCATCATTGAATATTGAACTCTAAAAATTAAAATATATTTCAAAATATATTTGTTTTTTAATTACCATTTAAAAACTTCAACTCTTAAAATTTTCAGTACTTAATTTTCACTTTTATCAAACAACACCATTTTATATTTATTTAGTGTATCTAGGGATGGCAATGGGGTACTTTGATGCCATTTTCATCCCCATCCCGTTTAGAATGGCTACCCTGTCACTAACACCAAAACCATTTATTAAACGAGACAAGGTAAGGTGGGACGAGGTCGGGTTTTGTAAAGCATTTGCATAATTATAATATGAATCTGACAAAAGTAAATAATAAAACAAAATTTTAACAATGATTTTTTTTTTTTTTTCTTTATGCAGATAAAAATAAGATTTAACTTCTCAATTGAAACTCAAGACTAAAATTATTATTGGAACATCAAAATAATACATAAAAGTTCTCAAATAAAAATACTACAAAAGAATATTTAGTGATTGAAATATAATAAATTATAATTTGCTTAATATATACATAATATTATTGAATATAAAATAAAATATAATGACAAAATTATAATTATGCATATTTTCAATAAAATATAAGCAGCGGGGCTAGACGAGATTGGGCGAGGTGACCGTTTCCATCCGCATGCCTCATATCTATGCATATTTTCAATCATAACCTTCATCCCTGACCCAAAATCATTTAACCATTTCCATATCCATTATGAAGGGGGCTAGATATTTTGTCATCTTGGACTATTTTCAATTCTAATGGTAGGGTTAAGTAGAACCGTTTTTGTTTAATACATGCTAGATAAGAAATTGTATGTACTTATGATTTATCATGAGATGATCTAAAATGTGCATATTTAAAATTTTGATAAAATAAAAATTGGTCAAAATAAAAAATAGTGGAAAATGCATAAAACTCCCCTCAACTTTTATTTTTTGACGAGAAACCCCTTAAGAAAAAAGTTGACATAAAATGATAAAACCCCCGAAATACCTAATTTGTTGCGGTGATGTTACAATGACGAAAATACCCCTTAATATAAATTTAAGGAAGCTTTCCATTTTAGGTTTTTTTTTTTTTTTTTTTTTTTGTACTTTTAATATTTACAATTAGAACTTTAAAAAATTAAAAATTATACACCATTAAAGTGATGTTATAATGAGAAAAATGCCCCTTAATATAAACTTAAGATAATTTAGATTTTCTTTTAAATCATTTTCATTTTAGGTTTTCTTTTTCCTTATTAATTTTTAAAAAATAAAAATTTAAGAAAACTTTGAAAATTGTTCCAATTTATTTTCACTTTCTTATAGGTGCACCATTAAATATTTTTTATTTTATTTTATTTAACAATACTATATCGAAAGAGTTATTTATATTAATTTTAATATTAAAAGGCAACTTTTTCTTAAATTATATTAAGGGGTATTTTCATCATTGCAATACCACTTTGCAACAAATTGATTAGTTAGGGGGGCTTTATGTCAACTTTTTTCTTCAAGGGGGTTACTTGCAAAAAATTGAAAGGAAATGAGGGTTTTGTGCAATTTGTCCTATAATAAAAGTGTCGTTGATAGATGTTCTATTATAGGGAAGCTTGCCACAAATATGTGGAATAAATTGACCTTCCAAAATATATATACATGTGTGTGTGTGGAATAAAACTTCTAAAAAATTTGGAGCACAGAAATATGCTTAACTTTTGTTTTGTTAAAATAGTTTTAAGTTTGTAAAATAATTGAAAGGTGTTTTGCAATGACCGCGCAAGAAATTTAGTTTAGATTCTTTAGATGGGGCAACTGCTACAATCATATGGTATGAAATTTTGAACCAAACTAATAAATAGCAATGAAGGGATTTTTTTTTTTTTTTTTTCTATTTGAAAATTTGATGGGATCCGTTAGATGAGAAAAACATATATGGGTCTCTCGGAACTTTGAAACTCTTGTTAGGAAAATAAGTTAGAAAATGAAGGGTTTTTTTTTTTTTTTTTTTTTTTTTTTTTTTTTTTTTAAGTTTTTAAGATCTCTTGCGATTTTTTTTTTTTTTTTTTTGGGTTTTAGCGGGGCACTTTTAGAATTATCAAAATTTTTGTTATAAAATTAATAGAAAATTAATACAATCATAGAAATCCAAAAGGGAAATTACATTAGTAAAATAAGTAAGAAAATATTGACATGATTGTAAAGGCATGTGTAAACACATTGATCTATGTCCAAGACTATATAAGTTTCTTCCAAATGAAAGATATGAATGATTTATGTATATATAGTATAAATACATAACGATTAGGGTATTATAATAACAAAATTATTATTGAAATAATATACCTTATGGATATAATTTAACTTATGTAATAACAACCATCATTATAATTATAGTATATATTATTTATATTTTTATTAAAATATTAATAACACATATCTTCACATTTCCCATAAATTACCACCGAATGTTTGAAAAAAAAAAAAACACTTAATAGGCCACTGTTTGTAAACATTCCATTATCACTGTTTGTAAACGTTCCAACATACACACCTTAAGAATTGCCATCCAACACGATCCTAAGCTCGAATACCCGACTTTTTCTTTGAAAAAAATTAATACATGAGCATTAGACAAGTTAAATCTAGACTATTAGATTAAGAAAATAGATTTCACATGAATGTATTAATATATTACAAATAAATCTCAACACTAATATTCATCGGATCAATCCACCAAGTGTCAAATGGATTAGTCTACCAACTGTCAAATGAATCAGGTTGTATGGCCATTGTCCATTTGGTAAAAAAATTATTTAATTTTCTCTCTCCTTTTTTGTTATATTTTGAAAACCAAGGCACTGTGCTAAACAACAAATTGTGTGACTATTTCTTGTATAAATCTAAAGTAAAGATTTTGCTTTGTTATAACTTGCGAAAATTTATTTAGGTAAATTATTTTGTCTTTTAATCTTTCATCAATGTAATAATGCTATACCTCGCTGCTCAAAAAGATTTTTTAAAAAATTGAATTTTTTGAAAAATTTAAACAATTGAAGGACAATTGAAACAATTATTGAAGAAAATTTGATTTAGGTTGATTTTTTTTTTTTTTTTTTTTTTTTTTTTTTTTTTTCAAGATATATATAATATGACTATATATTATAAAAAAAATTATATTACAATTGATTTTTTTAATAAAAAAAATTCAATTCCAAATTACACAATACACATTCAGCCCCCTAAATTATAAATGTTGGCTCCGCCCTAACTAGTAAAATGATTACATCAATCGGAAATTATTGGCCCCAACCAATCAGAAAAAAACATAGACAATACTTATACTTACTCAATAGTGAGAAGGTGATCTCAACTGTTTTTGGCATAAATTCACCACCAACTCTGTTTTCAGTGTTTATAACCCTCTTTTAGTTTAATAATTGATACAATATGCATTTATAATCAGATCATATCACAAATAAGTTTTAATCCAAAAAAAAAACAAAATACTACGTATTAAATAAAGCTTACATGGTTCGGACCGCACCATATAATAATTTCTCCATACACACCACCGAGTCTAAAAATGATGGAAGAAATCTTTACGTTTCTTAAAAAAACCATATGATTGTAGCGATGGGACAATTGCGTTTCTCTCTCTTCCCATCGCTTTCTCCGACACATGCATTTCCATTTCCAGCTACCTTCTACGCCTAATTTCTCTCTCTAATTGATCTATGCCGGGGTTTGATCACTCGGTGCCTCCACTTCATCTCTTTCTCTCTCTATATATATAGCATATATATAAGTTATATATTTATATTTGTTAATTTGATCGCCTTCGCTATAGAAGAAGAAGAAGATGACTGTTGATTTTGAATCTATATCGGAGGCGACATCAGGAGCTATTGGAGCTCTGTTGAGCACAACAATCTTGTACCCACTCGACACCTGTAAAGCTAAGTACCAAGCAGAGGTTGGAGGCCATGGTCAGGCAAAATACAGGTGATTCATATTTATTCTTTCAATTTCCTTTTTCTTAATATATTTTTTATTCTAAATTAGTTTTTTTGGATCATCTGATCTGTAAATCGTTCTTGTGAACACCATCTCATGTTTGATTACTTTGATCATGCTGATTTTCGTTAGAATAAATTGGATTGAATTATTGATGATCACCATGATCACTTATGCTGTAATCTGCACAGATGGACCGTGCTAAACGTTATCAGCAATACTGGTTTAATTATGCTTTATTACCAAAAAAAAAAGAAAAAAGAAAAAGAAAAAAAAGAAAGAGTAAAAAAAGAAAAATCAATAATAATAATAATAATAAATGTTATTTATTTATTTATTTAAGGGGTTCACATACCCATTTGCTACAATAAGGCTCCGTTTGGATAAGCATGAAAAAATTCATCTTGATTGATGAGCTTTGACTACACAATTAAACTGCACTCTTAGCTCACACATTATTTCAAGGTGGTCCCAAATGCTTAGTCATGTCCCCAAATTTGAGTATAAGGTGATCCTGTCGTGTACTCTTCCTAAAGGATTTATGGGACGTTGAATACTTGATAAGATAGTGAAGAATTTCAATTAGTGAAGATGTGGTTTGTTGACATGTGCACTCATCCTCAATGCCATTTTGGCTCCCCATTTTTGTTCAAAAAATATCATCTAGAGTGAAAGGTAGGGCTTCATACTTGTTGGTCAAATTACAAAATAAAAAGAAGAATAATAATATACTTATTGGTCACATTTATAGATGTAAAGATTGATTCCTTAACGAATCCCACATGTGTTCCCCCTTTCTTTGCAAGCGATTATATTCCGTCAATATACCAACTTAACACTTTGTGGCATGCTACTGAGCCAGGGTTTTAAATTTCATCTTTTGAAAATATAAATCAGGAACTTAATTTAAGCCCTAACTTGGACTAGGATTTCAACATTGACTTTGGGTTTCATTCATTCAATTGAAAGTAATTCATAAAATTGAATAGAAGTTGAAACCATGTATAGGACAGCTTAGTGCGGCATTGAAAATGAATTATTGTTCTTCTCTTTTCAGGACAGTCTCTTCTAAGGACGTTGACATAAAGGAGTAGTTTACACTTTACACTTTCCAACCTCTTCCTACTTTACTCACACATACTTACAGGGAAAAATAGGACAGAAAGAAAAAATTTAAAAGAAAACACTTTCTATGCAAAGATACCTTGAATTTTTCAGTCTATGTTAACCCCATGTCTATATCATTATACTTGATATACGGACTGATTAATTTAAGAATGCAGCATGTCAACAACCTGCATTACACGAATTTGTTGTCAAGACCTACATCCACTCGTGTGTTAAGCAACAGACAAGATTCCAAGTTGTTAGAACCCTTGCTATATATCCTTTTGTTATATATCCATGCAAACTTCAATAAGCCATTCGATATATAATTTCCAGATTCTGCATCTTTCAATTTTTTATTTTTTTATTTTTTTTCCTCTCTCTCTCATCATCCTTTTCTGTTTGATCAAAAAATATTTATGGATTGGCAGCCACTCCAACTAGAGTTTGGATGGACGTGAGTCACGTGACATACAATTTGCTGGGTTTTAGTCATGCTATGAGTTGTCTTTTCTTATGCCTTTTATTGTTCTTAAACCACATGAGCCACCTATATACACAATTTAACAGCTATATTACAATCACCATTCCAGTAAGATCCTAGTATGATCCGTTCCTCGTGCTATTAGTTATCTTTTCTTTCATCCTTGAGTTGGTTCTGAACCTTTATGAAGCAATGAGCTATTAATGCAAAATTTTGCAGCTATTTATGCAATCAACTTTCTCTTCATATTTCACAGCTAGGTACTGGGTCCTGAACTTAATGGAAAAACATTGATTCTTACAGTTCACCAAAATCTTTTTCTTTATGCATACTAATTCTAAATCCTAGCAGAAAAATGTTGATTCATATTGGTGATAATGTCTTCTTTTTCTTTAATTATCCAGATTATTGACAGAAATATTATTGATTTTTACTGGTGATATAATATTTCAACTATTGGGGTTTTTCGTTCTTGTTTATATACTACTTAGAGACATTATATATATATATATATATATATATATATTCCTAGTTTGAAACCTTATATCTGTATTCATATAGAAAACACATCATGCTTATCCCTCTCTATCTTGTCATTCATAAAATGATGGCATGGCTGGCTTTTATGCAATCACTCAAAATAACTAGGATAGAAAGAAAAATAAACAGATCCTCAAAAGCAAGCCTTTTTACAAATGGCAGCGTTTTTCTGTTTACATTTGTTCATTTTGAGAACATTATGAGCAGTGATTGGTTATCTATGACAAAGTAATGGTTCACAGAAGTTGAGCTTTGTAAAAGCAAGTACATGCTGAAATACTGCATGGCCACAAGTACCCATATGGTGCTATTTTGTTTATGGATGCCAATGACTCTGTAGTCCTGTATTTATGCTGTGGAATAATAGTTCTTAGGGTACCTTACTATATTGAGGGGTCATTGGTAGTGGGTTCCAGTATGAGGGAAGTGACTCTGTGCAAAAAAGGCTAAAGGTTAGGTTTGTACTCAATCCATCTCTTTCGACAACCTCGCTTATTTGGGAAGCGCATTAGGTAATGGAAACTACAACGTTGCCTCCATGTTATGTTACATGATAATGAGTCTGTGCACTTACCTTCATTATTTCCATCATGACACTACACTTATTGTGTGGCCATAAATTATAATATTTCCCAGGAGATGGGTGGGTGGTGGTCTGCTCAGTTATTACTTTGCTTCCAAGTGTGAACTTGTCTGTGTGAGCACCTCAAGCCTCACGGGGCATGGAATGCTTTAGAATGACTTTTGTGGATTGAGTTTCTTCGACACAATGTATCATCAACATTTGTTTCTGATTTCCACAATGTTGTAAAGAACTGACAGGATGCATGAGAATGGTCAGCAGATTACCATAAAAGCTACTATTCATGACTACTGCATTAGATTAGAAACTTGTTTCTGCATGATGTCAATTACATTAGCCTATTGCTTTTGAGTTTATTTATTTGGTTCTTTTTTGCATTATGAATGTACAATTGGAAATTAGTGTAATTGAGGGTGAGTACCAATTGTTATTAAGATTCAGTTTTATATATTTTTTGTAAACAAAAGTTAGGAAATAATTGGAAGGAAGGTTCGTGTAACAGCTTAACAGTTTGGGTTTTGCTTTGTTGGCGCTCCTCCCGCCCTGCTCCTCTCCTTCTGAAATTAAGGATTTGATGATGTTCAGGATATTTTTGCGACTTATGTATGATAGTGTTGTTAAAGGCGCGCCTATGCTCGAGGCACAGGTCTAGCGCCTATTGTCATCCTAGGTTCATTGATGTTTACTAGGCACCTGCCTCGGTTGCGCCTTGTCCTATTTGTCTAGGTGCGCTGCTGTTTTTTTGTTTTTTTTTAAATGATTGTTCGATCTCTTAAGCCAAAAAGGGTACTTTTGGTAACTTAATAAACAAATAAGAAAGCCTAAGTATATTAGAGAAGGATCTTTTGTTCAAAAGAATAAACAAATAAGAAAGTCCAAGACCGAACATAGAAAGAGTGAGACTGTGAGAGCAATGGCGAAGCCCTAGTGACAGAGACGAATGACGAAGCCATGTCAGTTATTTCTTCTTCTTCTCTCTCTTCTCCTCTACTTCTCTCTCCTCTACTCCTCTTTTCTCATCTTTGTTTACTTCTCTCTCTGTCTAGTTCTCTTCTCTTTTCTTTTTTTTTGGGCTCTATTTTTTTCTCCTTTTTCTTCTTTAACACTCTTTTCTCATCTATTTCTTTTGTCTCTACCTCTCTTTTTTTTTGGCTCTATTTTTTTTTCTTTTCTTTTCTTGTAAACATTTTTTTTTTTAATATATTTATTTTTTTTTGTACTCTGTTTTGCCTTTCAAGAAAACAAATTTGTGCTATGTTTTTTGGTTCTTGAATGCTTATATAGTTGATGGATTTACTTTTTTATATTTGATATTAATTTTTAGAATATTGATATGACTTGTGAGATACGAATGCTATTATGGTAGCTTAAAATTTCAATTGTGCGCCTCACTTCACTTAGGCGCGCACCTCGCCGTGCGCCTCACACCTAGGCTCCAAAGGACCTCTAGCGCCTTGGTGCGCCTTGAGCCTTCAATAACACTATAATGTATCTATACATTTTTTTTTTCTTAAATGGAGAAAAGGATGCAAATGTGTATAGAGAGTTTTGAAGAAGATATTATTCGGAGCCCCTCATTTTGGTTCCTCATCTTTACGATCTAAGTCATTCAATGGTCAATGATCAATTTAAGTGTTACAATCTACGTTTGCTGGACATGGGAACTTGTATTGGTTGTGGTTAGGTGTCAAGTGTCAGACCTCCTTGGATCCCAACATTTTTGATATGGGAACTCTAGTTGAAATGTGTCCAAAACTTGGATACAGGTGCATGTAAACGTCTTGCACTGTTAAAAACATAATATGCTCGGTAAAAGTGTAATCTATCGTATTATTATTTTTAATGCAATATTGTGAAAAAAGAGAGGAGAGATTTCACCTGTCTCAAAAGTAGGAAAGTCTTAGTGGCCATCAAATTTGAGCTTTTCTTCTTATTCCATCATCACAATTAGAGGATTAGGTATTGGTTCTGGGTCTATGTGATTGACAAATATTCCATGACGTGTCATGTCGACACGGGTACATTGAAAGGACTAGGGGAGTCCAGTTAACATAGGTTATAGTGACAAATTCATACCAAATACCTTGTGTGGGAATATATTTATCAAGTCAACATAAGACTAGACTTGATCTATAGTGTTTCTGATTTCACTCTCTCTGGCTTGTGCAGGAACCTATCAGATGTTTTTTTGGAAGCAATATCAACTGGTAAGGTTCTTTCATTGTACCAGGGCCTTGGGACAAAGAACTTGCAGTCCTTCATTTCACAGTTCATCTACTTCTATGGCTATAGTTATTTCAAAAGACTATATGTGGAAAGGAGTGGTTCCAAATCCATTGGAACTAAAGCAAACTTACTTCTTGCTGCTGCTGCTGGGGCTTGCAATGCATTTGTGACTCAGGTAAGCTACCTTGGAAAAATCATATTGATTGTGTTTTCAGAAGTTTGCCTTGATTCATGCTCTATAACACAAGTGTTACTAATTGGTTTCAAATCTAAAATACCAAGTTGTATGAGCTTGAAATTTGAATTGCTAGTACTATGGTAGCAAAGAACTGTATCAGATTATCAAAACGAGACCCTTCATTTTGAAAAATATAGAACCCTGCTTTGCAAGATGCAAGTCTAGCTTCTATTTGGCTGTGCAACTTGTCCCTTAATGTTATTTGTTGATTTCATGAAAATGGGGAAAAAAATTGATGCAGAGTAAGTGGAAATTTAGTTTGTTGTTGAATTTAGCAGGGATATCAAAACAAAATAGGTTCCTTGTAATTGAATTATATAACCTGGGTATTTTGAATTGGAATATAAAATGGCCATTTAGTGTGGCAAAACTCCAATTTATGCTGCTATTTGGTCATGTATTACAGTTTCAACTTTCAACTGATGCTCCATTGGATTGCTCCAAAGGTGGAGGAAAGAGATACGATCATTTGTAACTACCTGGATTTGCAATTGTTGATTTAAAGTTTTAAAACACTTTTTTCGTTGACCTTTTGATCAACTATTATGGGTTGGAAAAGTTGCTGCAACTTCCAAGTGTTCTTTATTCATTCTGTATCATATTGTGTGAATCAAATGTAGCTTGTTTATTTCGTTTCTTCAATTTTAGTGTTTGACTATATGATATTATTGTGTAGCCCCTGGATACAGCTTCCTCAAGGATGCAGACAAGCACGTTCGGGAAATCGAAAGGGCTATGTCAAACCCTTACAGAAGGCAGTTGGAGTGAAGCATTTGATGGCCTTGGCATCTCTCTTCTTTTGACTTCTAACCCTGCCATTCAGTATACAGTTTTTGATCAGCTGAAACAAAGACTCTTGAAGAGAAAGCAGAATATAACAACGAAGGACTCACCCCAAGAATCCCTTTCTGCCTTTTCAGCTTTCATTGTAGGTGCAATTTCTAAGAGCATTGCTACCATTTTGACATATCCGGCTATCAGGTTCACTGCAGTCTCACCCCCTTTTTTTTAAAAAAAGATCTAACAGCTCTGTATATCTAACCACGGCATCTGATGGCAGGTGCAAGGTTATGATTCAAGCTGCAGACTCAGATTCTGATGAGACCAAGAAAGCTAGGCGAAAGTCCCGCAAAACGTTGTCTGGCGTTTTTTATGCTATTTGGAGAAAAGAAGGGGTGCTTGGATTTTTTAAGGGACTGCGAGCTCAGATCCTGAAGACTGTACTAAGCTCAGCGTTGCTTTTGATGATAAAGGAGAAAATCAGCGCGACAACTTGGGTCCTAATACTTGCAATAAGAAGGTATCTACTGTTCTCACAGGCTAAGACGCAGGGTAGAATAAAAAATGCTTTACAGTAGTGATAGCAAAGGTCAAATGCTTAGGTTACCCTAAAAAATAAAATAAAATAAAAAGAAGTCATGGGTTGATTGTACATAATGATTTCATTTGGGATGAACAAAATGAAAGACATCCGAGGAGCTGGTTTCATCCCTCCAACTGGAAGTATCGAGCGGAGGCTAACATTGTGCTTTTTGTTCAAGAATAATCAGGCATAGGCTTGCACAAGACAGTAAGAATAGTTTCTTTTGTTGGTTGATCCTTAAAAGTAGTTTCATTTCTAGAATAATCTGATGCAGGACATATTATTATGTCAAAAAGAAATATCAATAAAAGAAAAACAAAATTGTCATCATTTGTGTCATTTGACTCTCAGAAATTGGGATCCTGTGTTCTGAACTATTCGTATGAATTTAGGATTCATTTATTAGGTTTGTGTTTGGGCATCATATGAAAAATGTTATGTCTTACAAAGTGTCGTGGAAATATTTTACAAGGCAAATGAATGAATTTTACTTGGAAGAATCTATATACATACAGGTTTTGTCTTATTTTATATGTTTCTGTTTCTAGTTAATTCATATTAATAGCTTCTTTTCCAAGGAAATAAAAACGAAAAGAAATTGCCACATTTCAATATGATGATTGATCTGAAATTCTTTTGCCCGGGAAACCCAAATTGATTTACATTGTTACATACATGGATTGTATATTTTGATGAATTTGAGATTTTTGGTTGCAGTTTTCTCTATCTTAGGTATATTAGGAAATTACTCTTTATTGTTGTATGAAGTTTTAAATAGAAGCAGTCTTTGATTTTGCTAAGAAACAATTACCATCAGGGTCCTCGCTTCTCAAGATAATTTATTTCACAATCGGGATTTAAATTTGGTCATATTATATATGTAATTATGCATTACATGATTTATATATGCATAATTGTAACTGGAGGAAGATTTAGGGAAAAAAAACAATTGTAACTGGAGGAAGAAGGTTCTCAAATTAATTTTATGGACTCGGTCTTTTCAACTTAAGGCTCCATTTGTTTCGACGTAAAATGTTCTTTTTGAAAAATATTTTTTACTTTCAGGTAAAATATTCTTTTATTTTTACTTTGTCGGTGTTTGGCAAAGGTCTGCGTCGAGGTTGAGGTGGAGTCTATCGGGCGAGATATGTAAAATAATGTAAAATAATTTACCGAAAATTGATGGATAAATTATTTATGTTAACTTTTAATATATTTTTTCTTCGTAAATATTCTACAATAACTAAATATCAGAAAATAAAAAAATATTTTACGTTCGAACAAATAGAGCCTTAATGATTAAGGGTGGATTGACTTCTTATTTAGCTACCAAATTAAGCTGCTACCAAGTTATATTACTCCTTAATGGAATGGAATGCTTTTTCATTTTTAAGGGTCCGAAGGAAATCTTGATCTTTCTTGTTTTTTATTTTTATTTTTTTTATATACACAGAATCGCATTCTCCTTTTAAGATTTGAACACAACCTTCACTTCAAAAGATAATAGAAAAATTATTGAATTAAAGCTCTTGGGATATTAATTGATTTATTTATTTTGACAAATAGTTACAATTTGTAGACAATTACGGTACAACTGGCTTGATGATGACATGTTTATTTGCATAAACATGTTACTTTGCAACAACATGTGCTTGCATTCAGCCAGCACCATCTGACATCTAAGAAAATCATAGCAATAATATTAATAATAATAATAAAAAAGTAATAATTAGTTAAAACGAGGGGATCACATGCATGGACGTTTACATTGACATAGTCATCATATAGTCACGAGGGATTTAACCATAATAACAAGATTTGCAAATGAAAATGTTAGGGCGTGTTTGATTTGTAATTTATCAATGAAATCTGAATTTGTAATTTATCAATGAATTCGGGAAAATAGTTTCATTCATAAAGTTTTCTATTTAAGGACATCATCAATGATTACTATGCAACATTTTAAAAAGTTAAATTTTAAAGGGATATTTATTTTGGGACAGCAAAAATATATAGTTTTGACTTTCAATTGATTTTTCATAATTTATCAATGAATTCCGAGGTTAAATCCGAATTTGAAGAGTCTATCTATATGTATGTGTGTGTGTGTATATATATATATAAATTCTTAGCAAAAAATACACTCATGCACCCTATGCAACATTTTAAAAAATGAAAATTTGTGAAGCATATAATATTGTCAATTTTTTTTTTTTTGGTAAAAGAATTCTTGATTTTATTATTATTTAGGGCCACTCTCACTTTAAAAAAAACTGATAAAATTATTACTTAACTGAACTCATGTGCCAAATCAAAGGCCTAATTGTTCAAGAACTCTAATCCAATCATGTGGAATCCAAAAAAAAAAAACATTCTGATTGGGTGCATCGGTTAAGTGCATCTATCAATTTTTTAAAATTAAAAAGTTGATATATGTACTCTGATAGAGTGTTGATAGCCGTTAGTTACACCACCTCACTATTACAACAATTGCAACGAATAATTTTCCCTCACCTTAACATAATAAATTGAAACACTCCACCTGTGGGAGCTGACATAAGCTAGTACATACGAAGAAACAAATTAAACATAGTAAAATATATATGCAATAAACCTAAACCCAACAAAACTAAAACTAAAGATGCCTTTACAAAAGGTGTGTTGTTACTTCAAAAGGCAAAAACCCTAGTTCATGAAACAAAAGCATTAGTTAAATGTAAAATATACAATATAGAAAGAGTAAAAAGTAGTACTAAACCTAGAAAATTGCATTAGCATGGACTTTAGGGTTTTAGACTTTAGAAGGAGAGGGATGAAAAAAAGCAGAAACAGCCCAAGATAAGGTAGAGTCAAACAATGGATCCCGAATTTGAGGTCTTTGGGGGGACAAAGATTAAGTTATATTAATTGAAAATTTATGTGGTGTTGGTTGGCAGAGTGTGGAAGCTTAAGTGGACTAGTTGGTTTAGATGACATAACACATTGTCATCACTCGATCATCCTTACACTATTTGGAAGTTCTGAAATACCCTAATTTATATTGTTTAGTTACTCATTGGTATATGTGTAACAGATTTTTTGATTTTTTGCTTTTCTGGCAATGGTTAGTAGTTAATTGGAGAGGGGAGAATTAAACCTATGATAATAAGGCGAGAGTACTTAAAACCTAATCTTTTTATCATTCGGACAACACCGTCACATCTTGAAAGATCGCTATTAATGATAGTTTCGGGTGAAATTAATCATTGATTTCACTGAATCGGTTATTACAACGGTCACAAAATTATTAATAGTGATGAGTTGCGAAAATGTTTGTCGGAGAGATTTTGATTCGTAATATGTGAGATATACCATAGGAACTTCATTATAAACATGTCAAAAACATAACATCTATCACTTAATCCAATTACCCTAGAGCCCTTGAAGCCTTTTTTTTGGTTCTTTTTTTCCAAAAAAAAAATGAAAAAGGAAGTAGGCTATCTTATTATAGAAGAGGGTAATATGGAAATAATATAGTTACAAAAAGTTTTGCAGCCAAATTAATTAACCACATGGGAAAAGGTGGGACCCAAGTACACAATCCACAAGGGCTCAAAAGTCCAAGTCCAGCCACTAGTAAGTCTACCACGTACATTGTTTTTCTACAGTGAATTTTGACCATTTCCTTGTATCTTCACAAGAAAACAAACACACTGCTACTGACATTTTCCCTTTATAATTAACCAAACTTCCTGCACAAGAATCTCTCCCTCTCTCTCCAAAACTCTCTCCTCTCCCTCTCTCCATCTCTATCTCTATCTCTCTCTCTCAAAAGCCAATCCTATTCTCCATTTTTGGCTTAGAGGATCTGTCTCCCTCACACACACACACACACACACACACAAAACACAATTGTATTCTCCACAGAAACAAAAACACATTGGCATATATATAGTTAGTAAGTGAGATGTTGATGTCAAGGTGTCAAATGGGTGGTTTCTTATTCATTTTACTGAGTATTTCAGCCTTGAACACAGTTCTGGAAGCCAGATATCTACAAGAAAAGCCTCAGGTTTGGAAGAAGAAGAGTACTACCAATAACAATACTAGTGATGAAGGCTTTGTTGCAACCATCAACAGAGAAGTACCATCATGTCCTGATCCTTTACACAATAGGTAATCAGTATTGAGAACAAGTGTTCGAGTCGTCGTGAGGCCGAAATGCAAGAACTGTGTGTGTGTGTGTGCATATATAGTGATCAAGAATTCAAATTATAAGTTTTGATCTATATGTATTGATGCTAAAGAGAAGTGATTTTAGAATTCAAATTGTAAGTTAGTTTTGATCTATATGTGTTGATGCCAAAAGAGAAGTGATTTTAGAATTCAAATTATAAGTTTTGGTCTATATGTATTGATGCTAAAGAGAAGGTGAATTTAGTTATTTTTTCTTTTTCTTTACAACATGGTTTTTATATATGTGTTTCTCTTTGTAATGTTCATTATTATTCTCTCCTTTCAACAATGGCCTCCTATTTCCATATTTCTTTATATATATATATATATATATATATATATATATATATATATATATTATTTTCTTCAATCACAACTACCATTTGAGTTTTTCTTGGAAACAAAATTGGGAAAGTACTGAATTGTAAAGAGGAAAAAGTGACAAAATTAATTAGGAAACAGTTAAAAAGCCTAAGAAGAACCTATACAAGTGAATCAAAATAAGTGGATAAACAAAACCTCGTTGTTATGGGTTGTAGGAAAATATATCATTAAATCAAAAGTACACTTCATGAGATTCATAAAACTTTTCCCAAGTTTAATGTTCTTTTCCTTTTAAAGAATCAAATTTTTGGCTTTATGAAGGTTGGGGAAGAGGGTTTTATATCCAGTTTTTTTAAGTTTGGAAAATGTTTATTACCTACCTTATTTTTTACAATCTTGTTTTGATCAGAGGACAGGGAAGCTTCCTTTTTTTTACTGTTTTTGCACCAAAACAAAGGAAAAAAACAAAAAAGTACTCAAGCATACATACAAGTATATAAAACAAAAGAATAAACAAATTAATGTGCAAATACTCTTACATCAAGGATGTGATTCCATGACCATAACAGACCATACTCCAAAAGAGCATACTTCTTTTGACTATTAGAAATATACATACATATATATATATATATATATGAATTATATCATGACTTCTTTGATTAAATTCAATCCTGTGCATTTTCCATTATGTGGACTCAGTATGTCAAAAAGTTACTTTTGAGTATTCAACAAGATTAGCTTCTTGAGTTGAAATTAAGATCACCCAGAGGTCCCCTCATTAGCCATAATTACTGCATGGTAATTAATTTCACTTTTTTTTTCAAACTGTTTCTAGTCAAACAGTCTATATCATGTTCACATATAATTATTTAAGCAAATTCATAGTTGATGCTGATTTTGTACACGATTGACTTATAGGAAAACATAATTGAATATACATAAAATTTTACATAACTTGGGTAGGCTTAATTCAATCCAAATTAAGCCCCAAACTCCAACAATAAATAAAGCTGCTTTGAGTTCACATGTAAAATGGATTGGACTTGAGAATCCCACTTAAACCAATCAGATGAAAATTTTATGTTCTCTTTATGCAGTTCATTAATAGAAAATTAGAAAAAAAAAAAAAAAAAAAATCCAAAAAACAGCAGCAAAATTTTCTTGGATAGGTAAAGAGAAGTGAGAGAATCCTAGAAGAAGAAGAAGAAGAGAGAGACAGAGAGAGAGAGAGGATACAAATTGAGTATTTACTCAGCAATTTTGATATAGACAGATTTGAAAATGAAATCAACAATTTGATATCTAGTATCATATGTTACTCTAACCAAACTGGGGCATATTCAATCTGGGATATGTTTAATCTACAGTATTCACATAATGGTCGGTTAAGAAGTACAGTAAATTACAATAATTGCACAGTGCGTGTGAGACGGGAATAATGCATGTGTCTAGTGGTGGATTATGGGGTGCTCTAAGAGGCCGACACCATCATCCATCCCCCCCAAAAAAAGAGAGTACATAGTAGCTAGTGCAAAATCAGTCATAATTTTAAAACAATCAAGCTACTAGTGCTTATCCACATATTCAATGAACCAAATGGACCATACTTGGGACTTAAAAATATTTACAAGACTAGCATAAATATTCACCTCAAGAGTAAATTAACCATTACATAACAGAGAGAAGTTAAAACAGCCACACTGCTGAGTCTTCTTCACTTCCTAGGTACCAGAATACACAAAAGCCAAATTCCATACTATTTAAGGAACAACACTAAGTACCATAACACTAGATCATCAAACAACAACAGACAAAGCCAACAACAAAGAAAGCAAGAAGTGACATACCCCAACCATGCCAGCCAAACCAGCTCCACTTACAAAGTTTCCTGCAGGTGTGTTTGTGGCCAAGACAACCACCATCCAGTCATCTTCCGAACCAATGCCGACTCCGGTGTACTTTGATTTGTTGAGATACGTAGCATACGGGGAGTGGGTGTAGTTCGTGAGCACGAGAGTTGGAACTCGATTCGGGACACAGACGGGCAATATGACCCCATCTTTCGTGGTTTTGACGTTTGAGTGGCACTTCTTCAAAGCATCAGGATAGTTGGAAAACTCAGGTACGGTGCCAATCGCGCGAGTACAAGGTTGGTCCTCTAATTTGTCGGCGATTTCATCCGCCAGGCATTCCGCATTGTCGTTCTTTGCAAGTGGTGGCAGGCCGAGGGATGATCTGTATCTGTTAATGCCTTGAAGCAGATCATTTTCCTTATCTGCAAGTCAATAGGGTATTATATAGATTCATAAGTATGGTACCAGGTAAAGAAGAAAAAAGAATTGCACCAATAAATTTGAACATTGCTGCAGAAAAAATTTTAAACCATGACTTGTCATTTTTTGAATTGAAAGATATATGAATTTGTCAATTGAACCACAGGGTAGACGATCTTTAGGGTATCTTAGCAAGTCTAATACAAGTAAAATCTCTGTACTAGTCTGCACTATCTAATTTGCGTAGAGATCCAATATAGTGCGATATTGGAGGTTGCCAGTAAAGCTTTTGTTTCGTAATTGCACTCAGTAATCAAGATTAGCCATTCAAATAAGCACATGCCCTAACAAGCTATTAGAGTAATTGAATAGGTGCCACACTGATAGACAATCATTTCAATGCGCCAAGACATACCCTTAACTGAGAAAATAATGAAAATTAAGAATGAAAGCTTGATTCAGATGGTACTTGATTGAAAATAGTGATACTCATTCTGAAGATGGTGCCTTCGGCTCCCCCTTGGATGAACTCATGTGCAGCCCACTCGAACTCATCCTAAGGGGAGGAGCCTTGCTCGGCTCCCCCTTCGGTACTCTCTCTTTGGAGAGAGGACCATTTTCCTTTTCCCTATTTTCTCCTACCATTCAAATAAGCACGTGTCCTAACAAGCTATTAGAGTAATTGACTAGGTGCTACACTGATAGACAATCATTTCAATGCGCCGAGACATACCCTTAACTGAGAAAATAATGAAAATTAAGAATGAAAGCTTGATTCAGATGGTACTTGATTGAAAATAGTGATACTCATTCTGAAGATGGTGTCTTCGGCTCCCCCTTGGATGAACTCATGTGCAGCCCACTCGAACTCATCCTAAGGGGAGGAGCCTTGCTCGGCTCCCCCTTTCGGTGCTCTCTCTTTGGAGAGAGGACCATTTTCCTTTTTCCTATTTTCTCCTAGCACGATTAATGCACATTTTCCATATCACTAGTGTACTTATCTTAGCACTGGGCTTTTTTAGCAGGGGCGGTGTCTCCTCCGGAAGAGAAGAGTGTGGGGGTGTGTGTTGACTATCAAAATAAAATAAACTCTCTTTTACTGTCCTAATTTAAGAGATTGAAGTTAGATGCTACATTGATGCTTTGTTTGTATTTGTGTATCTCACTTACACTAATTCTAGACCTTTCTTGACATTCTCATATTATTGTATATTCTTCCAATAATATTCTCCCACAGAAATACCAGATAATATTTTCTCTATTTTCTAAAAATACAAGGCAAATTGGAAGACCATCTTGTTACTGTTTTTTTTTTTTTTTTTTTTTTTTTAATATTAAGAATATACTATTACCAATCAATCACAGAAAGCCACTTAGCACATTGGCAAAGGAAAGGAGAAAGAGTGCCCTACATGAAATTGTTTAATCTAACCGAGGGATTGGCATGAACATATATGTTTATTAACCTAACTTAGGGGGTCTCATTCTTTTCGAGGGCGTCCATTCCTGTGGTTAAAGTTAAACCGTCTGAAGTCTAGACGCAATATGGTACACAAGCTAATGCGAAAATGGTTTCAATATGAAATTTTTTTGGGATACTCATTTGATAAAATGATTCGAACCGTCTACCGGAAAAATGGGTATTTCAACAGGATATGTACTCCAGGTTTTTAATGTAATGACCTCAATCACCACTAAGCCATGAAACTAGTTTTGCAATTACAAAGCTTGGTTTGAATCTCCAAGTGAGATTGCACATTCTAGTAAAAGGGGTGAGTGACAAAGGTCTACTTATTGACATGGTTCATGTGCCATTGGGCCTTTTTTGGGTGGGAGCATTTCTCAAAGAGGTGCTACCTGGCTGAATAGGTCCACCACACAAGTGGTGGGGCCCTCTCACAATTATGTGAGTGGCAGGCCAATAGACCCCTGCCCTAAGTATGCCACTTTTCCTTCCTCTAAATCAGTTTTCACTCAAATTATTTTCTAAACGATCTCAATTTCAAAGAAAAGGGATGTATGCCTTTAAGTCACACAATTCTTCATTATAAGTGTCGCTCTCATGTTTTATGCATATTTTCGTTCAAATTCTTATTATTTATGATTTAATTTTGTTGCTCTTACATTTTCGCTCTCAAATTAGCTCCTGTTTTTGCTTTATGTTACTTAATGTACAGCCCCTCTCTAAAAGGAATTAAAACGAAAAAAAAAACACATATTTCTTTAATTCCCAAGTCCAATTTGCCACTTACTCTGTGTTTGGACCTACCCAAAAGCCAGAACCCATTTGTTATATAGTTGCAACTTAAAATGAGTTAGACCTAAACCAATCTTCAGGCTTCAACTCAAACTTCTCAAACCGAGCCCAACCATGATTGCATTTTTGAACTCGGGTTAAGCTCAGAGTCGGAGAAATCTTATTGAAAATTGGATTGATCTCTGAATTAGATAACTATAAATTCATGAAAAATAATTTCCAAGTAACTAACTAACTAACTTCCATATAATTCCTGAAGGGTATATTTTGTCATTTGAAATCTCTCCACTCCAAAAACCAAATCACATCATTCCAAACACAGCAGCTCTTACCGTTTTCCCTCCAATATGGCCCAGTCATCAACTGAGATGATGAATGACTCAAAGCCCAAAAATAAAATAATAATAATAATAGGAAACAAAACCAGGTCAAAACTCTAGTTTAACAGGAGTAATCAATTGATTAATAGTACCATTTATGCATTCAAATCCGAATTCTCATACAACAAACAAAATAACACACGTATATTTATATATAAAAAAGAAAATACAGAAAGAAACAATATGTCCCATATATATATATATATATATATATTTATAGAGAGAGAGAGGGGGTACCATCACAGATGACTGAATTAGATAACAAGACAATGACATTAAGCACCAGAAAGAGGGATAGAGGATACCGGAGAAATGCCATTGTTTCTGAACCAAAGAGTACGAGTTGATGAGTTTGTGTTATTACAAAGATTGTTGTCTCTCTTAATTTTTTATTCAGAAAGAGATATATAAACTTCATATATATATATATATATATATAAGCCTATTTGGCTTGGTTGTGAGTGTCTGAGAGTAAATTCCTTGTGCCCTCCTACTGTGGTGGTTAAAAAAGAGTGGAAGAAATTTTGGGCAACCAACTTACAGGTTGCCACTAGATTCGCCCTACACGTTTCAAACATGCAAATGACACACATATATGCTCTTCTTCCATATCCCATTTGTTCGTGTGACACCTCTCTCTCTCTAACACAAATATAATATGGTTTTTTTATATTTTATTTTAATTAATTTATTTATTTTTACAAGGCAAGAAATATCGGATTGAAATGATACTAAAATTTTATCATGACATGGATTCGAATTTTTATTATTATTTTTCGTTAAATAATTATATTTTGAATTGGAACATAAAAAATAAAATATGCACCACATTATTATCATTGTGCTTATATTAAAGCAATTTCATTACAAAAGAGTTGTTAATCAGTTTAAAAGCTTTGGTTGGAGATAACAGCTTAATTATAATGAAGGAATAGGTGAAATGAAAATTCAAGAGAGTCGTACGATATATTATAAATTATTTTTTATTTAAAATTTTATTTATTCAATTATTATATCATCACATCTTAAAATTTAAGAGTTTCAATTTTCTTTAAAATTTGATTTTTTTGGGTGAAAATATAAGGAAATTTAAGAGATTTGTACTAAAATCGAGAATATATATATAGTGTGTGTATATATATATATAAAAGGATCCAAAAGATTATTTATGAAAAGTTTAAGCAAATTGTATAATATTGTTCAAGAATATTTTTATGCAAAAAAAAAAACACAAAATGATATTTACTTTAGTATCCCGGGAGTCACGTGGGTTCCAACTCGTCCATGACGTCCGTTTCTACAGACGTGTCCGCTGCATGCGGAGTGGCAAGACACGTAGCCTCGTGCATATTGCCACGTTACACCACGCACCACCTCACACCTCTATATATAACTTCTGTATCTATCTATCATCCCACAGCAAGCTCAGTTATCATATACTCATATATGCTTTCTCGTCTTGTAGCTTCTTCAAAGAGTCTTAGCGGCAACAGTACTTCATCATCAACGTCACACAACCCACCTGAAAAGTCAGATTCTGGTGATCTCTGGTATTTTTCCTGCGAAGAAGGTAAATAGAGTGTTTGAGAGAATGGCTTCCGATGGCCGGCAGTTCCCTCCCCAAAGGCAGGAGACACAGCCTGGAAAAGAGCATCTCATGGACCCCACTCCTCAGGCTGCAACCCCTGAATACAAGCCCGCTAATAAGCTTCAAGTACCCTATCCCTCCTAACCTATTTATATATACTCTCATACACACACTGACACCGTGACACACACACACACACACACACACACGCATCCATGAATGATGCATTTATGAATTTTATGGGGACGCATTTCCTTATTATATATATATATGGAATTGCAACAATGTCAAATATATATATATATATATATTTTTCTTGTTTATTTATTTATTTATAAGAAATCATTGTTTGCTTGTTAAATTTCAGCATCCAGACCATAAATGGTATTTTTAAATTTTTTGAATCTTAGTCATATACATGTTTAACATCATTGGATATCTACATATATGCTTGTATATGTGTATATATTATGCCTGGATCATATCCATGGATATATACATTTATTGATTGTACAAATGCATTTGTTCAACATGTTTCAACATTATGGGTGAACCTTAAAAGTGTGACATACATGGTGGCTTATGCAGGGCAAGGTGGCACTTGTGACCGGCGGTGACTCCGGCATAGGCCGGGCCGTGTGCCACTGCTTCGTATTGGAAGGTGCAACCGTGGCCTTCACCTATGTGAAAGGCCACGAGGACAAGGATGCACAGGACACCCTCCAAATGCTAAAACGAGTGAAGAGCTCCGATGCGAAGGAGCCGATTGCAATAGCGGCCGACTTGGGTTTCGATGAGAATTGCAACAGAGTTGTCGACGAGGTGGTGAACGCCTATGGCCGGATTGACATTCTGGTCAACAATGCCGCCGAACAGTACAAGGCCACCACGGTTGAAGAAATTGATGAAGCTAGGCTTGAGAGGGTGTTTAGGACCAATATTTTTTCTTACTTCTTTATGGTCAGGTAATTTAGATACTTAAAACTATTTATTTATATTGTGGTTAAGGGCAAGCTAGCTTGAAAATATTCTTAGAAATAAAACAGAAATTAGTTTCAAAATAGTACAAAGTTCATTTGTTTGATAATTTTCTGAAAAAGAAGCTCCATTTTCAAGTAATTGTACCAAACAGAGAGTTAGGCCCTGTTTGTTTCAGGTTTTTGTGGACATTTTTTATTTTCTTGAAAATTGAACCAAATTCTTAAGAGTCTTAGCCTCTTAGGGCCTAAAACATGTTTCTATTTTCTCATGATTAAAAATTATTCAAAAATCTGTTTGGTTGACGAATTTTGAGAAACTGTCTTTTATAATTATTTTCAACCAAATAGACCCTTAAGCTTCTAGCTTTTTTAGGTTGCTCTACAATTTTGCTCCCAAAAATGAAATCAAGCATTCGTTTCCAAATTTAACTCCTTAAAATTATTTTATTTTATTTAATTATAATTTTTTACTATTGTTTTTTTTATATATGAGTAATGTGGTGGATGATGATGGACATTAATGGTGATGTTAGGCATGCTTTGAAGCACATGAAGCAAGGGAGCTCCATCATCAACACCACATCAGTGAATGCATACAAGGGGAATGCAAAGTTGCTGGACTACACAGCCACCAAAGGTGCAATTGTGGCATTCACTAGAGGACTTGCACTGCAGCTCGTGAGCAAAGGAATACGCGTCAATGGCGTCGCCCCCGGCCCGATCTGGACGCCGTTGATCCCGGCCTCGTTCAGCGAAGAGGAGAGTGCAAATTTTGGGTCGCAGGTGCCAATGAAGAGGGCTGGTCAGCCAATTGAGGTTGCTCCATGCTATGTCTTCCTTGCTTCTAATGTGGACTCCTCTTATATTACAGGACAAGTTCTTCACCCTAATGGTATGTCCTTCAATGACTTTTTACATGTTCAATTGACATGCTTAATGACTTTATTTACTTCTTCTTCTTATTATTTTTTTGGGTTTTTATTTATTTATTATTATTTTTTTGGGTGTTTATTTATTTATTTAATTTTTGCAGGAGGAACGATAGTTAACGCTTGAAGAATTGAAGGGTTTGTTGGGGGTGCCTTTAAGTTTCTTTTGTGGTGGTGTCTTTTGATATGTTTGTATGGTCCAAGGGGTATGTAATAGTACAATGCTTTTGTGTATGAAAGAATCCATTTCAAGAAAGTTTCTTGTTTAATTTAGGATCATCTCCCTGTGTGTTGTGTGTGTGTATGTGTGTGTGAAAATTACATTAGGCTTCATTAAATTTGTTAGCAAACTGGAAACGAAGATTTTTTTGTTATGGGAAGTGGGAACATAAAAGAATATATGATTGGGAAAAAGATCATACTGATGACTGTTTGGGCCTGAGATTTTGGGCCCCTCGTTTTCTTTTCAATTGTAGCAAGCTTGTGCTCCTGTTGGGTCCTCTCTTCACTTCTATTGTCTTTTGAACTACACTCCACCTTTGAATAGTTTGGTTTGAAACTGGTTTATATAAGTAATTTCAAATGATACATTTCCCATATTTATTGCAATTGGCAAACTATTATTTTTAAAAGTGAAAAAAAAAGGGTTAGTGTTGGAATAATGCAATGGTATTCATTCATGTATGGAGAAATATGTTAACTATGGATACTTCAGTGGATTAGTGTCTCGAGTGAATTTTGGAGTGTCAGATTTCAACTCTTTAGATCTAAATTAAAAAAAAAAAAAACTTGCGACAATATAAGAAAATAAGACATCAGTTTTATATATATATATATATATATATATATATATATATGTTATGCTTTTTATTTTAAAAATAATAACTAATTATCAGTTGGAGTACTAAATTCTAAAGACCCGAAGTATAGAATACTGGGCATGTTTATTTGGTTTGTAAGAAAGTAGTTCTCAAACAACTATAAAACACACTTTTTAAAAAAAATTATAAAACACAGTTTTTAGACTGAGTTTTTTAAAAACAATTTGTCAACCAATCAAGTTTTTTCACCAATTTTCATGATTTCCAGTTAAATAATAATAATAAAAAACTAGAACCAAACATGACCTTAACTATATATTAAATAGACAATACTTAGATACTCACTAGTGAAAATTTATAATATCTTCACCTTTTATGTGGTTCAATAAAAATAAAACACGTCATCTTTAATTAAACAAACAGGTCAGAAAAATAAAGAAATAGAAAATAAATCAGATCCTACCGGAATAAAACCGGGTTCATTTTTGGATTTTTTTATTTTTTATTTCTCTAGGGTTCAACCTCTGTCGCCTTCAGCCCTTTCTCCCCACCATTTTCTTCCTCTCAAGTTTCTAGTCTTAGACATCATCATTCAATTGTCAAAAATATTTGAAGGAGGTATGATCTATTATTATTATTTTTGTTTACATATTTAAGATTCTTTTTCTAGAAAAGGGTTTTTCATGAACGATTAAAATGGCAAGTTGATCGTTGGCCTCTGTGTTAAGTTTCTTTACAAATTCCATTCATTCTAAAACATAATCTGCATGGAAAGCCCTTTTCTATAAAAAGAATCCTAAATGCGTAAACAAAAAAATACAGATCACACCTCATTCAAATATTATTGGCAATTGAATGAAAAAGATGGTGGAGAGAGGGCTGAAGGATGTGCCGGAAAGAGAGAACCAGACTTCACTGACCCAATTTTATTTGAATAGAATCCGACTTATTTTCTCTTTCTTTATTTTTCTGACTTCTTTAAAAAAAAATAACTTTTTTAATTTTTATTGAACCACGTGAGAAGTGAGGATATTATATTATAGATCCTCACTAGTGAAATTTAAGTATTGTCCTAAATTATATATATATATATATATATATATATATATATATATAGACACACACACAGGGAAGGACGGCAGTCCACACAAGACGACGCAATCCAACCTACACACACCTGTCAGTTTTACATTGTTTCGCTTCTCTTGTAAGACTAAACATTCAACCAATGAAATGAATTTGGGCCAAGTGTATGAACTAAAGAAAACAAAGTTTCTAATCTCTAGAAGTATACGGCTATATATGCCTGCTCCTTTCATTTGATCAAACTGCTTAAGCTTTGAAAATGGTGATTTACGATGTGTTCTTGTCTTTCTGCGGTGTTGATACACGCAAGAATTTTACGGCCCACCTCTTGGCGCTTTGAAGCGGCATGGTTTATACACCTTCATAGATGACGCTAAGCTAAAAAGAGGAGGAGAAATTAGTCCTGGATTGATGAAATCAATCGAGGAATCCAGAGTTTCCATTATTGTATTCTCGAAAAGCTATGCGTCCTCAAGATGGTGCCTTGACGAGCTTGTCAAGATCATGGATTGCAAGAGGACGCTTCCGACGTTCGCTCACAGAGGGGTAGCTATGAAGAAGCATTTGCTAATCATATAAAGCAGTTCGACTTGGAATCGATGAAGAAATGGAGGTCGGCTCTGGCAGAGGCTGCCAATTTGTCTGGTTACATCCTGCAAAATGTGGCCAATGGGTACTTAATTATCTTTCTTCTCTTCCAAAAAGCAATCTGAAACATTTCCAGTTTGATCACTTTACCTATTTTGATTTTTGTTCTTTTCTTTTTAGGTGTGAGTCGATGTTTATTGAGTTTGTTGTTGGAGAAGTTGCAGATAAATTAAATCCTACATGCTTAAGTGTTGCAGAATACCCAATTGGAATACATCGTCTGGTTCAACAACTGAGCAAGTTTATGAGGTTGGAGTCAAATAGTGATGTTAGGATTGTTGCCACATGGGGGATTGGCGGAATAGGTAAGACTACAATTTCGAAAGCTATGTATAATTGCATATATCGTAAGTTTGAAAGTAGTTGCTTTCTTGCAAACGTTGGGCAAACTTCGATGCAACACAACGGCCTAGTTGAATTACAAGAAAAGCTTCTGTGCGATCTCCTAATGGATGGGAATCAAAGAATAAGAAGCGAGGATCATGGGATTGAGGTGATAAAAAAGAGAGCATGTTCTCGGAGGGTTCTTCTTGTTCTCGATGATGTGGATAACATCCGTCAATTGAGTGGATTGGCCATAAATCGTGATTTGTTATGTCCTGGAACTAGAATTAGGGGTGGCAATTCATATTCGTGGGTCGTATTCGTGTTATGTCAATGTAAGAGTATTATACTAAATAGGTAAACCCAAACCCAATCCATTTAATAATCGTGTCAAGATCCTCAATACTAACCCAACCTATTTATTAAACAGGTAAACGTGTTAACCCGTTTAATGACCTGTTTATCAAACCGAGACATTTAATATTTAATCAAATACTAAATAATAGAAAAAAATTGTTATAATTTACCCAAATTTTCAAAATAAAAAGAAAAATCATAAGGCATAGACAAGGTTTATGTTGAAATGACTTAACTATCTATAATAATTGGGTTTAAATAGATAACATATTACATATGTTATTATGGTCATATTCACAATTATAATATGTTGAGTTAAATGGGTTATAAATAGGTTACACGGGTTGAACTCCTCAACCCTAACCCGACACGGTTAAATAAACGGGTTAATCGTGTTGACCCTTTTATGACCCAAACCCGTTTATGCCAAACTCAAACCCTTTTAACTCGTGTTGTGTTCGTGTCGTGTCGTAATTTGCCACCCCTCTAGAATCATAGTATCAACTAGAGATTTGGCTTCAGTATCTTCGCTTCGAGTAGATGAGGTGTATAATCTTGAGGAGTTGAATAAGGAGGAATCTCTTCGACTCTTTACTTGGCATGCCTTTAGGAGAGACTGTCCTCTAGAAGACTATGAAATCATCTCTTAGGAAGTAGTGAGTTATGCTAAGGGGCTTCCTTTACTTCTTAAAATCTTAGGTTCCCTTTTGTTGGACAGACCCATACCCCAATGGATAAGTGAATTGAAGAAGTTGAAAAAGATTCCTCCTAAGGATGTTCAAGGAAAACTAAGATCGAGCTTTGATTCACTTGATGATGAACAGAAGGGTTTATTCCTAGATATTGCACTGTTTTTTTGTTGGAATGAACCAAGATTTGCCAATTGAAATACTAGAAGGTTGCGGTTTCTTCCCAGAATCTAATATTGAGTTTCTATCTCGTCGTTGCCTTGTAAGCATTGATAGGAATAACAGGCTAGTGATGCATGAATTGATTCAAAACATGGCCAGAGAGATCATCCGGCAAGAATCTCCTGAAGAGCCCGGTGAACGTAGTAGGTTGTGAGATCCTGAGAACATTCTCTACGTATTGAGAAATAACACCGTAAGAATTCAAAGCATTAACTAACTACATATATTGTCATTGTGGGCGGTCTTATTCACTATAAAAATGCCATAGCACACGACAAATCATGAAAGTCACACAATCTGGACTGTGAAACAATTTTTCAACAAAATGTTTAATATATTTATGTATATTGTTATATCTGCAACTTACCTTTCATAAAAAAATAATTAAAAAAAAACTTTATCATCAGGGGACAAAAGCAGTTCAAGGCTTAGTCCTGAACTTCTCAGAATCAGAAGAGTTGCAACTAAATGCGAAGACGTTTACAAGGATAGAGAGGCTGAGACTGCTTCATCTCAATAATGTCCATCTAAGTGGAAGCTTACATCTCTCTGGAAGACTTGTATGGTTATCTTGGAAAGGATTTTCCTTATAATATTTACCATCAACCTTAATTACGGATAATCTGGTTGCCGTTGACTTGAGCTATAGCAAGCTCAAACAACTTTGGAGAGGAACAAAGGTACGAGGATGCTACTGTTTTCATCTCCTTCAAACTTAATTAATCGAATGACAAGCATATAAATTTGTTATCCCTTTGTGTTCCTTGTAGGTTTTGTATAAATTGAAATATCTGAATCTCGGTCATTGCTATTTTTTGATCAAAACTCCGGAATTCACGGGGTTCACCAGTCTTGAGGAATTGTTGCTTAATGATTGTACAAAGCTAACAGAGGTTCACCCATCTATTGGACGTCTGAAAAACCTTCTTGTCTTGAAAATGAAGAATTGCCCAAATCTTGAGAAATTTCCCCTTAGCATTTTCATGTTGAATTGTCTCCATGATTTCAATCTGTCCGGCTGCTCCAAATTAAAATGGCCAACATTTTTTCGAAGATCGCCACCTCAATCAAGCTTTGCGTCGTTACAGTTATCATCCAGCATCAGGAAATTATATTTGAAAAACTGCAATATAACATATGTGCCCAGTGAAATTGGTAGTTTGGTGTCCCTGGAATTTTTGAATCTTAGTAGAAACAAAATTTCTAACCTACCAACTACCACCACTAGCCTTCCGCTACTAAAGTCCCTAACTGTAAACCAATGTACTCGGCTTGAATCAGTTCCGGCTCTTCCAGTGAATTTATTGAGATTGAATGCAATCTACTGCACATCATTGCAAAGCATATCAATGGAATCAAAAGTAGAAGAATCACCATTCATGATTTTTTACGGTTGTCCCAAATTAGTCAACAACAATTTTGCATATAATTTTAGAAGAAATCTCCTCCGTTATCAGGTATGCTACTCTGTTTTCTTTTTCCTATATATATGTATATAGTACTAAAAACCAGGCTTATTATTTTAAATGACAAATGTTCATGTTTTGATTATACATAAAAAAAAAAGAGCTAGCAAAAAGAAGCATTTGAATCGCATAGGTCAGGTCGTTTGGACTGATCACTATACTTATTTGAGCTGCAGGGACTGCGGGAACAAGGTGAGTTCAACATTTTTCTTTCTGAGAGCGAGTTTCCAAGGTGGTGCAACTACGAGTGTGAGGGAGGAGTCTTACATTTTCGGATCCCTCAGCCCTTGGGTCAGATAATTCAAGGGTTTATTCTCTGTGGTTCTTTTACTGGCTGCAGCTTCAATCAAGATGGTGATTCTAGGGGATCAATTCCAAGTTTCGAGCATAATATGTGGCTCTCCTACATACCAATTCAGAGCCATCAACTTGAATTGGGGGAGGGGGAGTTGCATGGCGGAGATGAAGTGGTGATAGAACTAGAATCAATACTCTATTGTTGGCGGGTGAAGAAGTGTGGGGTTAGTCTGGTTTACCAGGGTGAAGAGAAGTATCCCGACTCGTATATTTATGATGCCTCACATCACTCAATCGCTAATGCCTCAGATATTCCTTTAGTAAATGAAAATGTGCTTGCGGTACAGGTATCGGATTATGAATTTCTTGATGAGGGACCGATTCTAATGACATTTCCTCACCTTTTAAGATTGATGGTTAAGAGAAATGGACTTGTAATCAGACGTCTGAAGAGCAGATGACATGCCTATGCCACGTTGGATGGATTCAGAGCAATATTTGGCTCCTATAGGCCGACTATGTATAATTTTTCATAGTAAATGGCAGTGGAGATTGTGTGATATGATCTATAAGCATAAAACTAATTAGTGGATACGAATAGCACTACAAAGCATGAGAAAATGGCTCTTAGAGCAATGAAGCAACCACTTTATTGAAACAATCTATTAGTAGTAATAATTAACTTTAGGTTTGTGTCGATTAATCCTTTTGATCTCATTAGTAACAGCAGCAACTTGTTCTTCGAGTTCCTTAACTGGTCATATTGAGGACACTAATGAACTCGAAGATAATTAATAAAATAGAAAGAGATGGGAGGGCTCAGATATCTGATACGAGATGATAGGGTTCTAGGCCCTAAATTGATCCTTGGTAGAAAAAAAGAAGAAGAAGGAAATAACATATTTCCTAAATCAAGCAAATAATAATTGGAAAAAAAGGCCTAATATAGACTTCTAATAATATTGGTTTCCAAAAAAAATACCATGTTCAAATTAGTAGCATAGATTGGGGATAATATCATTGTAGCTCAAGAGTTGTTAAGGGAATATCATAGAAACCTTTACTCACCTAGATGCACCCTAAAGGTTGATATCAACAAAGCCTATGATAACCTAAACTGGCAGTCTCTAATTAACCTTCTTGAGCTCATGAATTTCCCAATGGTGTTCATTTCTTGGGTTAAAACTTGTATTTCTTCAGCATCATTTTCGGTTTCTGTAGATGGAGAATTATGTGGATTTTTCAATAGTATTAAAGGCTTGAGGCTAGGGATCCTCTATCCCCCTACCTATTTGTGATTGCAATGGACTGCTTCTCCTCAAAATACCAATATCTTGACATCCAATAATCTATAATTTACCTTTCATTGAAGATGTAAAGTCTTGAGGATTTCCCACATTTCATTTGCTGATGATGATGGGGAAATTCAGTCAACAAGAACCCTTAAGAAAGCACTTGACACATTCTCAAACCTGTCTGGCCTTTACCCCAATCCCAATAAAGTCCATCTTTACTCCAGTTCTGTCTCTAGCACCTCAAAGAATGATATATGCTCCTTATTTCAGTTGTGGCATTTTACCATTTAGATATCTTGGTATTCCTCTTGTTACAATCAGGCTTAGTGCAGCTGATTGCCAGTCACTCATTGACATCATGCTCTCAAGAATTACTAATCAGATTGCAAGAGCTCTTTCTTTTGTAGGAAGGCTACAATTGATTCAGTCTACTTTGTTTTGTATCACATTTACGGACAAACCTGCTTATCAGTTTGCAATAAAATTGACAACATTCTCCAAAGATTTCTATGGGCAAGTTTAGGGCAAAAGTTACTTGGGAAGAAGTGTGCAGGCCAAAGGAAAATGGAGGACTAGGAATACCTAACATCCAAATGTGGAACAAAGCTTGAATATTAAGACGCATCATTACAGGTAAACGATGACAGCTTTTGGAAGATTTGGACTCACAAATATCTGATCAAGCACAAGACTCTATGGGATATCAAAATTACAAGCAAAATTACCTGGTTCTGGAGGAAATAGTGAGTTATTTACATGGAATGGTTACGGAATTATACTTTAAAAATATCTAGAGGGGGGTAAATAGATTCAATTCGTACTATTGCCCGATTTTTGCTTCTTTTAAATTTACAAAAATAAAACTAAAAAACAAAGCCACAAAGCAATAAATGAATTTCTTTATTACGCCAATACGTCCGCATTCGGATCCTCTGCGGTGGTACAAAATGTGGTGTATCTCAAAGCCTAAAGGATCTTTACTTTACTAATGGTACCGAAACTGTAAGAAAAATAATATTATAAATCAACACTCAATGGGGCGTCTAGAAATTTTGGAAATAATATGCTGAAATGGAGATTTGACCATGTTGATTTCAAACTTCCACTTCTATAAAACTCTATTTCTCCCTTTAAGATTTAAGATATGAAGATTTTCTCTGCAGTAATAATAGTTTGATGGATAACGCTTACATTCTCTATATTTTTAGTCTTTTCTTTTTTTCCTTATCCTTCGTTTCTTGTTCTGAATCATCTCATCACATTCTCAGGGAAAAGGTAAGTGTTTGGTTGCTGAGAAACTAAACTAAGTATAAGAAACCAAATTTTGATCTATCATATCTTTGTAGTTTTCTATAAAAAAATCAATCTGTTTCAGCTAAGCCAAGTATGGGTGTATTTTTTAGGGCACCTAGTTTTTGTGAAAGTAAAATTGCAACTACAGTTTCTTTTCTTACACTTTCTCGTCTGCCAGACAGAGCTAATTGCCCAAGCAGTACAGTAACCACTGTGACCTTTAACTGGAATGGATTTTATCTGTTTTATTCATAAAATTACCTTTCATGTCAGTCGAATTTTGACATTTTTATAAGTGAAAAAACCTTATTCCCAAGTTATGCAGATGCTTCATAATATTTAACTTACAATAATTTCTGCAGATGCTCCATCCATTGGTCATCCATCCATTGTGCGTCAGTATATACATATCTGCCTGGGTTGGTTCCTCTCCATTAGGCCTCTTCTTATGCTGTTCTGAGACAGAGAATAACATTGAAGTTTAGAATAATTATTTGGATCTCAGACTACCAATGCTGCTACACTTAATGAACAAAATAGCTTACCTCCTCCTCACGTATTTGTGCAAAGCTTTTTGACCCTGCTATGTGTATATTTTTTTGCTTAGAAAGATTGGCAGTATTAGTAATGCTACGCTCCTAAAAATAAGAAAAACGTATTAAAGATAGCAATCAGTACAAGGCTTTGAAAATAGGGCTGACAGATTATTTTATTTGTTGGTGTCCAGTGGTAGTAGAAACTGAGAAAATTTTCAATTGGTTGCTGCAGAAACTGAGATTTTTTTCACACCTGTCCTTTGCCTGAGTTCCAAAATTGAACTAGGGTCTGCCACTGCTGTGGCAGGACTCGGTCGTCACAATCTGCCAATTACTGTTCACCAGTCTCATGTGTCTTGTAATGCTTCTTCGAAGTTCTTCCACTTCCTACCCATCAATTGCAGGACCCATGTTTTAACATAGTCTGGAATCTCAAATTTTTCCCTACATCAAATGCAAACAAATTGCCATCAATGTTAACATTACTAATATAATATAGGAAAAAAATTATATGATGCTTCATACCAAGACTATCTTCCAAACGTTTTCTTAAAGCTGATACCGTAAATTCCTCCAATCAGTAAAATGCAGGGGCAGCAACTCAGTGCTCCGTGCTATAGTACCTAGAAATTGACCCAAAGTGCCACCTTCTTTTTCAATGGGCTGTCCCAATTCATTAAAAGGAAGAAAATGAGTTACCTGATTCATGAATATTTTCAATATCTAAAAAAATAATAATATATACTTCTTACTATACTGGCAAAAAGAAATACGTATTAGATGCTATATATATATATATATATATGTATTATAAACATATACGAGCAGAAATGAATAATGAACTAACCAATTAAAAATGAAGCAAACAAATTAACAAGTAGCAACTTATTAGTGACTGAAGCAAACCTAACAAGTACATTAAGAACTTATACAGTTGCAACTATAATTAAAAGGGTTAAGTGCACTAAACCCCCCTAAACTATGACCCGATTGCAATAAACCCCCCTTAACTAAAAATAACCCCCTAAACTATATGATTGTTGCACTCTGGGACAATCTGTTAACCAACCGTTAATATAAAAAGTAATTTACCTTTCTGCCCTTAAGTTGAACTACAACTTTTCTTTCATTTTTCAACTTGATATGCTGACGTGGCACAGCAATCATACTGACCAGTTAAAAAATGACAGCACATCACCACCTTATCATAATACAAAAAAAGTATATGATATTTTCGGTTATATCCACCTCTAGTGCCAATATATATATATATATATATATATATAGATACACACACACACACCAAATTGTTCCTTGTTAACTTGCAAAGAGGATTATGTTGCAACCAACTCTTCCCTAATTCTCCCTTTTCCTGTCATGATCGATTTCATCCATTCATTTTTTTCTCTTTATATTTTATTGTTTCACTCATGAAGGAATTATCACATGAGGATTTCAATTTTTCTAACCCAAATTGATGGTTGAATGGTGGTTGCGGAGTGGCAGAAGTGGAGGTTAAGCGAAAGACCAGTGAGAGAGAAAAAAAAGCACAATAAAATCCAGGGGGAGTTCTTGTCATCAACTAGGGATTTTTAATTTTCTACATATATGTGTGTGTGTGTATATATATATATGTATATCCATCATCTTGTGATTGGTTTGTTGACCAAAGAATGACAAAAAACAGAGGAACACTCTGTTGGTGAGGGGCTTAAATTTTTAAAAGGATAAGGCATTGAGGTGGTTGAGAAGATAACACTGTTACTTCGAAGAGTGCTCAAAAAGAGAACAATCTGCTCAGAAAAGGGATTGTCTCTGTCGACATTCCGATCAGTAGCTTTGATGAGATCGGGGTCTGTGTAGTTATGGGTTTGATTGCGTCAACGGGAAGAAAGAGAATGTGATGCAAATGAGTTGAAAACATGTACACAAAAACTGAGTATGGTTCCCGCAAATGAAAATGAAGATGCAGAAAGAGAGTAAGAGCGAGCTGAAGATTGAGAAAGAGAGAGAGAGAGAATCAATATGGTTCTCACAATTCTTTGCTAAGAAAGATTTTTATGGTTTCTTCAATTTGAGAATTTTCGTTCAAATATATATATGTATATATATATAAAAGGCATGTGTGTGTGTATATATATGGTCTAACAGTCCTAAGGGTATATATGGAATTTTAAATTTTGACCCAGGCACATGGTTAAATATGAGACGGAAAGTTAACAATTTTGGAATTTTTGCAACAAAGGTGATAGTTTAGGGGGTTAAGTGTCTCTTTGATAGTTCAAGGGGGTTTTTTGAGAAAGAGAAGAAAGTTCAAGGGGCTTTAGTGCACTTAACCCTAATTAAAATTGAAACAAACAACACCAATGAGAGCACTAAAATTACAGAATAGCTGCAAAATCCATATCAGAAGAGACTACAATTCACAGCTAAACAATATAATAAAATATACAATAAGCTGGAATTTGCAAGTGCATGTGACATAACCAAAGATTAATAGAAGTAATTAAGCGCGTCTAAGTCAAGCAACAGAATGCCTTTTCTTATCCCAAACTGCCTTCAATATGTATATTCTGATCTATTTAGGTTTTCATTAAAAGGAAGACATATGTATCAGTATACCTTCAGCTTCAGCAGTACTGCAATATTGAGATGGGCTCGACTGTTCTAGAATGGAACTAAACTTGCTTTGTGTATGTAACAACTGCTGCATTTGCATGCGGAAAGTTGTTGAGTTTGTATGGAGCTACTCTGTTGAGTTTGCACCAAGCCAATTTGTTGTGTTTGCATGGAGACAGCCTGATGAATCCACTGTCCACTAGAACTTGGTTGGACCATATGAGGTTGCTTCTGCAGTGTCTCTTGTGCTCCACTTGTCATGGAGCCCTTAGCACATTTGGCTTTCTTAGTACGCCTCATATTTCCTGAAAATTCCAACAATACCAAATTAGATAATTATAAACCATAATACTAAGTTTAAACCATCATGCTTTCATTTCCATGCTTATCCATGGTAAAGCCAAAAAAAAAAATCCAGATAAGGATCTGTAGCCATGTGATGTAAGAAGCCAAGAAGGTGAGAATAGGGATCTGTTTTCATCATTAACAATCAACACAAAAGCATTGGAATAGTAATAAATAGATAAACGAAAGCAGTTACAGGGGGATGACCAGCAATATTCGATCAAACATAGAGAAATTAAAGTGGAAATGATCATCATCCTTATTATTTATGAAAGAATATATGTAATAAAATCTACAATTATAGCCATAATTCAGTGATCATCACTAGTATACAAAGGAAACGAGTGAGAATAGCTTAATGGAGTTGGCATTGAGAGCACCAATATTATGACCAATAATTGAGAGAGAGTTGGATCTCACTTGGGTAATCTGATGTATTCACTAGAATCACTGCAATGTTTTACCAAAATTAAAATACCAAACCAACAAACTTCCATATTCTATTTCAAAGACTATCATTCTTTGTAAACAAGATCTTATATGCCTACTGACACTACTAAAGATTATAAAATAAAGCATCAGTTAAAGAAAACATTAGCATAAGTTCAACATCCAAATAATTGCAGTCTATCCAATAACAAAAACACATCGATTTGTCAATCCAAGAATAAGGGATGAGAAAAAGCTGATCTCTAAAGCTTACTTAAGAGTCTAAAGTTGGCTACAAAGGCGAGCAGTTTATAGACTAAATGCAAGTAGTGTTATTTTGTATTCCCTGCATTAAATTTTGTGAGCAAATGGCAAGCTGATTCTTTGTAACTAATGCCTACATGAAAGAGAAAATACTAGTCCTTTTTATGGAAGATAAAGAATTACTTTACATGTTAGCATACCCTCAATAATTTATTTTTCACTACAAAGACTCTTCTCCTAATGGAAATTAATCTCAATTAATCAGAAACTGAGTAAAGAAACAGCATTTAGTTAGAACAAAGAATCCAACACTAATTCAATATCCAAGAAGGTGAAGGTATGTGATGTGAAGCAATTTAGTGCAATCTTAAACCACTAATTGCAATTCTTGTATTATCTATTTTTTTATAAGTAATGAAATGGGCTTGATCGGATAAATATGGCCAGGTTATGCAAGAAAGAAAAAAAAGAGCTTCTAACAAATTACTGAAATTTTTGTTAGCAAATGCAAGTTCGGGTTCAATCATCTTAGATAAAAGTAAAAATATTGCGAGACTTTTGTTCACTTCACATGAACCATGAAACCCTAAATTTAAGAACATTTAAAAAAAATATGAAAATCAAAATAATTCAAAAGTTAAACAATCAATTATACCCAAAATTCAGCCAAGCGTTCAAAAATTCGGACCAAATGTATACACTTGTAAAAATTAAATAATCTCATAAAAAATTAAATACAATGAACTAGTACAATAATCGTCCATTAAATCAAATTCAAGGCAAAACTAGTATAAAAAGTTATACATCAGAAAGAACAGTAGCATACGTATAAATATATATAGGTATGATATGAAGGTTTAGGAGAGAGTAATGACTAATGTATATAAATATTACATCTGCAGATACATGTACATAGAACGTGTAGAACTTGTATAGCTGTGTGCACAAACAATCAAGTTCTACACGTTCTATATACATTTATGGGCTTTGTTGGACATCACATCCCACATTCCCACATTCCCACATTCCCACTCCTTGTTAACTCATGCTTTCTAGCCACTGGGACCAGAAGTATTTGGTGTGAATTTGTCCCCTTTGACTGCATGTAGTGCAGAGAAGAGCACACCATGAGCTCATCAACGGACCCATGAAATTGTGTGAGGTGGTGCAATAGTGGATTTTTTTTTTTTTTGTTGGGGGATATTAAAATTTCATAGGTATATAATTCGGAAAAGGAAAAATCGCTAGTATAAATACTAATATATATATATATACTTATATATATCAGTGGGGGCAATTACCCCCACTGACCATATACTAGGTCCGTGCTAGAACTGATATCTATTGTTTTTTTTTTTCTTTTTTCTTTTCTTCCATATCAATGTCCTCCATCAGTTTGTACATGCACTTTGACTGCATTTATCATTTGAATATGAATCAATATCTACGGTTACAACAACTAGATGTTCTCCACAGTTTGAAAGTATACCCTACTGGTGGCTAAAGTTTCGAGACAATGTTCATTTAGCCAATCGGGCATGTTTGAAGCAAATTCAATGAAGAATGCCTTCTTAATGAAAGTTGTCGGGAAGGCTTTATTTGTTTCTGCAAAATTACTATATAGAAAATGCTGATTTTTTTTTTTTTAAATAATAATAATAATAATAACCACAAATTCTGAAAGCTAGCTTCCACTGTTGATTCTTAAAATTGTAATCACCCCCTTCTTCTAAAGAAAAGTGTCCTTTTTATAGTGGCATTTTCAATTAAAAGAATCGCAAACAGTCAGAAGCTACGACAAATATATATATAATATATATATCTAAATTTTAAATATTCACATTATGGTTCTGTAGCCACAAATAATCAATTGCATGCAGAACAAGGAATCATATGTCAAGATCAATTAAAAATTGAAACAGAGTTCAAAACCAGCTTCAAATTCTTAGAAAGCTTGGGTTTCATACAATATGCACCTATTAAATTGAACAAATTCAAATATCACGAATAAACATCAATCCCCAATTAAAGCATGAATTCCAACAAAACCAAAGCAATGCTGATGGAATTTACCTTCGAGCGGACAAAAATGAATATAACACTGATTGTTGGCCAGTTTTGACAAATCAATATCGATTTACCTCCAAAATCAAATAGAACAGACCGATTAACGAACTCAACAGCTGGGTTGGCAATTATGGTTTCGATTTCTCTCTAAAATGTACATGAAGCTCTGGATTGAAAATGTTGGTAACAGAGAGAAAAGATCCTGACTACTTCACTATGAAGCTAGGGTTTCGATTTCTATCTGAAATGTAAACGTAAGGCGAATGTTTATGCATGTAACGGAAGGCTGAGTCTAAGCAAACGAGAGGGTAAACTCTGCTCACTGTATTATTATACGCGAGAAGAGAGAGTCAACAAAAAATAATAATAATAATAATAAATAGGGTAAATTAGTCTGACCTCTCATAAGGTTTGTCTTAATTACCCTCGACTTAAAGTTGTGAAATTTTTTTCTTCAGTCTTTCTGAAATTTGATTGACTCAACTCTAACACCCTTGCCGTTAATTTGTAATTTTAAATTTCTAAAAATACCCTTATACAAAATAAAATGATAAAATTAACTTTATTAATACTGTTAAATGAACCATAAAATTTCAAAGCAAAATACCCTTAATATTTTAACACTTAATTAATATAATATGTATATATAACCAATTTTTATTTATTTATCAAGCAAGCTTTTAAAATTAAATTTTATAATCACATAATTTTATTTTTAAGTGTAAAATTTACAAAAATTAGTTACCAAGCTTTTAAAACTAAATTAATATAGTAATTAAATTTCAGATTGATATATATGTAGAATTAAAAATTTATAATACACTAGTAATAAAATATATGTAAATAAGTTTATATTTAGTTTTTTTTTTTTTGCTCAAGGACATTTTTGTACTTTCATTACAAAAGTTAACAGTTTTAACTTCAACAAGAGGTGTCAGAGTAATTTTGTCAAAATCTATGGGTAATATAGCTAAACTCCTAATAAATTATTGTGAGGGGGAGTGAAAAACATTTTATAGCATGTGATTCATATATCACCTTCATTAGTATTAATGGCGGGTAGAAATAGAGCTCAACTTCCTCTTCTACATTATTTTATTTTTATTTACAATTCCTCTTCTATATTTAACAAAACTTAGAAAAAAATAATAATGTGCTTGATAATATATAAATATTTTATTAAACTGAAATTGATAATGTAAGAAGGGTAATTCTGTCATTATAAATTATAAGGTTATTTTGGTCGACAAAATGATGCAACTGTTGCACGATTCTATTAGTTTTAAACGGGAAACTAACGGGAGGGAGTGGTTGATAGACTTTTTTAAACATTAAGAGAGTAATATGATAGTTTCTTCAGTTGAGGGGTTAGTTTAAAGTTTTTGAAAACAATAGAGGGGTTTTATGATTTTAACCGTTGTATTTAACTCTCCTGTATTACTCCATCCATCCCGAAAGACCTTCACTCACAAGTCACAACATAAACAGTTGAGAGTCCTAATTCCTTTCAAATTCAGTGTTATATATATGATTTGGTATTCTGTCATTTGATCTCTTGTTTGAGCTTTGAAAATGGCAGATTAAGTGGAAGCTACAGACATCTCTCTGGAAGACTTGCAAGGCAACCTGTTCCGGCAGGGTAGATGTTATGGATAATCTAGTTGCGATTGACTAGAGCTATGGCAAGCTCAAGGAAGTCTGGAGAGGAGCAAAGGTGCGATGATACTACTATTACTATTTTCATCTCCTTCAAATTTAATTAATAGGATGACGTGCATGGAAATCTATTTTTCTTTTTGTTGTTGTTAGGTTTTGTACAAATTGAAATACCTCAATCTCAGTCATTCTTATTTCTTGATCGAGACTCCAGACTTCATGGGATTGAACAGTCTTTAGAAATTATTGCTTAATAATTGTACAAAGCTAGTAAACGTTCACCAATCTATTGGATGTCTGAAAAATCTTATTGTCTTGGATATGAAGAATTGTCAGAACCTTCAGAGAATTCTCCCAAGGCTATATTTGGCTGCATGGAATTGGAATTAGTAGAATTGAAATTTTTTTTATTCAATTTTGAATTATTTTTTCTTTAATTCTAAAACTGCAATTCTATATATGCTGCTTAACATAGTCTTATCATTTTCATGTTGAATTCTCCCTTGATTTGTGTGTAACATACCGAGAGAGAAGATTGGTAGATTGAGGAGTTTCAAATCAATGCAAAGTATAGTCTAAATTTAGCAATTTGAATTTAATTACATAAAAAAAAAAAAATGTATGGATTGATTTGAGAGGAATTAATTCTCTCCTCCTTATGGACCTTTTTTCAAACACGACGTGCGTTTTATACGTGAGAAGCTTGCGTGTGCTTTGTGCCAATGGGCTACTTTGTATTTGGGTTTATCCACTAACCTTTCAAAAAAAAAAAAAAAAAAATTGGAATTACAAAATTAATTAAATTCAATAACGAAGTTTTCATTTGAGAGTCAAATTAATTAATTTCATCAAATTCATTCGTTTTTCTAGATAAAGTATTGCTCTACATGATTTTATGCAAATTAATATATACATGAAAAATTGCATCCAATTCATCTCTTCAAACACTATGGATTGATCACATAACTAGTTAAAATGAGGTATTCATTAAAATTAAGATGTTGTTTGCATAAATTTGAGCTCATGTGCGAATCTTGGATCAAGATTTAAGTCAAACAATGCAGGCGTGAGAGCGGCTCCAGTGCAGTGTACATTATTAAGATTTAAGCCGGACGAAAGCGAGAGTACCTTCAGCGCACACCTCCAGCGCACTCGTACACTTGTATGGAACTGTTATATCTCCACTCTCCAGTACCATGACTGAAGTTCGAACCACCAGGTTGAATAATCTCTCGTACTAGAATTATAAAACCAAAGAGAAGATGAAGAAGTTGCTGCAAGAGGACTTTTATAGTCAAAGGGGTATAATTGTCAGATTAAAGGGCAGGTCGGTGGACCAATATAATTTATATAATTTAGGTAGATAATGATGAAATGAATACCGGTAGGTAATACTGGTTGGTGTACCAATATCAACTACTACAATATGAGACACTCCTGAACAATCAAAACATGTTACAGCTAAGGACCTGACCATAAAGTCATAATGTTGGGTCCACCATTGTAATTGTCAGTGTCATAAAGTCATAATGTTTTCGACTGCTGACCAACCCCCATTGAGACGCGTCAAGGACCTTGACCACCACTTACCAGACATAAACACTTGAGACTTGGGATGCCTAATTTCTTTCAAATTCAATGGCATTCTGTCATTTGATCTGGTCGACTCAGCTTTGAAAATGGCAGCTTCCTGCGTTTACGATGTGTTCTTGTCTTTCAGCGGTGTTGATAGTCGGAAGAAATTCACAGGCCACCTCTTGGCCGCTTTGGAGCGCCATGGTTTTTACACATTCAGAGATGACACTAAACTCAAACGAGGAGAAGAAATTGGTCCCGGATTGCTCAAAGCAATCGAGCAATCGAAGGTTTCTGTTATCATATTTTCCGAAAACTATGCCTCCTCAAGATGGTGCCTTGATGAATTAGTGAAGATCATGGATTGCAAGAGGACGCTCAATCAGATTGTTATTCCCATCTTTTATGATGTCCAACCCACCGACGTTCGCTCACAGATGGGTTGCTATGCAGAAGCATTTGCCAGTCACGAAAAGAAGTTCAACTTGGAATCGGTGATGAAATGGAGGTTGGCTCTAGCTGAGGCTGCCAATTTGTCTGGTTATGTCCTGCAAAATGTGGCCGACGGGTAATTAGTTCTCTTTCTTCTCTTCAATAAAGCAATCTAAAACATTACCACTTTGATCACTCGTTTATTTTCATCTTCCACCTCTCTGCATATAATAATTGCTTAGTTTCATTTTTTAAAAACATAAATATTGCAGGTGTGAGTCCAAGTTTATTGAGATTGTTGTTGGAGAAGTCGCAGAAAAATTAAATCCTACATGTCTAAGTGTTGCGGACTACCCAGTTGGAATACAGTATCGTGTTCAAGAACTGAGTGAGTTTCTAAAGTTGGGGTCAAATAGAGATGATGTTAGGATTGTTGTCATATGGGGGATTGGGGGAATAGGTAAGACTACAATTGCTAAGGCAATGTATAATCGCATGCATCGTGAGTTTGAAAGCAGTAGCTTTCTTGCAAATGTTGGACAAACTTCGAAGCAACCCAATGGCCTTGTTAAATTACAAGAAAAGCTTCTTTGTGATCTACGGATGGGTGAAAATCATGGAATAAGAAGCGAGGATCATGGAATTGAGGTAATAAAACGGCGAGCATGGTGTCGAAGGGTTCTTCTTGTTCTTGATGACGTAGATAACATCCGCCAATTGAGGGCGTTAGCCATAAATTGTGATTTTTTACGTCCAGGAAGTAGAATCATAGTAACAACTAGAGATTTGTCATCAGTAAGTTCACTTCAAGTGGATGAGGTGTATAGGCTTGACGAGTTGAATAAGGAAGAATCTCTTCAACTTTTCAGTTGGCATGCCTTTAAGAAAGACCACCCTGTAGAAGACTTTAAGATCCTCTCTGAGGAAGTAGTGAGATATGCTAAGGGGCTTCCTTTAGTTCTTGAAATTTTGGGTTCCTTTTTGTCTGACCAAGAAGTACCTGAATGGAGAAGTGCATTGAAGAAGTTGAAAAAGATTCCTCATAATGATGTTCAAGCAAAACTTCAGCTGAGCTTCGATTCACTTGATGATGAACAGAAGGGTCTATTCCTACATATTGCATGTTTTTTTGTTGGAATGGACCAAGATTTGTCAATCAAAATACTAGAAGGCTGCGGTTTCTTCCCAGAATCTGGAATTGGGGTTCTATCTCGTCGTTGTCTTGTAAGAATTGATAGGCTTGCTGGGTTTAACTTTCTGAAGATGCATGATCTGATTCAAGACATGGCTAGAGAGATAGTCCGACAAGAATCCCTTGAAGAGCCCGGCAAACGTAGTAGATTGTGGTATCATGAAGACGTTCTTGATGTACTGAGAACTAACACAGTAAGATCCCAATGTCTGAATTAATTACATATCTTGACACTATAAAAATGCAGGAACACACAACACATCAAGAAAGACTAACAATCTGGGGTGTGAACCTATTTTCAACATAATGTTAGATATATATATATATCTACTTATATCTGCAGCTTTTTATTATCATCAGGGGACGAATGCAATTCAAGGCTTAGTCCTGAACTCGCTAGAATCAGAGAAGCTACAGCTAAATGCAGAAGCATTTACAAAGATGGTGAGGCTGAGACTTCTTCATCTCAATTATGTCCATCTAATTGGAAGCTACGAACATCTCTCTGAAAAACTTGTATGGCTATCTTGGAAAGGATTTTCTTCAAAATGTTTACCATCAAGCTTAGTTATGGATAATCTGGTTGCCGTTGACTTGAGCTATAGCAACCTCAAACAAGTTTGGGAAGGAACAAAGGTACGATGATACTATTGTTTTCATCTCCTACAAACTTAATTAATAGAATGACATGCATGGAAATTTATTGCCTCTTTTTGTTCCTGACAGGTTTTGGACAAATTGAAATACCTCAATCTCAGTCATTCCTATTTCTTGATTAAAACTCCGGACTTTACGGGGTTCACCAGTCTTGAGACATTGTTGCTTGATGATTGTACAAAGCTGGTAGAGGTTCACCAATCTATTGGATGCCTGAAAAATCTCGTTGTCTTGGATTTGAAGAATTGCCAGAATCTTCAGAAGATTCCCTTGAGCATTTTTATGTTGAAGTCTCTCCTTCAGTTTAAATTGTCCGGCTGCTCCAAATTAGAGTGGCCAACATTTTTACAAAGATCAAGCTTTTCGTCATTACAGTTATCAAGTAATATCAAGGAATTATTTATGGAAGACTGCAATATAACATATGTGCCCAAAGAAATTGGTAGTTTGATGTCCTTGGAATTTTTGGATCTTAGCAGAAACAAATTTTCTATCCTACCAGCTACCTTCACGAACCTTCTGCGACTGAAGGCCCTCTATGTTAACTATTGTCCATGGCTTGAATTAGTTCCGGCGCTTCCGGCAAACTTATTGGGATTCAGTGCGAACTACTGCATGTCATTGCAAATCATATCAATAGAATCGAGAGCAACAAGACTACAATTCCTTAGTTTTGAGGGTTGTCCCAAATTAGTCGACAACAATGTTGCACACGATGTTAAAAGAAATCTCTACTATTATCAGGTATGCTACTCTCTCTGTCTCTCTCTCTGTCTGTCTGTCTATCTCTCTCTCTCTCTATATATATATGTATATATGTGTGTGTGTGGTACTAGAAACCAATTAAGCATTAGCCCATGAAACGCAAATCATCCCTTCTAGACACTTATAAAGTTGAAGGGAATAACCATAATCTAGAATTACATTTATGTGTTTTTGTCTTTGAAATTAGTCTATAAGCATTATAATCCTAACAATGAATGAGTTAGAAAAAATTCAGCCAGCCAAAAAGAGCAATGTAAATCATTATTAGCTTTATGTTTCTGACCTTCATTTTTGGCTACTTAACCTTTATCATTTCAGATTGGATGTAAACCGTTCGCAACAAAAGAAGCAGTGAATAGAATGCTAGAAATGAAGAAACCCTTGAATAGAATGCTAGAAATGAAGAAAGCCGTTGATGAAGATAAGGAACAGGAAAGTACCAAAATCAAAGAAAATGAAGGTACTGAAAATGTTGGAACTTCACAACTAACAACTGAAGAAGAAAAATCAAAGACTGAAGCTCCAAAACCTTTGTCCCAGGAAGAGACCGAAAGTCAAAAGGAGAAACCTGCCAACTCTTCTGAAACTTCAACAGAATCAGATGCTGAAGAAAGGAATCCAACTGATGCTGACCCCAAAATCTTAGCACCTACTCCAATCAGAACAACGCCAGAGAAGGTATCGACAAATGTTCCCACAGCTGGCTTAATGAGTCCTGCTTCTGTTTTGAAGGTATTTATTCGACGTTTAAATCTTCGACATCTTTATCATTATTCAGTCTTTCATACAACTTTGTCTTTTATAGGAAGTTGATGCAACCAAGCAACCTGTGTCATTGTCTCCTTCTGTTGATCCTGATGAATTCATTTCCGACTTGGTCTTAGCTGTTGAATCTGACAGGCCTTTAGCTTCTGCTTCTACAGAATCTCAATCAGTCCCTATTTCACAAGCTTCAATTGATGAAGCCAAAAAATATTTCAAAGTGGTTCTTTCAGGAATGTTTGAGGATGTGGCTGAACAACCAGACCGATTTAATGAGGCGTTGTCCATTCTAAGGGATTCTGGAGACTTGAGCACTGAAGAATTGAATGAACTCAAAATTTTCCAAGCTCAATTCCAAACCATTCTCAGCACCTTTCAAACTTCTTCTTACATGCTCAAAGAGACTGAAAATAACTTGGAAAGCAATAAACAGTCTAAGGCAACCATTGGAGAACAGGTTATAATTGATAACTCCAAATATTTGGCCTCAAAAGCTTTTGTCCAGGAATTGACTGAAAAGGAGAAAACACTTCAGGAAAATATAGACCGCTTAAGTGCCGAATTAGTTTCAATCAAGGAAGCAAGGGGCGCTGCAGAGAAGGAAAATTCAACCCTTCGATACCGTCTAATCAATCTTGGCAAATCCAGGAATCAGGTGTTGACAAATCTTGGGACTTTGGAGAATCAAAAGAAAGCTGCTGATGACTCTCTCTCTTTGGTGCAATTTCAATGGGAAAGGTTTAAGAAATCTTTTAATCTTTGAAAATTTTATTTTTATGAACAGTTCGCTTTATTTTGTATAAGAATAAGAATGACCTATATGGTGGCATTTTCAATTAAAAGAATCACGAACAGTGAGAACCCATGACAAATATATATATATATATATATATAAACAATTACGTATTCACATTATGGTTCTGTAGTCACAAATCATCAATTGCATGCACAACAAGGAATCATATTAACAGAATAATCATGTCGTCAACCATTTTGAATGAATTTACATTTCAAGATTGTTTAAAAATTGAAACAGGGTTCTAAAACCAGCTTCAAACTCTTAGAAAGTTGGGGTTTCATACAATATGCACATATTGAACACATTCAAATTTCACGAATATTAACATCAATCCTCGATTAAAGAATGAATTCCAACATAAATAAAGCAATGCTGATTGAATTTACCATCGAGTGGACGAAAATGGATATACCGCTGATTGTTGGCCAGTTTTGACGAATCAAAATATGGATTTAGCTCCAAAATCAAATAGGACAGATTGATGGCAGTTATGGTTTTGGTTTATCTCTGAAATGTAATGAAGCTCTCAATTGAAAATATTCGTAACAGAGAGAAAAACTCCTGACTACTACTTCAGTATAAAGCTAGGGTTTTGATATCTCTCTGAAATATTAAACGTAAGGTTCGCATCGTTGAAATACCAATGGCGAATGTTTTTGAATGAAACGGAAGGCTCGATCTCAGCAAATGAGAGGGTAAACTCTGCTCAGACTAAGGTTCGCATCGTTGTTATACGCTAGAACAGAGAGACTGTTCAGAATTTGGGAATGAAGCAAGGGCGAGGAGCTCAGAATTTGTGCGTGAAATGAAAAATAAAATTGTTCGGCTCCTTAAAAGGTACCGGGGCTCCGCCTTCCGGGTGAATGGAAAGCAGGAACGGATGTCGGGCGTGCCAGGAACTGCTGTCGTTCCAAAGTGAGTATCCGAACAACTATCCAGTAGGAAATTGCAAGGATCAGGCGATTGTATGAATGACTGGAATTACCACCTTTAAGGGTTCTTCTTGCCTTGAAAAATGACTTTCGGATTGAACTATGGCTAGTAAAAAGGAAAGCTGTATTGAAAGTGCAGGACTGGAAAGTAAAGGAATTGAAGTGCAGGACTTGAATTAAACATAATGAAATTGCATTACATGAATGTAAGGAATTGAAATGATGTTTTGATATGTGATTTGAACAGGGTTTGCAAGTGAAGCCTAAGTGCTCTATTTATAGAGTTTCTTTGCATGTAGCAGCTTGATGTGGCAGCTTCAGCAACGCCCACATGGCCAAATCTCGGACTGCCATATGTCCCATGATCTTCTAACCTTCTCTAAATGTTGCCAAGTGTAAACCCATGTTCTCCCATAATCTACAACTGCTATATAGTGGTCTTTGGCGGTTGAATCCATGTTTGTAACCCTTCTCCCACGTTCTTGAAACTACCCAGATGGAAAGTCGACAATTCCAGCAGCAGTTGAGAAATTTCACTTGGAAGGTCCGGATCTTGCCACGTGTCCCATGTCTTCCTTAGTCTTCTCATAGTGTTGACACGTGTAAGAACATGATGCCCCATAAATTTCAGTTTTGAAGGAGTGGTTTTGGTGGTTCAATTCCAATGAAAGTCTTCTAGCCACGTTTTGGAACTGCCAAATGGAATGGGCCACGATCTCCTAACTGCCCCTAATTTGTAGGTAAGCCTGCCACGTGTCCACTTGGAAAGTTATGTATTTCTAATTGCATGTAACTGCCTCCTTCTCTGCCTGCCACGTGTCTACTTGGAAATTCATGTCTTTCCAATTGCGTGTAATTGCTTACCTCTTTGGCTGACACGTGTCCCGCGTTTTCCTCATTTTTCTTTGGCAAATGCACCATGTTTTCAGCCCACTTTGCTGATTTTTAGCAACCTCTTCACTTAAATAAGGTAAGTGGTTGCCTTATTCTTGGAGTGACTCCTACAAACTAGGAGATATTATAGGAGTGGGGGAGCTATCATTCTTGATGACTTGGTCAAAGGTACCCATGACTTTCTAGATGTTTGCCACGTGTCTACTTGGAAAGTCCACGTCTTTCCAACTGCATATCTTGTACCAAATGGCTTCATTTGATGAAGCCACTTGTTACTTCATGATTGTACTTTTGCATACCACCTTTCCAATGAGAAAATATTTATGGTGTAATCATATGCCCCCCAATTTCCATGCCTTGTGGAACAATTTGATGATAAGGCATGGGATTTGAATTCCGCCATCTGGAAGTACTGGACCATGTAATGTAGCCTCTTCTCAATGAAATGCTCCATACTTAGGAAATCAGCTGATCTTGGAAATTCAGCTAAGTCTGGTTCATAACTTTAGCCAATGTACTTTTCCAAGTACTTAACTTTTCCTTCTTGTAATGGCCGAATGGCCATTACGTTTCCTTTCCAACTTTCCGGTTTACTTGGAAAGGAAGATACCAGCCATTCTACATGGCCGGTTGAATGATTGTGGATTTCTAGTTTTCATAGATGGAAGGGTGATATTCCTTCTTCCAATTCGTTGCCCCCCCCCCCGGCGGGGTCTGGAGGTTTGCGAGGAGGACGGATTTGTACATCTTTTGGCCAAATAAATGGTTGATTAGCCATGCTTTCTCCCCCAAACACTACTAGAAGTGGGTTTGGGTCCACTAGAAAGTTATTGCTCCATCGAAGTTTCTTTAGAGTGGGTTGTCCTTCAAACACCATTGGAAAGGCCATAGGTGGCCTTGGTTGCATGGTTGCAAATCGTTGAATGCTCACAAATGGAACCTCAAATTGAGGTGGTTGAACTATTGGTGGTGGAAGACATTGCACCTGAAGTGGAACCTGCACCTGTAGTAGAAGTGGTTGAATTACTACTGGTGGAAGGTTCTGCACTTGGGATTCCACTTGAAGTGAAACCTGAACTGCTGGAATGGCTGCTACTTCTTCACATTGAACAGTAGAACGGCTAATATGTTCCAATGTGGATTGTTCGCCCTTTCCATTGAATGTTGCGAATTCTGGAATTCTAAAATTCCTTGGATACTCAACATCATCAGTGAACTCTGGATAGGGCTTTCTGTAGGTTGGCCTTCCACCTCTTCGGGTTAGGCCAAATTCCTGTTGAAGGAGTTCTACAAATTGGCCTCTATCAAGCTCCATAGGCTGTGGAAGGTTGTTGTCTGGCCAACCTTTAGGAGGGTTGGCCACTTGATGCCCCCCACCTGCAATAGGTTGTGGGTTGGCATCAATATAGTTGTTCCTACCACGGTTCCTTCCTCCTTGGTCAAAAAGTGGCTCCCTTAGAAAAGGTTGCCCCCCAACCGCCATTGGAATGACCATGGGTGGCCTTACTGGAATAGGAGCGGCTGGTTGAATGTTCACAGGTGGAACATTTTGTTGTGCTTGAGGAATGTGGTATGGCCATGGTTGGCCAGGCTGATCATGCCAAGTTTGTCGTGGAAACGCCACAGGTGGAGGATTCTGAACTTGCTGGATGGTTGGCATGGGTGTCGCTTGTGGAACAGTCATCTGTGCCACTGGAGCAGTCACAGGTGCAGCTGGAATATAGGTTTGTGCCATTGGAAAGGACTGCACCTGCTGCTGGGTTGGAGGTAACGGCCCTGCAGGTTGTTGAGAGAAACTTCCTTCAACAAATGCAGCCGGCCTGCTAGCTTGGAAGGCCGACTGTTGGGACCCTTCAGAGTTGCTTGGCCGAGGGACCAAGATTTGAGAAAGACCTGCAAAGGACCTTTCCAACATGGACTCGAACCTTTGAGAGATTCGGTCCACCATCTCTTCCAACTTCCGCTCATTAGATAGAGCGACTTTTGCATGATCTTGACTAGCTTTAGATTGGTCTTGCGCAACTTTGGCCATGTCTTGCACAAACCTATCTTGCTGTATCGCCATCATGCGGATGTTGTCCATGATGGGTCCATTTGCCATTGTTTGAGCAAATTTCTCCACCATAACATCTTCATCAGGTGCAAATCGTGAACCTTCAGCTGGAAGTTCACTGACTTGCATCTCTTCTAGTTCAGCAGGGTCTTAGACAGACTTGCCTTGCCTTCTCCCACCGGCCATTGAACAATCTGTTAAGATGTCCTGTCGGGCGTGCCAATCAATGTTCGGCTCCTTAAAAGGTACCGGGGTTCCACCTTCCGGGTGAGTGGAAAGCAAGAACGGATGTCGGGCGTGCCAGGAACTGCTATCGTTCCAAAGTGAGTATCTGAACAACTATCCAGTAGGAAATTGCAAGGATCAGGCGATTGTATAAAGGACTGGAATTACCACCTTCAAGGGTTCTTCTTGCCTTGAAAAAGGACTTTCGGATTAAACTATGGCTAGTGGAAAGGAAAGCTGTATTGAAAGTGCAGGACTGAAAAGTAAAGGAATTGAAGTGCAGGAATGGAAAGTAAAGGAATTGAAGTGCAAGACTTGAATTAAACATAATGAAATTACATTACATAAATGTAAAGATACATGAATGTAAGGAATTAAAATGCTGTTTTGCTGTGTGATTTGAACAGGGTTTGCAAGTGAAGCCTAAGTGCTCTATTTATAGAGTTTCTTTGCATGTAGCAGCTTGATGTGGCAGCTTCAGCAATGTCCACATGGCCAAATCTCGGACTGCCACATGTCCCATGATCTTCTAACCTTCTCTAAATGTTGCCAAGTGTAAACCCATGTTCTCCCATGATCTACAACTGCTATATAGTGGTCTTTGGCGGTTGAATCCATGTTTGTAGCCCTTCTCCCACGTTCTTGAAACTGCCCAGATGGAAAGTCGACAGTTCCAGCAGCAGTTGAGAAATTCTACTTGGAAGGTCCGGATCTTGCCACGTGTCCCATGTCTTCCTTAGTCTTTTCATAGTGTTGACACGTGTAAGAACATGATGCCCCATAAATTTCAGTTTTGAAGGAGTGGTTTTGGTTGTTCAATTCCAATGAAAGTCTTCTAGCCACGTTCTGGAACTGCCAAATGGAATGGGCCACGATCTCCTAACTGCCCCTAATTTGTAGGTAAGCCTGCCACGTGTCCACTTGGAAAGTTATGTCTTTCCAACTGCATGTAACTGCCTCCTTCTCTGCCTGCCACGTGTCTACTTGGAAATTCATGTCTTTCCAATTGCGTGTAATTGCTTACCTCTTTGGCTGACACGTGTCCCACGTTTTCCTCATTTTTCTTTGGCAAATGCACCATGTTTTCAGCCCACTTTGCTGATTTTTAGCAACCTCTTCACTTAAATAAGGCAAGTGGTTGCCTTATTCTTGGAGTGACTCCTACAAACTAGGAGATATTATAGGAGTGGGGGAGCTATCATTCTTGATGACTTGGTCAAAGGTACCCATGGCTTTCTAGATGTTTGCCACGTGTCTACTTGGAAAATCCACGTCTTTCCAACTGCATATCTTGTACCAAATGGCTTCATTTGATGAAGCCACTTGTTACTTCATGATTGTACTTTTGCATACCACCTTTCCAATGAGAAAATATTTATGGTGTAATCAAAAATAAAATAAAATAAATAATTAGTTGACAACAATGTTGCACATGATGTTAAAAGAAATCTCTACTACTATCAGGTATGCTACTCTCTCTGTCTCTCTCTCTATCTCTCTCTATATATATATGTATATATGGGTGTGTGTGGTACTAGAAACCAATTAAGCATTAGCTCATGAAACGCAAATCATCCCTTCTAGACACTTATAAAGTTGAAGGGAATAACCATAATCCAGAATTACATTTATGTGTTTTAGTCTTTGAAATTAGTCTATAAGCATTATAATCCTAACAATGAATGAGGTAGAAAAAATTCAGCCAGCCAAAAAGAGCAATGTAAATCATTATTAGCTTTATGTTTGTGACCTTCATTTTTGGCTACTTAACCTTTATCATTTCAGATTGGATGTAAACCGTTAGCAACAAAAGAAGCAGTGAATAGAATACTAGAAATGAAGAAACCCGTGAATAGAATGCTAGAAATGAAGAAAGCCGTTGATGAAGATAAGGAACAGGAAAGTACCAAAATCAAAGAAAATGAAGGTACTGAAAATGTTGGAACTTCACAACTAACAACCGAAGAAGAAAAATCAAAGACTGAAGTTCCAAAACCTTCATCCCAGGAAGAGACCGAAAGTCAAAAGGAGAAACCTGCCAACTCTTCTGAAACTTCAACAGAATCAGATGCTGAAGAAAGGAATCCAACTGATGCTGACCCCAAAATCTTAGCACCTACTCCATTCAGAACAACGCCAGAGAAGGTATTGACAAATGTTCCCACGGCTGGCTTAATGAGTCCTGCTTCTGTTTTGAAGGTATTTATTTGACGTTTAAATCTTCGACATCTTTATCATTATTCAGTCTTTCATACAACTTTGTCTTTTACAGGAAGTTGATGCAACCAAGCAACCTCTGCCATTGTCTCCTTCTGTTGATCCTGATGAATTCATTTCCGACTTGGTCTTAACTGTTGAATCTGACAGGCCTTTAGCTTCTGCTTCTACAGAATCTCAATCAGTCCCTATTTCACAAGCTTCAATTGATGAAGCCAAGAAATATTTCAAAGTGGTTCTTTCAGGAATGTTTGAGGATGTGGCTGAACAACCAGACCGATTTAATGAGGCGTTGTCCATTCTAAGGGATTTTGGAGACTTGAGCACTGAAGAATTGAATGAAGTCAAAATTTTCCAAGCTCAATTCCAAACCATTCTCAGCACCTTTCAAACTCCTTCTTACATGCTCAAAGAGACCGAAAATAATTTGGAAAGCAATAAACAGTCTAAGGCAACCATTGGAGAACAGGTTATAATTGATAACTCCAAATATTTGGCCTCAAAAGCTTCTGTCCAGGAATTGACTGAAAAGGAGAAAACACTTCAGGAAAATATAGACCGCTTAAGTGCCGAATTAGTTTCAATCAAGGAAGCAAGGGGCGCTGCAGAGAAGGAAAATTCAACCCTTCGATACCGTCTAATCAATCTTGGCAAATCCAGGAATCAGGTGTTGACAAATCTTGGGACTTTGGAGAATCAAAAGAAAGCTGCTGATGACTCTCTCTCTTTGGTGCAATTTCAATGGGAAAGGTTTAAGAAATCTTTTAATCTTTGAAAATTTTATTTTTATGAACACTTCGCTTTATTTTGTATAAGAATAAGAATGACCTATATGGTGGCATTTTCAATTAAAAGAATCACGAACAGTTAGAACCCATGACAAATATATATATATATATATATATATATATATATATATATATAAAACAATTACGTATTCACATTATGTTTCTGTAGTCACAAATCATCAATTGCATGCACAACAAGGAATCATATTATCAGAATAATCATGTCTCCAAGATTGTTTAAAAATTGAAACAGGGTTCTAAAACCAGCTTCAAACACTTAGAAAGTTGGGGTTTCATACAATATGCACATATTGAAAACATTCAAATTTCACGAATATTAACATCAATCCTCGATTAAAGCATGGATTCCAACATAAACAAAGCAATGCTGATTGAATTTACCTTCGAGTGGACGAAAATGAATATACCGCTGATTGTTGGCCAGTTTTGACGAATCAAAATATGGATTTAGCTCCAAAATCAAATAGGACAGATTGATGGCAGTTATGGTTTTGGTTTATCTCTGAAATGTAACGAAGCTCTCAATTGAAAATATTCGTAACAGAGAGAAAAACTCCTGACTACTACTTCAGTATAAAGCTAGGGTTTCGATTTCTCTCTGAAATATAAACGTAAGGTTTGCATCGTTGAAATACCAGTGGCGAATGTTTATGAATGAAACGGAAGGCTAGGTCTCAGCAAATGAGAGGGTAAACTCTGCTCAGACTAAGGTTCGCATCGTTGTTATACGCTAGAACAGAGAGACTGTTCAGAATTTGGAAATGAAGCAAAGAGCGAGGAGCTCAGAATTTGTGCGCGAAATGAAAAATAAAATAAAATAAAATAAATAATAAAAATAAATAATTGTGTGTGGGAGTGAAAAAAGTTTGGGCAACCGGATTAGTCCGGTTCTACCAACTTAGTTTGGTTTGGTCATGTTCTATTTATTGGTTCAATTGAATTTATTTTATCTTTATTTATTATTATTTTTTTTTTGCGCACCCTAGTTACCACATATTTTTTTTCTTACCATAGTCCATTTGTAGCCTGAGTAAAAATTCGTTAGTTTATTGTGACAATGACGTCCCACATTGCCCTTGGGGAGAGATTCGTCTCAATCTCCAGCCAAAAATGAAAGGGGCTTGCACATAGAGTGCGCAAAATGTTTGAGATTTAGTCAACGAAAGTGACAGACTCCAAAAATTATTTGAAATTTATTTATGTTCTTTTAAATTTAACAGGAATTTATTCGACATGGACATGTTTTTCCGTATTTTTATATTCTTTTATCCTTATGTAATTTGGTTTTCAATCTATTTTCTTCTAATAGTATATACGGATTATGTGTTATGTGAAATTTTGATAACAATTTGCAAACTAAATTCAAACTAATTGTTTTAGATGGTTTATTTATCATTGCCTTTTACTTTGACTCAATGCTCAATGATTCTGTTGAATTTCTTATATTGTTTTAGATTGTGCAAGGGATGGCAAATTATTTAGCTAATTTTTTAATTTACATTTGGTACTGAATTTTATAACAATATAAGCACAATGTATTTATCAGAAGTTGTATTTTACCATTTTATTTTTCTATGCGGAATTTTTTGAACATTTTAAATAAAAAATTAAATCATGCTCGTATTTATTTGAACACATACTTTCTTTCATAATTCTTTTATTAAGTATTATATATATATATACACACACTTATATCGCATATACACATTACACACCAACACAATATGAAACAGGTACCCAGTACCCTCTACATGATTTCCTAGCAATTTTCTCACGACTCTAAAAAAAGGTGAATGCAGATTGAGGAATTTGTTTGTGACTTTCCACTAGACTTCAAACTCAAAACTCAGAAGTATGAAATGTAGTGGTCGGTGGTTTATAAAGTCTCCATATGGAGATTAAGAAAAAAGAAAAAGTAATAGTCTTAACTTATTCTTGTGATATAGTGTTTGCTTTTTACTACTGTACCATTTATGGCTTTTGTGTGTATCACATTAAGTGTAGTAGTTGAGTACATCTTAAGCAAAGTTAAAAAGCTGGGCTGACGAGTCATCTCAAGCAAAAAAAATTAAACCAACAATGAAAAGGGCCAAAAATAGCAATGTAAATCATTAATAGCTTTATGTTTGTGACCTTTGCATTTTTGGCTACTTAACCTTCTATCGTTTCTGGCGGGGTTAAAATTAGGTGCGGTAAAATGAGTCATAACTTATCAACTCATCTATATCGGTTCGTTTTAAAATGAATATGGATGAATCATTTTAAAATATGAGTCAAAATGGCTGATCCATATTCAACTTATTTTTATAGAGAATTAAACGGGTTGAATATGGTCCATTCATTTTGACCCATATTTCACATATTATATAAGAAATTCAATTTCAAATCCTCTATTTAACTCCAATTCACCTATTCTTCATCTCTCAAATTCTCTCACACGATCCCAAATTCCTTCTCTAAAATTCTCTCGCATCATCCTCTTTTTCTATTCTTTGGAGTACTATAGTATTACTCTGTGACATCCATAACCCATTGTATCGTGTATTATATCTGCTCTGCTTTCTTGCCTAAGGGATTCCATGGAAAGGCATGTTAGAGTTGCATCAATATTCTTTTTTGATTTATCTATTGCCAAAAAAAAAAAAAAAACCATTTAGCTTCATGCATATCTAATCATAAAATAAAATAATATAAATTTAAAGAATTTTCAAAATAAATTGAAAGATTTATAATTATCCATACATATTTTTACAAGTTTTTATCCATATAAAATCAACAACTATAGTAATTCATTTTGACCCAATCTATATTTAACCCATTACAAACGAGTTAAATATATGGATTACAACCCATATTAGAACATGCCCCAAAACCCGACCAACCCGTTTGCCACCCCAAGCTAAAACCGTTTGGAAGAAAAGGAGCAGTGAAGAGAAGGCTAGAAATGAAGAAAGCCGTTGATGAAGACAAGGAAGAGGAAAGTACCAAAATCAAAGGAAATGAAGGTACTGAAAATGTTGGAACTTCACAACCAGCAACTTAAGAAAAAAAATCAAAGACTGAAACAGATGCTGAAGAAAGGAATCCAACTGATGCTGACCCCAAAATCTTAGCACCTACTCCAATGGACACAACGCCAGGGAAGGTGTCGGCAAATGTTCCCACAGCTGGCTTAATGAGTCCTGCTTCTGTTTCAAAGGTATTGGACCTTTAAAACTTCAACTTCTTTATCATTATACAGTCTTTCATACAACTTCGTCTTTTACAGGAAGTTGACGCAACTAAGCAACCTCTGCCATTGTCTCCTTCTGTTGATCCTGATGAATTCATTTCCAACTTGGTCTCAGCTGTTGAATCTGACAGCCCTTTAGCTTCTGCTTCTACAGAATCTCAATCAGTCCCTATTTCTCAAGCTTCAATTGATGAAGCAAAGAAATATTTCAAAGTGGTTCTTTCAGGAATGTTTGTGGATGTGGCCGAACAACCATACCGATTTAATGAGGCCTTGTCCATTCTAAAGGATTCTGGAGACTTGAGCACTGGAGAATTGAATGAACTCAAAATTTTCCAAGCTCAATTCCAAGGCATTCTCAGCACCTTTCGAACTTCTTCTTACATGCTCAAAGAGGCCGTAAAGAATTTGGAAAGCAATAAACAGTCTAAGGCAACCCTTGAAGAACAGGTTATAATTGATTACTCCAACTATATGGCCTCAAAAGCTTCTCTCCAGGAATTGACTGAAAAGGAGAAAACACTTCAGGTATATATAGACCGCTTAAGTGCCGAATTATTTTCAATCAAGGAAGCAAGGGGCGCTGCTGAGAATGAAAATTCATTCCTTCGAGATCGTCTAATCATCTTGGCGAATCCAGGAATCAGTTGTTGACAAATCTTGGGACTTTGGAGAATCGAAAGAAAGCTGCTTATGAATCTCTCTCTTTGGTGCAATTTCAATGGGAAAGGTTTAAGAAATCTTTTAATCTTTGAACAATTTATTTGCGGTCGCATTGGGCCAAGAAGTCGAGTGAACAATCATTTCATCCTTACCTCTCTCAAACCGAGTATTAGCACAAATTATTACATAATTATGGGATCATTGATTTCGTGTCAATTACTGTTAACAAGTATGAAAATTTTATGTTAGTTTTATTTTACTTTTTGGCTGGTCGAATGTAACAAAATTTTCTTTTCCTTTCCTTTCCTTTCCTCTGATTTGATGTCCTGTTTGAGCTTTGAAAATGGCAGCTTCCTGTGTTAACAATTTTGATTTTTATAAACTAAATTCTCTTAATTTAAACTAATTGTTTTAGCAAGTTTATTTCTCTTTGCCTTTTCTTTTGACTCGATGATTGCGTTGAATTTCTTATATTGTTTTTAGATTGTGCGGGATGACAAATAAAATGTAAATAAAACATGTACTGGCGAACTTTTGGTACTGAATTTTGTAACATACAATGTTGGACATGTATGTATCAGAAGTTGTATTTTACCATTTTCTTTTTTCTATGAGGATTTTTTTGAGCATTTTAAGTACAAAATTAATTCATACTCGGACTTTTTTGAACCGTACTTTTTTCATAATTATTTTATTAAATATTATATATGTTGATGCGTAAATCCTCACGACTCGGAACGACGGACTTTACCTGCAAAACAAAGGGACGTCACTTCGAATGGCACCAGTGGGGTGCCAGCCAAGGACCTTCCGACGATCAAGTTAGTACTTGTAATCGTATCACATAATAATTATGTATATTTTGTTTAGGTGTTTTTTTTATACCTTTTTTAACGGCTTGGTGTCTTATTTATGGCTGTCGATTGGAATTCAATTGGTTCCGCCGATGTCGATGGTTGATCTTATCTTTCGCTTGTGCGAGATCATAGAAGATTTGTTGCCAGATTTGTCGGGATATGAATAATCCTTTTGACCTCCTCCAATTATGATAGGATTATTCTTACCTGTTGAACCACGTCAAATTTCATTATCCTTGGTAATGAAATATAATTAATCTTATCGAGGGTAGGGTAGGTTTATATTTTTCCCTATCAATATATACACATATATTACCTATACAAAGAGGCACAATATTAAACAACTACCCTTGCAAGATTTCCAAGCAATTTCCTCGTCACTACAAAGAATCTGAATGCAGATTGAGCAATTTGTTTGTGACTTTCCTTTGAAGGTTTTTAAGCTGGAAATTAAGAAAAAAAAGAAGAAGAAAGTAATGAAGTGTCATTCGATTCTTGTGATTGGGTGTTTTTTTACGACCATTTATGACTTTATTTATTTATTTATTATTATTTTTAGGGTCCGTCACATTAACACTAGTGTTCACACGAATAGTTGATCGAGTACATCTTAAGCAAAAGTAAAAGATTGGCTGCTGATGAGTCATCTTAAGCAATTTCCTAATTACAGACAATTTGCAAATAGTGATTTATTGAACTGAGAATTGAAACTTGAAATGAAACCCCCTTACCATATCTTTGATAAATAACTTACTGAACTATAAAACAAATAATATCTATATGATCAGATGATAAATGGTATTAGAGTCAATCTACAATTAAAAATAGAAAGAGCATGCACAAAAATGTGCAAAGTGTTTGTGATTTAGGCAACAAAAGTGACAACTCCAAAAATTATTTGGAATTTATTTACGTTTAAATTTAATAGAAAATTATCTGACATGTTTTTCCGTGTTTTTATATTATTTTATCTTTATGTACTTTGATTTGCAATCTATTTTTTTTTTCTTATATTATATATGGATAATATGGATTATGTGTTATGTGAAATTTTGACAACAAATCATAAACTATATTCTCTAAATTCAAACTAATTGTTTTAGAATGTTTATTTATCATTGCCTTTTACTTTGACTCAGATTGTGCAAGGGATGGCAAATTATTTAGCTAATTGTCCAATTTTCATTTGGTACTCAATTTTATAACAATATAAGCACAATGTATTTATAGAAGTTGTATTTTACCATTTTCTTTTTCTATGCAGAATTTTTTGAACATTTTAAATAAAAAATTAAATCATACTTGTACTTATTTGAACATGTACTTTTTTTTCATAATTATTTTATTAAGTACTCCGTATTATATATATACACACACTTATATCATAGATATATATATATATATATATTTTTATTTTCTTCTTAAAAATTTCTTTTTTCTTGCACTCATGCATAATTTATATGCAATAAATTTTTTTTTTCTTCACTTATTCTAATGTACTATTATTACGCTATTATATTTTTGGCCTGTTTAAAAAAAAAAATTATTTTGTTAGTGTTAACATGTCCCCTTGAACCAAATTCCTGACTCCGCCCCAATATATATACACACTAATATCACATATACACATTACACACAGACACAATATGAAACAGGTACCCAGTACCCTCTACATGATCTCCTAGCAATTTTCTCATGACTATAAAAAATGTGAATGCAGATTGAGGAATTTGTTTGTGACTTTCCACTAGCCTTCAAACTCAAAGCTCAGAAGAATGAAATCTAGTGGACGGTGGTTTATAAAGTCTCTATATGGAGATTAAGAAAAAAGAAAAAGTAATAAAGTGTTATCTTATTCTTGTAATATATTGTTTGCTTTTTACTATTGTACCCTTTATGGATTTTGAGTGTCACATTAACCGTAGTAGTTGAGTACATCTTAAGCAAAGTTAAAAAGCTGGGCTGATGAGTCATCTTTAGCAATTTGCTACAGTGTCAAAAGCAGTCCACAAAGTTCTAAAGTTTTCATTCTTGGTGATCTGTGTTTGCACAAATAATTACATACACAAAGAGTTAATTGGTTGGCTGTTTGTTTGTTTTGTTTTTTGTTTTTGTTTTTTTTTTTTTTTTTTCAAGGGCGCGTCAGAATATCCTTGAATGCAACAGAATCAACAAATCAGTCTTTAGATGTAATCAGTCTATTGTTGAAAGGCAAGGATAACCCAGGTTCGCCTTAATTAAAGTTACAATTTTAAACTTTTAAATCAATATTTCTAATCATTTCAAGCATGAGAAAACTAATTAATGGATACGAATAGCTCTACAAAGCATGAGAAAATTGAAAATGGCTTCGGAACAATGAAGAAACCACTTTGTTAAAACAACGTAATAATAAAAATTAGCATTACATTTGTATCAATTAATCATTTTCAATAACTAGAATTACACTGAATAATGGACTGTTAATTATGGAGCCAAAATTATGAACCTTCGTAAAGAAATAAAAAAACAATTTTGAATTCATAAAGTTAGGCAAAGAGAATTTTGAAATGTGCGTTTCACAAAGTTTAGGCAAAGAGATTTTTGAAATGTTACTGCTGTGTGTATTCTACTTTGCAATACATGATGATATATAGAAGAGAATACTTAACGTTCAGTATAAGTCCAAAATTGAATTATTATCTCTAAAACTTGCAAAAAGAAAAAAAGAAAAAAAAAAAAAAAGGAAAAAGAAAAAGAAAACGAGATTGAAAATTAATATATTAAAAAACTATTTACCCAAAATATACTACAAAAATCAAGTTATTCCAAACCAAGATCAGATTTTTAGGTTACCATATCCACCAAGGTCAAATTCGTCCTATTGATAGGTCTCTCCAATTTGCAAACAAATTCCCAGATCAGATTCTGGACAAATCCCAACTCCAACGACTCTTAGGGTCTCTAAATTACATTGCTGATTTCTACAAAGATCTCCGCAAACAATATAAGCCCCTTTTTGATCGTCTTCAAAGTAACCCTCCTCCATGGACCTCTGTCCATACTGATATAGTTAAGTCAATCAAACAATATGTTAAGTCTTTGCCTTGTCTTGGCATTCTCACTACTGATTCTTTCAAGATCATTGAAACTGATGCTTCTGACATTGGTTATGGTGGCATCCTCAAGCAACGTGTCAGTCCAAATGCACTTGAACAATTGGTTCGCTTTCATTCTGGTGTTTGGACAAAAGCACAAAGTAACTATAGTATTATTAAAAAAGAAATTTTATCTATTGTTTTATGTATCAGTAAATTTCAAGATGATATTTTAAATCAAAAGTTTTTAGTCTGAGTTGATTGTCAAAATGCAAAATATGTTTTAGAAAAAAATGTTGAAAATATTGCTTCTAAACAGATCTTTGCCCGATGGCAAGCTATTTTAAGTATATTTGATTTTGATATAGATTTTCTTACAAGGAAATTCTTGCAGAAATCTGATGGCAGACCAGCAGCCTCCCTTGAGGCCCCAATTAGTTAAACCATTTGATATTTGCTCCGGCAAAGCCCCAGTCACCAGATCCTAGTCACAAGCACAATCTTCTGCCCTAACAGTCACCAACAGATTCCAACCTCTTGCTTCTCCATCAACCTTTAAGTTAGCCCTGGTCAATCCTGCACCAGACCCCGTCTAAGTCCAAGTAAAATATCAAACCCAATCCCAAGTTCAAGTCACAACTACAAAGAAATTCTCAAGTCCCTATGTTAAAAAACCCCCTACTTTCTTGTTCTATATTGAGCCACACCTAAGTCACATAAAAGACCCACTTGAATTGGCCCGATCCTATTTTCCAAATAATCTTCACTATGCTCCAGGTCACCCTCTTAAAACTCTTCGGTTTTATAGAGATGTCCTGTACCACACTGAATCCATCACAGTCAAAACTACTTATGATAAACATGATTCTTTCAAAGTTATTTACCATTCCTTGTACATCCGTCGGATAATCTCTATGGAAGAATGGGACAGTCATCCTTCCTTACCCCAGCCATTACCTGATCACACTATCCAATTTACCTATTATGATTACATGACAGCCTGGTCATCTGTGCTTCTATACCAAAATGAGTCAATTACTCATTCATGACTTTTTAATTTTGATAGTCACTTCAAAAGTCAGATCCCAACCTGGTTCCTGAGATGGTAGACTCTTCATGGTGCTATTCCAGAAATCTTCCCCCTCTTTCTTGCAGATGAAGTCAAATACTTTCACACTGTTCATAAAGTTAACAAACATAGTTCCCAATTCCCAGTCCTTCTATTGTTTTGCAGCAAATACAAAGTCCCATGGATATTCAAATGGCAATACGATATCAAGGACAACATAGTCATCCGTCGCCACTATGTTAAATGATGGGATATTTTCAAATTTGACAGGATCATTAGGTATGTCGAAGATGATTACCCCAAACAATCCTCCATCCAAGTTACTTCACAATCTCAAGTCACTCCTCTTGCAAAGACAGTCATTCCACATAAAC